GTTGTGAGGATCAAATGAGATATTTGTAAAGTTCTTTGCAAACCTTAAAGCACTACAGAATAGCTAGCTGTCATCATCATCATCATCATTATTATTAAATAATAGTATTAGAGAAATGGAAAACTCTTTTTATTATACATAAAATCATAGATGGAGAACTAAAAGGGAATTTAGAGATCAGTTTAGGCCAGTCTACTCATTTTACATAGAGGAAACTGAGACCTAGAGAAGTTGTGATTTAACCAAGATAAGTAGCAGAACCAGGATTTGAACCTTGGCCTTTCTGCTACAAATCCAGTTTCCTTTACATTGCACTATCCTGTCTGTGGCTTGGGCTTAAGTCTGACTAAGAACTTTGACTTGTAATTGTCTATAAAAATTTAGGTTTTGGCCAATACCTGGTGTATGGGCTGCGCCTCGTGGAATGAATTATGACCATTTTCCCAGCATGGGAAGTTCACCTGTTACCACACCCTTGTGGTTCAGAATTTCTGTCTCTCTTCTCCTCCCCCCAAAACAAACCAACCCCAAAAATCCGATGAAAAACTACTCATTACCAGCTATTTAGCAGATTATAGCTGCAGAGAGCTCAGGGAGGGAGGATTGATAGACCAAAGTCCAATATGGTTTGGGAGAATTTTGCTTTTATGGTTAAAAGTTTATTGTATGCTCTGCAATATACTTTTAGTTACAGGCAGACATAATGTGGATTCAGTTATGAATGTTGTGTGTTTGAAGCTATCACTTCCTGTCCCGAGCTCTTAAATCTGAGGATCTAGAAAACCCAGGTTGAAATTAATAGACTTTTATGGTAGTATAATCACTCATTTTGGAACTTGGTCATGCTTAATCAGGTTTAGTGCAAATGGACTGATGAATCTGTGAGAGATGATCTCTCAGAAGTGAAGCCTCCTCAGAGGGTCATTAGTTCTTGTTAATGGTTCTGGTATTATTGCTTTTGAGTGGTACATGTGTACCAACACTAAGTGAAGACCCCTCAGAATGCAAGACTCCCTCCCCTAGCCTTCTCCCTCTCCTACTCTTGGATAGTGTGAGCAGAAATTCCTGAGACATGGGAGCATCCTGTCTATCTAGTCCTCTAGCTAGCTGGTTGTATGACCTTGGGTAAAAAGACTGCTGAAACTGTGAGGCCCTGAAAAGGGGAACGTGCTAACATAATTTCTATACCTCCTTGTTCTCTCTGTTGCTGGGGTAGTTTTACACGAATAGATTGTATACAGTGAGCCGACTGGAAGGGGTTAGGGTGGGCTGCTACGTTGGGGTCTGTGTAGTCTTGCCTTGAACAAAGCACTCTCGCTCTCTGGGCAGCTGAGGCAGGACCAGGGTGCACTTTCTCAAGAAAGTCAATGGAGAGATCTTTCCTTGGCAAACTTTTGTCAAGACTTTTTTTTTTAACTGAGTGAAACAATGTAAACAATGTGAGATCTCTCAGATAGACTGAGTGTAGCAATTTCTTAGACTGTTAACAAACTCAAGGTTGGTTACATTAGCCTGAATAGGCCTAAGTTTCAGGTTCCTAGTTACATCAGCATTAGGTAATTGGCTAATTACTAAAAAAGGATAAAATAGCTAGGATTGGTAGTATTATAATGAGATTCCTTGTTTCTGGGGTAGATTTTCTGAGTTTTAGATTGTAAGGCTGAAATTCCTGTCCAATGGGAATTCAAAGCCAGTGGTGGGTGGGTATCTCTGTGTTAGGGCTGTATAACCTTTGTCCTGGCCTTTGTGTTTGCCTCGCTTTGCTGGAAGCAGATGCCCGCTTTTCGGGAGAACGTAATAAATCTTTCACTTTATACCTAGAAAATCTCTGAGTGTTATTTTTGGGTAACTGTAGCACACAAATCCCATCCAACTCAGTTTATACAGGATTTGGGTCAGTCCCTTAGGGAAGAAGGAAGATGAATTTTTCCTACTTCTTTGATCTTCTTTCTCAGGCCTACAGTTTAGGTTGGTTACATTTAAACATAGATAAAAGCCTCTTTTTAAAATTTTTTTTAAAATTTTTAGGCAATTGGGGTTAAGTGACTTGCCCACAGCTAGTAAGTGTCAAGTGTTTGGTCTGAGGTCAAATTTGAACTCGGGTCCTCCTGACTCCAGAGCCGAGGTTCTATCCTAGCTGTCCCTAAAAGCCTCTTTTTAAACAAATGCTAAAAAATTATTCAGGCCACATGGTGTAGAAAATTGGGCCAAACAAGAGACTTAAAGATCTCAGAAATGATTGAACCAGTAGAGCTGCAGTCTAAGGGAAGGAGTCTGAGATGTTCCATTATCCACCCTAGATGAGAGTAAAGGCAGCAGCAGGATTGTTGCAGGAGGAACTGAATCTTAGTGGTTTGGAATGGGCATTTCCGGCATTGGTATGTTCCCTTTCTGGATTGCATGAAGCTGGGGAACTACTTTCATCACATGTTCTTCAGAACTTGTTACACTGGTTTCTTCTCCTTAGCCCCCAATTCAGATTCCAGTCCTTCATTTTTGAGCTTCTGCTTCTGGGCTTGGCTTGTTTTCTGTCTTCACTGGTAGCTTTCTGTGATCAGTCGTTTCTTTGTGTTGCTGAGAGGTAGAATGGGTGGGGCTAACTAAGCATTTACTTTCTTTAAAAAATCTATTTGAATCAGTTGAACAAAGAATTTGGAAAGTATTGCGTAAGCCATTTGATTGCATGTCAGTGCTTTGACAAGGATTTCTGCTTGGGGATTCAGGAGAAGAAACAGTAGCTGTAAACCATATGTGGCCATCTGAGTAGATAAAAGCAGATTTACAAATGAATCCTTTTTTTTGGTTTGTTTTGGAAAAAGAAACCCATACGCAGGTAATTTTTAAGATATATCAAGGTTCAAAGGACTCGTGTAATAAAGATTACAATTTCTGATTGTGTTTAGTGTTAAGTAAAACATGAGCTCCTTGAAGCCAGGAACTATTTTCATTTCATTTTTGTGTATTCAGGGCCTAACCAAGACTAGTAACTTGGAATCGCTTGATCAACAAGCATTTATTAGGCACTTGTGTCAGACGCTGTGCTAAGCCCTGGGGTTACAAAGACAAAAGAAATCCATGTCCTAAAGAAGCATTGAAAACAGCATGTATCTGTACAAATAAGCATAGAATATATTTCTATAAATAAGCACAAAGGAGTTTTGGGAGGAAGTGTGCAAGCAGCTGGGAAGATCAGGGAAGGCCTCATGTAGAAGGTTGCTCCTGGGCTAAATGTTGAAGTGGGATAGGGATCCCAAGAGATGGCCTTGAGGCAGGTGTGCATTTCAGGCAATGGGGTACAGCGAGTACAAAGGCGTGGAGACTGGAAGTGTATGTGAGGAAGGGGAAGGAGGCCAGTGTGGCTGCATCAGAGAGTTCATAGAGGAGAGTGATGTGGAAAGAGGCCGGAGAAGGAAGGCCCAGCAAGGCTTTGAATGCCAAATGGAGGACTGGACGTTTGATCCTAGAGGTAAAAGGGGGCTTCTGGAGTTTATCAAACAGGGCATGACATGGGCAGACCTGCACTTTAGGAACATGGCTTTTGCAGCTTTGGAGGGTGAATTGGAGTGGGGAGAGATTTAAGACAAATTAGGAGGCTGCTGAAGTAGTCCAAGCTAGAAGTGATGAGGGCCTGATGTCAATGATGGTTTGAGTAGAGTGATGGGGAATGCATATGAGAGGGGGGAGGAGAGGAAATAAGCATTTATTAAGTGTTCATTATGTGTATCAGCCATGTACTAAGCACTTCACAAATATCTAATTTGATGTCCACGATGACCTTGTGAAGTAGGTGGTATTATGGTCCCCATTTTACAGTTGAGGAAACTGAGGCAGACAGGTTAAATGACTTGCCCTGAGTTACACAGCTTAGTAAGTGACTGAATCTAGATTTGAACTCAGTTTTTGCTGACTCCAGGCCCAGCGCTTTATCCATTTTGTCACCTGGCTGCTTAAACTTATGTATGTGAGAGGTGCTATGAAGGTAGAAATGACAAGATTTGACAACAGAATGTTAGGTGATGAACTATATGACTGTGACGTGCGGGCCATCCTTCCTGGGTTTAGAACAGATGATAACTACTCTTTTAGCCATCATGTGATAACTTTTTTTTGTCTAAGGCATATCTTGCAGACCATCTACTAAGGTGGAGAGGTGTAGCATTCTCTGTCAATGGAGAAAGTACCTACTGTAGTGAAATAATAGATTTTTGATGTATTGAAGTACCCTGAAGACTAAATTATTCATTGTTCCTAAATACTACCTTTTGCATTTCAGCTATAACAGTTAACTTTTCATTTATTCTTTTAACCAAAAAGAGAAAAAGAAAGTAACTTTAAAACCCAAGTCCAGAAAAACACGGTGTTCTAGGAAATAGAGGATGACCTCAGCAATGTCTTTAATCTTCTGCGGAGGTGGGGTGGTGGCCTCCTTCAGGCTTGAGTTACCACGATCATAGCCTTGGAAGGCTGGAAGAACATCTGAGAGGGCAGGTAGCAAGAGACCTTGAGATCCATGTGGCGGCATAAGTCTGTTTAGGGAAATATCCGAATTGTCAGTGGGTAGCATTGCTTATTACTTTGGTGGAGTGCAGCAGGACCAAAAAAAACACTGGAGCAGAGTGAAAAGATTTGAAGTCAAAGGACCAGTTCAGATCTTATTTCTGACACTGTGTGGCCATGGTCAAATCAGTTAGCCTGTCTTGACCTCAGTTCCCTCCTCTGTTGAAGGTGTGGGGATTGTAATTGGATCAGATGATCTCTTGTGTCATTTACACCCGAATGTTGTGATTTCATGAAGAATAGTTAGATATCTAAGGATTGTTTCTCCTTGAATCTCCTGTTCCTAACAACTTTCTGTGGATCGGGAGAAAAGGACATTTGTCAACCGTGTCCAGAATTGTTGCTTGGATTAACCCTACCCTTTCTCATAAAGTAAGGAAATGATCTTTAAAATCTTAAAGAAAAACTCAAAACTTATATCTTTTTTGTTTTTTTTGGTGCAGGTGGATGGAGGCTTGTCTCAGTGAAGAGCTGCCTCCTACTACAGAACTGGAAGAAGGCCTAAGGAATGGGGTTTACCTTGCTAAACTTGGAAACTTCTTCTCTCCCAAAGTGGTATCCTTGAAGAAGATTTATGATCGGGAGCAGACCAGATACAAGGTATGAATTCCTTATTTCCTAGACTTAAAAATGTCTATAGACTTGATAAGGAAGATTAGAGTGGCTGATAGTATTTTGGATTGAAAAAATGTGAATATTCATTTAATTTTTTTTACTTTGTTAAAGTTTATGTACATAGACATGTTTTAATCAAAATATAAAAAGTTTGGAGTTTCTGGTTTTGTTTGGGCTTTTATTCCTTCTGTCCTTTGGTTTCTGATGAGATTGTTATTTAGCTTGCAGTAAATTATTTTATGTAGAAAATGAGAACTATATGTCCTTTATTCCTTTTTCCACTTGAAGTGGTAAGTTTAGCTATATAAAACCAGAACCGGTCTGCCTTCATTTTCATTTTCATATAACTTTTTTTTTTTAGTATATCTTTTTTTTTTTTGGTTGGGCAATGGGGGTTAAGTGATTTCGCCCAGGGTCACACTGCTAGTAAGTGTTATGTGTCTGAGGCCAGATTTGAACTCAGATTCTCCTGAATCCAGGGCCGGTGCTCTATCCACTGGGCCACCTAGCTGCCCCCCATTTTCATTTTTAATGAGCATCAGACACCATTAAAAGACAAAAACCAAATCCCCTTTTTATTCCAACACTCTTTTCACTGTCTTACAGATTTTCTTTTTCATTAGGGAAGGCAAAAGATGATTTCCTTTTCTCTGTTCCACCTTCTTATTCAAGCTTTGGATTTGTTAGAGAAACTCTTGCCTCAGTTTTTCTCATCTATAAAAGCCATGTGTTGAGACTGTAGGTTACTCACAATCTTTTCTTCGTTTTCCCATACCTTTTCCTACTTCTTTGTCAGGAAGAGTCTTTGGTTACAATAACCACGTAGGCCCTCTGAGATTCAAGGATATTGGCCACCACAACCTGATGACAGTAAGTCTTCAGAGCCCCCTAGGCATGATCCTCGAGGGCAAGATTTACAGTTATTTATGTCCCCCAGCACTTAGCACACTGCTGGACACCGTAGTAGGTGCTTAGTAAGTGTTTAATGACTGACCGACATTATCATAGGATCCTGGATTTAGGGCAGGAAGGGACCCCCTGGAGGCCATTGAGCCCAGCCTCCTCATTTTGCAGGTGAGCAAAGTGAGATTCGGAGAGGTGAACTTACGCAGGGTCACGCATCTGATAAATGTCAAGTTGGAATTTGAACCAAGGTCATCCTGTCTTTCAAGGCCAGTGCTGTAGCCACTGTGCCATGTTCCTCTCACTCTTATAGCGTTTTAAGGTTTGCAAAGTGCATCTTTCATTCAAGCCTTTTAACAACTGCTATGAGAAAGGGTATTCAGGAAGGACTGGCATCTCCAATGTGAGGGCCCTTTTCAAGGCTGCTTGTCCATCTTTGGTGTCCATCTCTCCCCAACTCTCACCTAACTGTCTCAGCTGTGGCTCCAAGAAGCTGTAGCGTGCACAGTGGCCATACCCCTGTAAAACCGTCTTGGCAGATGAGCTAAATCAAGTTGAGGGTAATTGACAGGCCTCAAATCTGTCAGTGAATTAGGGGGATGTCTACAACAAGCATGTGAAGACTTCCTGTGGTAGAATGGGCAGATGGGAACAATTTGTTACGAGGTCATAAAGGTGGCTAAAGAAGGTGCTGTGGAGCACTTAGAGCTTGATCATTCATCAAAGATACCACGGTCATCTTTTGCATCCCAGACCATCACCAGTCATCTTGACTTTTGTCCTGACACTGGACTTCGATGATCTGAAAGAGAGAGTGAAGCTAACGACTTTGTGCAACTCTGCCTCACTTCAATCCAGTTCACTTACAAGTCAGGATGTTGTCCAGGATGTTATTGTTCCTCTTCAAAAATGAAGGATGAACAACAGCTCCATAGGTATCCCTAGTTTATAGGTGAGGAAACTGAGGCTTTGAAACATGACAAGATGTGGGGGTTTAATCCATTTGGCTGTAAGTGTAGCCCTTTCTCCACTGTGCCACGTACTCCTCTGCTTTAATGATCCCTGGTCTGGAGGAGTTCATGATCTCCTTGGGAACATAAAAATGCAGAGGCAAGAAGGAAATAAAAGTACCAAGTGCCAAATAGCTAATTGTAGTGGCAGGAAATGAGGGCTGCTAAGAGGTAGAGGTAATGTGCTGTTGTATTTACACGATAGCATATGTAACAAGGCTTTTACTGACTAAATGTATATGAGAAAACCAAGTACTTGTGTTGTGACTGAATGAAATTAAGACTTTCTTGTTTGTTGTCCTTGACATGTGAACGAGAGTATAGACTGGAGGAAATTGATGTGTAATGCATGGTTTCAAATTTATTGTAAGTTGGCCGTGCAGTGCTTTCCACTGAGATTTGGAAGGAACAGCATTTATTTGGAATATGTCTCGATGCAGCTTCATTATGCTTAATGTGTTTTGTTTTGTTTGTTTCAGGCAACTGGCCTTCACTTTCGGCATACCGATAACGTGATTCAGTGGCTGAATGCAATGTCTGAGATTGGGCTGCCTAAGGTAGATATTCCTGAGTGTTTGTGCAGTTTTTTATCTTAGAGCCTGAGTATTTCACTCAGTAAAGCACTAAGTGAAATTTCTTATCCTGCTTTAAATCTTTAAAAAAGATTTCTAAAATTTTTTCAAGTTAACATTTTATTTCCATCACTTCCATTTCCAAATATATTCCTCTTCCCATCTTTGACCTATTGAGCCTTTCTTGAAACAGAGAGTAAAGAAGAGAGGAAAAAAACATTCATGTGCAGTGGCATACACCTGTAATCTCTCAAGGAAGTTTCTCAGCCCTTCTCCAGGCCAAGCTTATTTGTTAAATTTAGCATGCATGCAGTTTTGTCTTTAAAATGATTTTCTTGATCTTTAAAAAAAAATTGCTGTCACTTTCCTGTGACTGTCCCTCCATTCCAATAGAGCTATCTGTTGTAATGAAGTAGTACAATTAAGCACAGCAGAGAAACCCATTGAATGTGTAGGCCTTGTTTTATACTTGTAGCCTGCTGAGAGGTAAGAGATGTGCTTCCCCATTGGTATTCTGAGGTTGTGCTTGCTCACTGCATTGATCGTCGTTCTGATGAAGTCTTTTACGTTGTTTTCCTTTTTACCTTCCCTGTTAGTGTTGAGGGTACCACCACACTCCCGGTCACTCAGGCTCACACAGGACCATTGTCCTCGATTCCTCACTCACATCTCCCCACTCCCCCATCCAGTTGGTTGTCAGGTCCTTGTCATTTGTACCTTTATCCCATCTCTTATATATGACGCCTTTTCTCCAGTGACATTACACCCTGGTGTAGAACTTAATCACCTCAAGCTTGGACTAGTACTGTAGCCTGCTTTGGGAGGGCAGGGTGGGGGAGGGAGAGGGGGGAGAGAAGGGACAGGCGTGCAGAGGCTCCCTGCCTCAAGTCTCTCTCCCTTCCTGTCCATCTTTCAAAACACAGGGCTGACCGTGTCACCACGCCCTTCTCCCCTCCTCACTCCAACTCCATCCCTCCCCTGCCCCTGGTCATTGCCGGTGGTCCTTCAGTTGGTATGCATTTATGAAGTGACTACTGCATGACAGGCATCGTGCTGAATGATGGAGATACAACAAAAGATGAAGAAAGTTCCTGCCCTCGAGGAGCTCACATTCTAATGGGAGAGACAACATAGAAGTGTGGACAAAAAACTATATACAGCATAAATAAGAAGTAATTAACAGAGGGACGATACTAGAATTAGGAGGGATTGGGAAAGGCTTCCTGTAGAAGGTAGGATTTTGTCTGATACTTGAACTAAATTAAGGGAAGCCAGGTGAGGGGGCAGAATATTCCAGGCATGGGGTACAGCCGGAGAACATGCCTGGAGATAAGAGATACGGTATTTTGTTTGGGGGAACAGCCAGGAAGGCCAGTGTCATTGGATTGAAGATTATGTGGTAGAGTGTAAGAACTGGAAAGGTGTGGAAGACTTAGGGTGTGAATGGCTTTGACTTCCAAACAGAGGATTTTGTAATTGGTCCTGGAGGTGATGGGGAACCACTGGAGTTTATTGAATAAGAGGGTGAAATGGTTGGATTGGCACCCTAGGAAAATCACTTTGGTGACTGAATGGAGAATTTACTGATGTGGGGATGGACTTGTGTCAAGGAGACTCCCCAGCAGCCTATTGCAATAGTACAGGTAAGAGAAGATGAGCACCTGCAACCAGGGTGGCGGCAGAATCACAGAGAAGGGAAAATATTTCAGAGATATTGCCAAGGTGAAGTCAGCTGGCCTTGGCAAGAGATTGGCTGTGGAGGCTTGAGAGGCAGTCAGGAGCCACAGTAAACTTAGGTGCCTGGGAGGATGGTGTCTCTGATAATAACAGGAAAACTTCAGAGCGGAGAGGAAAGGTAGTGAGTTCTGCTTTGGATGTGCTGAGTTCAAGATGTCTCCAGAACATCCAGTTTGAGACATCTGAAGGCAGTTGGAGATGTGAGTCTGGAGTGTAAAGTCTTCACTTTGGCCTTTAAAGCCCTTTGTAACCTGACCCCTTCTTATACCGTACACCTCTCTGGGTGCTTTTTGATCCGGCAACACTGGCCTCCTGGCTGTTCCTCAAATACTCTATCTCCCGACTCCAGGCATTTTTCCTAGCTGTCCCCTGAGCCTGAAATGCTGTCCTTTCTCAGTTTTGCATGTTATCGTTCTTCAAGTCCTTCCTTCTGTTAGAAAGCCTTTCCCAGTTCTTCGTAATCTTCATGCCTTCTCTCTGAGATTATCTCCAGTTTATCTTGTATATATCGTGTTAGTCCACAGTGGGTGGCATGTTCTCCCCCCTTTCGACTATGAGATCCTTGAGAACAGCAACTGTTTTTTGCTTTTCTTTGTATCCCCAGTACTTAGCACAGTGCCTGGCACATAGTAGGAGCTTAAATAAATTCTAGTTGACTGAAGAGTTATGTAATTTAAGTTTTCTAAAATTATTAGATACATCTGAAATATTTTGTGAAATATTATTTAAGCAGTACATTTTCTACCTAGTTTGCCTCATTTGGGATGGGAATCAGTTTTTCCTTCCTTTTATTCTGTATTACTTCTCTTAGTAACCCAGTAGTGAATTTCTGCTCTCCCTCTTCATTATCTTATACTATAGATGTATATGTAAGTGTGGTTTTAACAAGTGTAAGGACAATTTTGGAGGCCTTCCAATGTAAGACTTAAATTTGGGGGTAAAAAACGTTTTTCTTGTTGGATTCCCTTTCCCCTCTTCCTTCTCCTTAGACAGTTCTATGATGACCTTTGCTGTAAATTCTCTTAGCTTGGTGACTGAATCACTTATGTTTTATGTGTGGTGTTAGGGAAATGACATCTGACTTACTAGTCTCTCCTCAAATCCTCAAATGCAATGCTTTATAACTTAAAATACAAATATAGGTAGCAGGGTGTCACTGAAGCAAGGAGCTTTATACATCCAGTATGATACAGGTGAGAAATTTAAATGTACACGAGCGGACACTTCGGGCCTTGCTCGGTGCTGAGCTTTGGGTTTTCTGAGTTCCCTGGCTGCTGCCGCCTTTCTCCCTAAGGTTGCCTTTTGTCTACTTTCTGTTAACTTTGCATAGCCCTTTTTTGCACTTCCCTCATTAGAATCGAAGCTTCTCCAGGACAAAAGTTGGTTTTGCTTTTTTGTTTTGTAGCCAGTAAGCTTGACACAGCTTCTCGCATGGTCAATGCTTAATAAGAATTTAATTGATGTTCTTACAGCATTAAAATTCTAGGCGTGAGCCTTTACACAGAAAGATTTTCTCCTCCTTCTTCTTCCGAATTGTATCAACGTTCCTTTTTGTACAGTTGTTTGAGAGAGAATTAAGAGAATTGAGCCCTACAAAACCCAGGAAATGCAAGCATTCTAATTCTTTCAGCAATGTTAGTCTGGCCTTGTTAAGTACCTGTAATTTCCTGTTCCTCTTTTTTCTTGTTTCCTATATAGTGTCCCCATTGGGCAAAGATTTTCTAGCTCTGCTTGGTGTGACGTGAAGAGCGCTATTTATACTTACTATGGCTACAAAATTCTATTATTTTAATTGTGCTCCTCAGCTTTTCTAGACAGCAGCGTACTCTCTTGAGTCACATACACGATTTTCTAAAAGCATCCATTCTCAGTTATATAGAATTAGTATGTCCACAGTGAGATGTTAGGTAGGCAAGAGCTTTGCTATTTGATTAAAAGTACTTTCTTGGGGTGCTTCAAAAATTAGTTTCATAGGGTCATAGATTTAGAGTTGAAAGAGACCGTGGTGGCCATCAAATCTAATCCCATTTTACAGATTTTACAGATTTACAGATGAGGAAACCATGATACACAGAGTTTATGTGAATTTCCCAGGGCCAGACAGCTTCTGAGGCAGGATTTGAACCAAGATCTTCCTGAGAAGTCAAATGCCATATTTGCTATGCCATACTGGCACATCATTTTGAAGTATGATAACTTTTTGATTTAAAAAAATGTATATTTATAGGTCATACTTACGCAGTGTGTGGATGTATACATATGTGAGTGTTGTGTTTTTGTATTTAAGTGTATGTATATGTACATACCTGTAAATAATAATTTTTATTGAATTCTAATAGGCCTCTCAAGTTGCTAAACTTAACACTGTTAATTCTTGTGTAAATGGGCCAGTTGTAGAAATAGCCCAGTGACTTTTATCTGTTCTCGTTTTCCTTAATTTCTCAGATACTTTCAATTAAATACTATTTAAAACTCCTTTTATGACATTTTCATTCTTTGTTTTCTGATACTATATTATAGTATCTCTCCTCTTAAATACCCAACCATTCCTTTTTAAAAAAATTTGTTGGTGTCTTTTCTGTCCCTTACTTTATAATTGTGCATATTCTGCAAGGTCCAGTACTTTACTTTTTAATCTAGTCTGTCTTCATTTTTGTCCTAACTCAGTGAGCATTTATGATGTGCCTACTATATACTAGGCATTGTGCTAAGTGCTGGGAATATAAAGAAAGATGCCTCATCACTTCCCGTCCCCAAATTCCTCTTCTCAAAAAGCTCACAGTCTAACTGGGGAGACAGCATGCAAATAATTCTGGACAAACAAGCTGTATACAATTCAGATTGAGATATTTTCAGAGAGAAGGCACTAAGATTAACAACTAGGAGGGCTGCTAGTGGAAGATGGTACTTGAAGGAAGTTGAGATAAGGTGGGAGACAGTTCCAGGCATGGGGGGCAGCCAGTGAAAATGACAGTCAGGAGAGCTTGAGGAACAGCAAGAAGGCAGCGTCACTAGATTGTAGAGTACCTGGAGTGAAGTATGGAAGAAGACTAGAAAGGCAGGAAGGAGTCATGTTAGGAAGCGCCAAAGCAAAGATTTTATATTTGATCCTGAAGTTGATTGAATGGGGGAAAGGCGGAGGAAACGTGCCATAGTCTGAGCTGTGCTTTGGGAAGATGACTTTGACAGCTCATGGAGGATGGACTGGCATAGGGAGAGACTTGTGCAGGGACACCAACCAGCACATTATTCCAGCACACCAGGCTTGAGGTGACGAAGGCTTGTGCTAGGGTAGTGTCAGCGTTGTAGAAGACAAAGGACACGTTCAAGAGGTAGAAATACCTCCTGACGAAGGTAGAAATGGCAGGGGATTGTTCCTTCTGTCTTCTTAGATTCATTGAGACCTGGTTTCCTCTTGAAAATACAGCTTCCCTGGCTACCCTTCCATCTCTGGCTGTTCTTTCATATCATCTTCTCATCGAGGCCTCCCCCCACCTCACTCCCCCCCCCCCCAAATCACTGGTTTTGATGAGAGGGAGTGAGGAGTCAAAGATGACATCTATGTTGTGAACCTGAGTGAATGGGAGGATGGTGATACCCTTTATAATAATTGAGAATTTAAGGTGGGGAGGAATTGGGGAGAAAGATAATGAATTTAGTTCTGGACATCTTGAGTTTAAGTTGTCTATGGCATATCCATTTTGAGGTGTCCAGTAGGCGTTTGGAAATAGTAGAGGTCCGAAGACAGATTGCAGCTAGATAAGTAGATTTGAGAATAATTAGCATAAAGGTGATAATTGAATCCATGGGAACAGATGAGATAGACAAATGAAGAGAGAGAGAGAGAGAGAGAGAGAGAGAGAGAGAGAGAGAGAGAGAGAGAAAGAGAAGAGAGAGAAGAGGGCTCAGGACAGAGCTCTGTGGGTCACCCATGGTTAGCACATGTGACCTGGATAAAGATTCAGCAAAGGAGACAGAGGAGTGGTCACAGAGGTCAGAGGAGAACCAGAAAAGAGTAGTATCACTACTTTAGAGAGAAGAAGAGTAGAAGAGGCTATTCAGCTTTGTCAAAGGCTGCCGAGAGGTCAAGAGGAATGAGAATTGAGAAAAGGCTATTAGATTTGGCAGTGGAGAGATTACTGGTAACTTTGGAGAAAACAGTTTCACTTGAATGATGAGGTCCAAAGATGGACTGCAGAGAATTAGGAAGAGAGTGAGAAGGAATCATTCTTAAGGAATTTAGCTACAAAAGGGTGGAAAGAGATAGAATAATAGCTAATAGAGTTGATACAATTAATTCAGGGTTTTTTTGAGGATGGAGGAAATGTGAACAGGTTTCTAGGCATTAGGGAATCAGTCCTTAGATAAGAAGATATTAAAGATTAATGAGGTAATCTGATGGAGATTGACCACATTGGGATCAATGGTGCATACAGGAGGTTTTGCCTTGGCTATAAGAATTATGTGAGATGGGTGAAGGAGGAGATAGCAGAAGGCATCTGAGTGATATGAGATGATCAGTAACGGAGGAGGAAGAGTGCTCATTTTTTTCAGTGAAATTATGAGGCAAGGGTCTCTGCCAGGAGGGGAGAGGGAAGGAGTATTATGGGAGGTTTGAGGAGAGATGGAAAGGTTTAGAAAAGCTACTGCAGTGAGTGGCATAGTGAATCACTAGGATGGTATAAAAGGATTGCTTGGGCACAGTGAGGGCACAGTTGAGGTTATGTAACGTAAATCGTTGTGGACTCAGCACAGTTCTGTGATTTTCGCCATCTTATTTCAGGAGCACATGAGCATAGGTAAGTTGAGGAATTGAGAGATCGGGGTGTTTGAGGTAGTGTCAGTATGTGTGTTGTGCAAGAAAGGGAAAGGTTTAAGATGGAACCCAGCTTGCTATCTATGGAACAGGCATTCTAGAGAGCACAGTTGGCGTGGTAGGTAACTTTAGAGTGGTTTGGGTTGAGGGGGATAGATTAAGGGAAACATCAAGCACAGAGAACAAGGTTTAGTCATTGGCAGTTGGGGTTTCATGATCATTAGGATGGGTAGGGAGGGTATGATTGGAATGTGGAAGTATGTTAATCATTAAAGAATAAGTTCATGTGGGTTATCATTGTCTGTAGAAATTTGGCCTCCTGTTGGAGTTGTTCCAGGGCAGACAGCAGAGGGTGGGGAGAGAAATGGAGAGGAGTGGAGGGTGCCCACATGGGGAGCAGGGCTACTGCTTAGAGTTTTAGGTGTCTAGAGAGGGGTAGAATCAAGGAGAATAGGCAGCTCCCCTCCTGCCAAGGTAGGTGGAAGCAGGAGTGTTGATCTTTTTTTTAATGACTTCTGGCTTTCAGCCATGTGTGATAATTCTTAGATTTTTATCCTCAGTTCTCTTCTCTCTTTGAAGCATAGTATTTTTCATTTTCATTTAGATGACTTGATTTCACTTTAAGCTCATCATGTCTGAAATTGAATTTATCTTTTTACCGAATCATAGTCTCTGTGTCTGTAAGTGACAATACGCTTTGACCAGTAATACCCATCTTCACACCTTGGAATTCTTTTTAAGGCCTTTTATGACCTTATTTTTAAATTTATGATCATTATGCCTTTTTTTTGGCCTTATGATCTTTCATTTAGGCTTCATGACCTTATGTTTTAATTATTTTAATAGGCTCCAAGTTTGCCTTCTTTTCTTAACTCTGTTTCCTTCTCTTTCCAAGACTTCTTGTCGTTTACTTACCAAATCAGTCTTCCTGAAAATTATTCTCATGTCACTCCTCGTTTTTTTTAGTCTCCCAAAACAAACAAAAAAAGCCTACAATGACTTCTTGTGATCTTTTGTGTCAAGTTAAACTCTTACCTGACTTTGAAGATTCTCCATAATATGGTTATATGTTCCCCATCCATCTTGTAGCATAGTTACAATGTGTTTATTACTAGTTCTACATAGTTCCTCATGTTATTCCTTTTTCAGTAGCATCTTTTCCCCTTTCCTTTGTCTAGCCATAGTCCCCTGAACAGTACTTCAGGGTCCCAGTTAAGTCAAATTCTACATTTTTCCTGAGCACTGTCCTGACTACTTCTCCCCTGCCCTCATTAATCTTCCTTTCTTCCAACACTTATGGTCCATTCCGCAGTTTAATATGTAATGACATATTGATTCTTATGGTTTATTATTTTCCTGTATTTTATTCCTATCTAATTAGATTATCAGTTCTTAGGGACCATGACTTATATTCCTCTTAGCACCTACAATGGTGTGTGAATTACTTGGGACAAGAAATAATATTGATATAACTTCATTTTGCAACAGCAGTGGTCATTTGTGTGTTTCTGGGTATATTAGGCTAATTCAGGTCTGACCTTAATCAAATGAAACCACATTCCAAAAGGCAAAGTACAATAGAAAGATATGATTTAGTATGATAAGGATGAGGGTTTGGCCAGAGGGGTCATGTGGACCCTAAGCTTGTATCTAAGTCAGTGAAACTAGATGACTGAGAATGGGGACCCTGTGTGATATGGTAGATTGGACGTGTTCCATCTGTAGTACTTAGAGGATAGTAGACTAGCAGAGTTTACGTATTCCGAAAGTCAAGATGAAATCTGGAATTCTGGTCTTCTAAGAACAGAAGTGGCAGACAAACTGATGGCTGAAAAACTCCTGAGTGTGGCCTGAGCCAGATCAAAATATAATTGGGAAATATTTAACAAAATAAATAAAGCACGGGACAACATAGATGCCTCTTAATTTGTGGTCTTCTAGGTCAGTGTGCAGCCTGCAGGAATCCTTTTGTATTTGAGTTTGATGCCTCCTGTTTAGAATGTTAGCACACTCTTACCCTGGGTGTCTTCTGGCCTTTGATAGCTCTGTGGGGCTTCTGGCACTGATTGCAGGGAAGAGGAGGCCACACTCTCCCCTATGTGAGATGATATTAGAAGTAGGCAAGACTGTATCCATGCTACAAATTAGAATGACTGGGAGGGAGTTTTAGAATATCTAGAAAACTTTCCTGTTGTTATCCCATATAAGAAATATGGGTATATTTTGTATTATTGTTGGGTGGTTTAAGATGAAATGATTATTGATTTATACCTTACTCTGCTTTATTTCTGGGCAGATTTTTTATCCTGAAACCACAGACATCTATGATCGAAAGAATATGCCACGCTGTATCTACTGTATCCATGCACTCAGGTAACCAGTCTTTTCGAAAAAATAATGCAGTGGTATCTTAGAACCTGACTGTAGTAAGCACACTATGTTCCATGAATATAGAACTGGGGAGCATAAAGCATCAGGCTTAAAATGGGAAATTGGTAGAAAAATGACTTGGCAGGAGAAAGTTCATGTACATCCTTTCTGTCTCTCATTGCCATTCTCTGTCTCTGTTTCTGTCTATGTCTCTGTTTTTCTCTGTTTGTTTCTGTCTCCTGTCTTTCTCTTTTTCCGTCTCCTTCCTTCACTTCCTTTCCCTCTTCCCCTTTCTCCCCCAACCCCCGTCTTAGCCAAATAATTGCCATTTTGTCTGTTTTTTAAAATGACATTTGTCCATTTGAAAACTTTTATAGATACTATTTTGTTATAACATGGCAAATTGAATCATAAATTCAGAATTTCTTGCTAATTCTTTAGTATTATACTAAATTTCACCAGAAACATATAACTTGCTTCAAAATGTGGAAGAACCAGTTGAATGCATGAATGTGAAATGTCAAAGCAGTCAAGTTGAAACAATTTGGTTTCACTTTGGTTAGCTTGGTAATTTTGGTCCAGTTTTGTGCTCGTTAGTAGACTCTCAAAGCAAACGGTACAAAGTGATGGCATCAAGTCATTTGTGTAATAGTTAACACTCATACTAATACTAATTCAGTAAACCATTTGGTGGCAGCATCTTTATCCCTCATGTGTAAAACAGGAATTGGAGTATAATTGACCTGCCCCAGGTCCTCCAGAGAATCAGTGAAAGGTGGCTTGCTTCCACTTTCTAGTCATAAACCAAGTTTAGGATGATAAATAACCAGTGGGGGAGGGAGCTGTGCAGTAGCGATTCTCCCATCATGGGAAATAGGTTTGGTTTATTTGATGGTCAGCTTGATTAGAGAGCACAGGGCTGTGATTGAAATAAATGAGGTAGAAAAATGAAATGTCATTGCCTGCTGATATTCTCCTGTCTGATCTATAAAATGTTTGTGGAAATAGGTGTGTGGTCTTAATCCAGACATTTTTCTCATTTCCTCTCATTGATCTGACAGTCTTTGTCGCACAGAAATCTAGTGATGAAAACATATAAGGGAGATTAATGCAGATAGATAGACTGGTAGAGCACACAGACTGCTTTGAAATCATGATGTTGGGATAAGACTTTTTTCACCATAAAGACAATATCAGCTTGCTTGTGACTGGAAGGAAAGAATGATTGGATGAATCTTTGTTCCTGCTGTTTTCTCTATATGAGCTGTTCTCTCCCTTGTCTACCTATCCAGATCACACCCATCTTTCAAGACTCCAGCTCAAGTCTAGCTTTGTTTATGGACGCTGACCTGGTACACTCTAATCTGTACCTTTTCTGAACACCTGTGGTACTAACTGGCCATAAAACAGTCATGGTAGCTAGCATGGCACTTACATAACACCTTTAGGTTTGCAAAGCACTTTGCCTATGTTAACTCATTTGATTCTTACCACAGCCCTGTGAGGTGGGTGCTATTTATAACCTCCATTTTATGGATGGAGGCCAAGAGAGGCTGTCTAGGGTCCCACAACTCTTCAGTGTCTGAGGCAGGATTCCTGCTCAGGTCTTTCTGACTTCAGGTCTTGTCTCTTTATCCACAGCCTTACACTACCTACTTGCCTAACATGATTTAGCATTTCACAATGGATTGTTCTCTCTTTCTTGTGTCCTTGTCTTTAAAAAAGAATTTTTTTTCCTTATGAACTTAACACCAAATAAAATGGGCATATTTATGTAGTTGGTTTTTTTTTCCTCCCACAGCCAGGTTGTCATCTCCTTAAGGAGAGGGATTTATTTTATTCTTAGGTTTCTTGTCTTCCTTTGTAACTCCTAGAGCTTCTGGCACAGTTCTGTACTATAGATCAAATGAGAGAATGTATGTGAAACACTTTAAAAAACCTTAAAGTCCTCTCTGCATAAAGGTTTGCTATTATTATTAGTAGTAAGTGCTTAGGAAATTCTTCTTTGAGATAGTGTGTAAGGTATAGTTGCAGCTCCTGAAACGCCTCCATATGGGAGAATTTCCAGGTGGGCTGGCTCTGGGTCCAAATTGGACAAATTCTTTGTAGTGTGATTTGGGTCAGGGGTACACACAGGCCTCTCTGGACGGATAAATTGGTGAAGGCTGTGGCTGAGGAAAAGCCAGCAGAGGGTCACTTTGCTCGTCTGGGCCCCTGTCCTTTCTGCAAGGTGAACTGAAGCTCAGGCCCTCCTCATTTCTTGGTAGCTCTAGTCTGTTCTAAGAAAATCTCTGTGGAGTTGTGTGTTCCAGTGTGTGAATTGTGGTTCCTTTTCTTCTGTTGTACTTTTATGGAAATTGATCTGATCTTGGCCAGTAGTATGTCAACTGAAAGAAAGGATGTGCTGGAGGCCCTCAAAGCAGTTCATCTATATAATGAGGACTCTGGTTGGGCATGGAGCATTTACTTCCTCTTGCTCTCTGCTGCCCCTGCCTTTTTTAGGAGCCTTGTCTGACACTGACATAGTGCTTCTGACAGTAATAATGGAGTGATTTGTAGTATGCTTCCAACGGGCTTGCTGATTTTATTGGATGTGCTTGAATAGCTTCCTTTTCCTTGCAAGAGGGCACGGTGAATTTGAATGCTGGGCCTGGAGTCGGGAAGACCTGAGTTTAAATCTCATCCCAGACACTTAACTAGCTGTGTGTCTCTGGACAAGTCACTCTCTGTCTGCCTCAGTTTCCTCAGTTGTAAGATGCAGATAAGAGTAGCATCTACCTCCCAGGGTTGTTGTGGAGATCAAATGAGAATATATTTGTAAAGTGCTTAGCAAAGGGCTTGGCATGTAGTAGGCCTCCCTCCCTCCCTCCTCCCTTGTTCGTTTCCTTATTTTCTCACCCTTTTCTAAATGAAATTATGAGCAGGTTATACTCCCCTGTCTTGGTTAACTGCCAGTTTCTTGCTTTGTATTTTTATTTATCTTTACCCCTTCCTTAAAGCATAGTTATTGCTGAGCTATATAGCAAACATTAGCCCTGTTCATTTGGATCCAGATCTTTAAACATTTATCTCATATTTCTGTAATTCTTTCTGTTGCCAAAAATGTACACATTTCAGCAAATTATGATTTCGTTGGTGTATACTGGCAATGTAGAAAACGAATATGAGGTTGGTAAGAAAGTCTTAATTGATGTAAAACACAGGCTGAAAGCAGTTAACATTAATATGCTTTCTCTGAGGTTGCTAATGCTTCTCCCCAACAAAATTGTCTTGAATTTATTTTGTATATACTTACAATGTGTGTGTTGTTTCCCCAAACAGAATGTGAGCCTCAGGGCAGGGACTGTTTTATTTTTGTCTTTTTGTCCTCACTGCACTTGTCCGATGCCTGGCATATAGGTACTTAATAAATACCAAATGGTTGAGCAGACTACTGATTGCACCAGGTTGGCATCGTTTGATTGCTTGAAGGCATGTTGTAGAAGACTGAGTTAAGCCAGCTGACTGGAGAAGAAGAGGGAAAGTGAGCATTTGAGCCTGCGTTGTAGTTGTGGACCTAGGTGGCTGAAAGGACCGTTGTGCTCTCAGCAAATAGACAGGAGGTCTGGAAGAGAAGGGCTAGTGTAGAAGGGAAGATAATGGGAGTTCCATTTTGAACAGATTGATCTTGAGATGTTGGCGGGGCACATCATGGTGCAGATATCCAACAGGCAGTTGGTGCTGTGGGATGGATGTTGAGGATATTAGGGTTACGTACGTAGATGTAGGTGTTATCTGCCTTTGTAGCAGTACTGTTTGATCCCATCAGAGAAAATGTAAAGAAGAATAGAAGAGGGCCCTGTACAGAGCCTTGGAGAATACCCATGCTTATAAGGCTAGGAGATGAATAATGATTCAGCAGAAGAGATTGAGAGAGGACAGGAGTGAAGAAGAACCAGGAGCTGAGTAGTGTCATAGAAGTTAGGGCTAGAAAGAGTATCCAGGAGGGAGGAAGTCATTAACCATGCCAGAAGTGTCAGATTGCAAATAGGATGAGGATTGGAAAAGACCCAAGAACTGAAAAATCACAGCAACATGGAGCTGATTAGTACAGGGAGAAAAAACACATACTTCTGGCCTTTTGAAGGCTTCACCATAATATAGCCCTGTACCATTGTGTTGACCTTCAATCAGTAAGAAAAGTTTGATTTTTTTTATTCAGTAGCCTTTATTTAAGAAAAGAGAGAAATGTATAATTCTTTTCAGAAAGATTTTCTTTTAAAGCAGTTCAAACAAAAACTCAGTGTTTTTGGATAGGTAAAGTTTTACAGCATGTGACTTTAACAACAAGCTTCTTTCTTGAGCAGGTTAAGGTACAGTCCAGAAATAAATTGTATCATTAAAAAGCCATGACATGGGTAACTCGGATTTATAAAGTTTGCCTTGTTCTTTTTTCTAATTCCCCCATATCCCTTAATTCTTCTAAGAGCAGAAGGTGGAGCTAGCTGCATGTCAATAACAACAACGTGCAGGTTAGAGCAAAGAGTTCTAACTTTTCTACATGTTTTGTCTTTTAGCTTGTACCTGTTCAAACTGGGGCTGGCTCCCCAGATTCAAGACCTGTATGGCAAAGTTGACTTCACAGGTAAAGAGCTCTACTTTTGTATGTGGATTTGGTTGATTTGTGGAATGAAAGAAAGTGTATAAATCATCTCATCAGTTAGCTATTAGTAACATACCTGGAATTTAAAGGGTCCCGATGTGGAGTGGGATTGGAATGGGGCTGAAAAAAAAAGGCAAAAAAAATTTGCCTTTTATGTTCCTACTTAATGTTTATGGAGATGTATGTTTATGTGGTATTCTGAATATATTTACTTTGGGCAAACGCTCATCCTTTTTCAGTGTAGTTATATGAAGGCAAGGAGGAAGAGACAGGATTATCAAAGAGATTGTGTGGGGGGGGTGGGGGGGGAAATTGCATATAGGTACTGGTACTGTTTTTGTAGATCTATTTTAAGGAGTGACTCATTGTTATTCTATATAGGGAATTTGTATATCAGATATAAGTCAGGATATCTCACCATTAAACATTGCTTCCTTTTTTTTTATCATTTGGCTTAGTATATAATCTGAGAAATAAGTCACAGAATTATATAGAATCTTAAAAAACCATTCCCTCCAAGCTGATATTTAAAAATAATCCTTTTTACAGCACACCTAAGAAGTGATCATTCAGTGTTTGTTCAAAGATTTCTAGTGAGAGGGCAGCCAACTATCTCCCAAGGCAGCTGATTCCATTTTTGGATAACTTACCTTGTTAAGCAGGTCTTCCTAAAACAAGCCCAAATTTCCCTTGTTTCCACTTCTATTGTCTCTAATTATTTCTTCTTAGACTGAGGGGAATAAGTCTAATTTGTTTTCTACATGGTTGTCCTTTGATAGTTGAAGATAGCTGTCATGTCCCTGTTCAGTCTTTTCTTCTTCAGGCTAGAAAGCCCCAGATCTTTAAATTCTCACACGGCATGATCACTTCCTGGTTGCACTTCTCTGGACAGTCTCCACTTTATTCATGTTCTTTCAGGATGTGGGGCCCATCCTTGAACATGGGGCATGGGTTGTTGCTGGAGAAGGCAGAGTGCAGAGGGTCTCGGCTTCCTCAGGACCAGAAACTCTGCTTCTCTTCATATAGCCTAGGTTTGCTTTAGCTTTTGGGCCTGCCAAATTACAGTAGTGACTCGCTGTGCTTGCAATTCATAAAAGCCCTTAGGTCTTTTTCAGATAAACTGAGTTTTAGCCATGGTGGATCTTATACTTTCGAAGGTGCTTTGTTGAAGTCAAGTATAAGACTTAACTTTATCCCTTTAAAAACATATCCTGTTGGATTTGGTCCAACACATGCTGTCTTATCAAGATCTGCTTGGATTTTAACCCTATTACTGATGACTTCATTATCCCTCCCAGCTTTGTGCCATCAGCAGATTTAATAATCTGAATAATACATGACGTAATAATGCCATCTATGCCTTTATTTAAGTTATTGATAAGAATATTTTATAGTACAGGGCTCTCTTGTATTTATTTCACTGGAAATCTCTTTTCAGGTTGCCATCAAGCCTTTTGATAGTGCTATTCACCCAATTTGGATACATCTCATCTAGCCCTTTCCCATCTTTTCATTTTTTTTTCCCACAAAAATTCAATAGATACCTCATAAGAAAACATAATAGACTTTGTCAAATACTTAACAAAAATCTATGTAAACTGCATCTGTAGAATTCCCTTGATCTACCAATCTAGTCACCCTGCCAAAAAGAAAATAAAGTTGTAATCTTTGCTACATTTTTTAGATAATCACCAGCCATTCCTTTAATAATGTTACAGACTTTTGCCAGATATTAAAGTCAAATTCATTGGCTGTGCTTTGCATTTGCCTTTCTCTATTTTTCAAGGTGCTTTCCCTTTATAATTCAGTGGTAGCTCTCTCATTCTCTGTTCTTTTTCCCGAAGTCCTGACAGAGGTTGAACAGTCTGTTCTCTCCTGCCTGTTCTCCCAGTATACTGGGCTGTAGTTTTTTTTTTTTCCTACCTGATGACTTAAATTAACTAAGGGCAGCTGGATGCTTTCTTCCTTTTGTTATACTTATCAATTCTTTACTGGTCATTTTTATTCTGTCCTTTTCAGTCTAGAAATCACTTTTGTCAGACAGAAGAGAATCAGAGGAAGAGTTGGGCATCTTCACTTTTTCTCCATCATTTTTATTATGGTCTCACTCATTTCAGGCAGAAGCCGTATCCTTTCCTCAGCCTCTTCTCTTCCTCAAAGTAGTTTAAAAAACACAACTTTTTTTTTTGCCTTTTCCCTGCCAATCTTAGAGCTTTTTCACTCCCAACAGGACCATGCCACACATTTGTCATTATACTGTGGCCCTCCTTTGCTTCCATATTCTGTGTATTTATTTTAAAAATCTATGTTGGTCGCTCAATTCCCTTTGTCTTCGTGTTGATTTCCATAAACATTTTCCTCTTTTTCTTCACACTGGAATTATTTTCCCTTTGTATCTTTAAGTCATTCACCTCAAGTCATATAGCTCATCTTATCAGATGTGAGAATCAAACCCAAGTCTCCTGACTGTAAGTCTAGGATTCTCTCCACTATACATCATGCTACCATATTGGATGAGGATTGGTAACTTGGGCTGAAAAAGTCCAAGAGATGAAATTTGTAATTTGTCTTTCGGTGTTTGATGTATGTCTCCTTCTGCCTTCCCCCCTCTATCTGCTCCATTCTTGCAATTTTTTATATATAGCGAATTTTGTTTCTTCCCTTTAGGCCAGCCTCAGTTGTTCTTAGGACTTTTAGATGCTCTTGAATAGGTGAAGAATTGGTGAATACCTACTATCTTTATTTCCTGAAGTTTTGGATTGGCTTATTTGTAGAAAGGGGATTGAATCAACTTTTTCCTTCCATCTTACAGAGGAAGAAATTAACAACATGAAGAGTGAGCTGGAGAAGTATGGGATTCAGATGCCTGCCTTCAGTAAAATAGGGGGAATTCTGGCAAATGAGCTCTCTGTGGATGAAGCAGCATGTAAGGAACAAGGGATTTTATGTATTCTGGTGGGATTTTTGTTATACATTGAAATAGTTTAGATTGTTGTGATAATCATAGAGTCTAAGGTTTTGAAAGGATCTGGTGAGTATTTCAAATTCATTAAGCAATTGAATAGACCAAAAGGCTATCTTAAAGGTTCTCTTTCAGAAAAGTCTTTCCTACCCATGAATCAAAATCAGCCAAGTTTTCTTGGGAGAGGTAGCAGTAGAAGTGACCCCTGAATCATGAACATCGGGTGAGGCATCAAAGAGGGGATAGATTTATGCTCGCCTAAGGTGTTCTCCACTATGATGGAGGAGATCCAGTCTGGGAATGGTGGGTTGCTCTTGATGCTCCTATTTATGGATAGCATTATAGTGGTGGCATCGAGCTGTGGGTGTTGGAGAGACTTCTAGATGAAATTTTTAACTCTTAGAGTTTGGTGTCATCATTCACATGTGAAAGATGAAGTGGATGATTTTTCTTACTCCAATTATGACATGCATTTGTAGGGATAGCCAATAAAGTTTATCCTTCAGTCCCTATCTGGGCCAGACTATACAGATAGACAGTGTTTTGGGCCCAGATTTGAACAGGAGGAAAATGTCCTGGATTACCTTCAGGAAATTACTGAGTTCCTTCAGTGAGCTATAATACCTCTCCAAAACAAGGCTTATATTTAATGCCAGCATTCTGCTGGTGTTGCTTTATGGTAGAGAGACGTGGATATAGTAGTCTCTGAAGAATTGAAAATGACTGTTGACACAAAGGATAATGGAGAGGTGTAAGAAGACTGCAACATGGAGCCAGTGAGGAACTTAATAGAACAGAAAAGAAGTAAAAGATGTCATCAAGGAAATACATTATAAGAGGACAAGGTAGGCTGATCATTCAGTGAGGGCAAGGTAGCCAGTGTATCCCACTGGCACCAGAGAATGTGGAAGGCCTCCATCATCTTTGGTGGTTGCCCTGTGGTGAACTTATGGGAGGACACGGACAGATTTGCACACCATGCTCAAATATGGATAGATGGCTGTCTGCACATCGATGGCACACTTCCTTTTGAGTAGCAAGCTATAGTCCTTCGATAAGACAATGTTTAAAACAGTATAAGGATGTCGGAGGCTTACCTGTGCTGTTATCATTCGGAAATAGGTGCTGCATTTTGCTAAAAGAATAATATTGGAAAGTTAGGGTCTATTTTTGTCCACAAATACTGCCTTTAATAATACTCATTATCTTCGCTAATTATGAATAGTAATAACATTCACTTTATGATGCTTTAAGGTTTGCAAAATGGTTTCGTTGTAGTGACTCATTTAATCCGTACAACAATCCTCCTAGACATATTATCATCATTTTACAGATGAAGAAACTCAGCTTTTAGAGGTGGTGACTTGCTTCAGACCATATGGCTAGGATCTTAGAGTTCATTTAGTCCAGACCCCTAATTTTACTTGTTAGAACCGAAAGGAGAGCCAGTGTTTAAACCCACATCTTCTGATGCTAAGTTCAGGGCTTGATCGCAACACTGCTGCCTAATTCAGGCAATGGGGACAAAGGTGAGAGGGCTGGGTACAATTTCCAAATATAATTTCAAACCTGTGTTTCCTAAGAAACCACCTTCTCTTCAGTAGATTTCTGCTGAGTGAAGCCCATCATATTCAGATATAAAACTAAAGTAAAACACTCATATTCAAAACTCACATGGATTTGTGACCACATCAACATGTCTGTTCCTTCCAAAGATGCTGATCACAACCCATTCATGCCTCTATGTCCTGTGTGATTCTTGTGCATCTCCTTTCATTCTCTCAGTTCATCACTGGGCACACCTTCCTGACATCATGAAGATACCAGTGGCGCGTGTAGGCTGTGCACTGGTCATCTCTTTGTTTTTGCCCATCCTTTCATATACCTAGCCTACTTTTTTTCATGTATGTATTTTTCTGGCAATGTCATTTCCTCCCGTTCTTGAAAGTTCCTAGTCTGCTCAATGTAGTAGCCTGTTCATGACTGTTTTGAAGTCTCCCAGCCACCCTTCTTTCTGGATGACATTGTTCTGGTTGTATTGAACCCCAGAACACTGCAGATCCTCTGTAGAGAGAGATGTAATCTTTCCAGTGAATTTGGCTCTACTGTCCACATAGGACGAAGCAGGTGAATGTTGAGATTTTACCATGCATTTGGGTGGTAACTTACAGAGTTTCTTCCAAAAAGGTATGGGCATATGTATCTTGGAAAGATAGAACAGATAAATTGGGCTTAGAATTGAGAGAAAGAGAATGGGTCAAGTTGCCTTTACACGATTTCAGAGTTTCTTTAGCAATTGGATACTTCTCCTAGAAACTAGTGGCCATTTATATGATACCAGTATTCTGTCAGTGTTATGTAATTGAGAGACTTGAAACACTGCAGGCTTCAAAGAATGGGAAATGAATATCACTTAGAGGGCAGTAGAGAAGCATATGGAGGTAGTGGGTGTGAACAACTTTCCTTCCACCTTCAGATACTGAAACATGAAATTTATAAGGTGGTTATGGGGCTTTTGTGTAGGGGGCAAGTGCCTGAGAGGTTTGGGAAATTAAGTGATGTTCCAAGGCGTGAAATCCCTGAGTGGAAACAAAGGCATCATCCTGGTGTCAAGGAAAAATCAAAGGAACTTATGAACCAACCCAAAAGCGCAGGGTTAGAGTGGAGAGGGGTGGCTGGAGGTGAGGGCAGTGCCATTGTCTTCAGTGGCAGATCATCCAGTCAGTGACTTAGGGCAGTTTCACTATCATTCCTCTGCCCTCTTCCAGTTAATCAGAGGATGTTTCTAGAGGGATTGGTTCTTCTTGCTAGAGGGCCACTAGCCCTAGAACCCTATTTGCTACTGGATATCAAGTCAGTATTAGACAAAACCACATCAGTGAGTAGGGGAAGATAGGCTGGAGGAGATTGTGCTTTGGTAAATTAGTGGTGGCCCTAGGGTTTGAGCCCAGGCTTTCAAATTACAAGACAGATACTTTCTCCTACATCATGCAACCTCAAAATCTAATTAATCTCCCTAATACAACTAAGTCTCAAAACTCCATGATGTACTTGACTTTGTTCCTTGCCTTCTGCTAAACCCTAGAAGGTAGAATTTAACAAAGGCTTTAGTCAATCTTGATTTTTATGTTTTTTTCCCTCTTTTCTGGGATACTTACTTGCAAAAGTGCTACACGTCCCAGATCAGTATTTCAAATGTTGCTTATGGGCAGAGTTGTGATTTTCATGTTTAATGAAGCAGTTGGACCAGTGTTGTCAGTCAGAAAACATTTACTAAGTGCCTACTATGTGCCAGGCCTTGTGCTAGTAAGCACAGGGGATACAAAGAAGGGCGAAAGACAGTTCCTAACAATACATAAAAAGAAGCTGAAAAGCGAAGGGAGGGGGTGGGGTTCTTGACTCAGGGGCACAGTGGAGCCCGCTAGCTGTGTGGAAAGTGATGAGGTGGCTGCTCTGGGTCCCTCTTGCAGTGGAAGCTGAGAGAAAAGAAGAGGCTAAGAGCCATTCTTTTGATCTTTGTTCTTTATGGCTTGTCATTTGCGAAAAGAGCCCACTGACCCATCTCAGTGATGAGGGATTATGTAATTAATTGATCAGCCTATACATGTTAATGCTTAATTCCATAGAGATGTGATGTTCTATACTATTATTTTTCCAGTGCATGCTGCTGTTATTGCCATCAACGAAGCCATTGAACATAGAGTTCCTGCTGAGACTTTTAGTGCTTTGAAAAACCCTAATGCTATGCTGGTGAATCTTGAAGAGCCATTGGCTTCCACTTACCAGGATATACTTTACCAGGCCAAGCATGACAAGATGGCAAATGCGAAAAACAGGGTAAGAATGAAGCTTCTCTGATTATGGACTTGCAGGTTTTTACTGACTTCTTCACTTTAGGCTTATGGATTGATTCTGTATTGGTTATTGCATTTCACCTAGCTCTTGTTTAGTAAATCTTGCTCTAGAACTTTATTTGTGGTCTGAGTGTAGGTCTTGAATCTGTTTTGTTAACTGTGAAAGGGTATTTCTGGGGAAAGAACAGTCTCTAAATTTAATGTAACTTTTCTTCTTTTTCAGCTTTTTTAAAGTTTGAGATGACTGTGCATTGTGGTTATCCCAGAGCATGTTAATTCTATAGTTAACTTTGTTTTAAAATTTTTGGGTGTGAATATTTTCTTGACAATATAAATGTGTGAAAACTCAGTTAGGAGTTTTGTATTTACTCTCCATGTTGGGAGTCTGTAATTTGAAACTTCAACTTTGTGGAACACTTTCTAGATCACGACAGAATGAAGCTAATTCCAGTTCTATAATTTTCCTCATATGTGCTCTCCTACAGCAAGGATTAGTGACTCCCAGCACAGGTGTGAAAGGTGCTGCCACCAGAGCCTTTCCTGCTGGTGGTGGGCTGCTGTCAGCGGGCAGAAGGAGGCAGATGGGGTTAGCCTTGTGCTCACTTCTCTATACCCAGGGTGCAGGAGAGGAGATGTCCCCACCTTGCACGTTTTGTGCCCTTTGTTGCTCAGGGTCACCTTCTCACCAACGGCGTGCTGATGGGCTAGTGGAGGATAGAATGGCTAAGCTTTCCTCTGAGCTTGTTCCTACAAGACTCCTCTACTCTCTTATTTCTAATAAGTCATTTTAAATATGTAGTTGGTTATAGACTACTCTTTTTAATTCCATGTGTTTATTATAAATGGGTTTCATCTTTGTGTTTCATTTCTTCTGGGTGCTCTTGGTAGAGTTTTAAAAATGATGTTTTTCTCAGCATAAGTACTTTTGTACTTGAAAAATCAAATCTATGTAGTTATTTTTAGAGCTGTATAAAATCTAGGCACAAGTGTAAGCCTTATTTATAGCCCCAAGAGGGGCAATGGTACTATGTAGCCAAGTAGGGAAGAACCTGGGCTGATTTTACTTTGTCTCATCCTCAGACGGAAGACTCTGAAAGAGAGAGGGATGTTTATGAGGAGTTGTTGACTCAGGCGGAAATTCAGGGAAATATAAATAAAGTCAATAGTAAGTATATCACTTTGACTCCTTCCTGGTTTGGTGGTAGAAAGGGATTAATTGGTTCTATGTCTTCTACTTCTTTTCTGCCCAGGAGGCCTTATTTTCTTAATGTCTTGTATTGGTCTCTGTCCCTCTTCCTTTTCCTCTCTCTTTCTTTCCCACTCTCATTCAGGCCTCCCAACCTCACACCACATGGCTGCAGTAGCTTCCTGACTGGCCTGTTGGCTTCCCATCTCTCACTCCTCTAATTTTCCTTATATGCCATTACGAAGTTAGTTTTTCGTAGGCACTTTAGACTTCAGTAATGTCATTGCTCTCCTTAAGAACACCTCTCCTATCCAGATGCCTTGGTTTGGCTTGAAAGCTGTTTGTCACCTGGTCCTGTCATTACTATTCCTTCATCACACCTTCACAGAAACTCCACTTTATTCAGGCCCACCTCCTTATCTTCCCTGCCAGGGTACCATGCTCACTGCTGCCTAGTGCTGCTCCCCACTTAGAAAAACTCCTTTCCTGCAGGCCAAACCTCATTCTTCTTAAGTCCACTGCTGTGAAGTCTTCCCTGATTCTCAGTGTTCTTTCCTTTCTCCTGTATGTTTCCTGTAGGAGTTTGAAGTAGAAAGTTGGAGGAAGATAACTAATGTTATTATTATAAAACCCTCATGCCTAGTTCAGTGCTTTGTATTTAAATATTTGCTGAATAGTTGAACTGAACATCCGTAGCAGTGTTTTGTAAATACCTTGGATTTATATATAACCTGTTGGCTAAGAATATGGTGATATAATATACACACACATACACTTATTTTAATTCTCATCTTAGTCCTTTGTACTGGGCATGGGCAGGTATAGCCTCATTTTGAAAATAGAGAATCTGAGGCAATGGGTAGCGATTTTTTTTTGTTCATGGTCACAGAAAATGGCAATCTAGAAGGCATATCTTCTGACTGCTAGCTTAGTATTTTTTCTATCAAGTTTTCCTGAGGATGTGTACCCCCCATTTTATATTACAGTAGAGTGAGATGGTGTATGGACTAAATTTCTGGGATCTTAGGCTAGTATCATCTGTCATGGAGATGATTGAGTAAGTGGTCACCTCTTTTTCTTCTCTCTTCCAGCGTATTCTTCATTAGCCAACGTGGACCTGGCTTTAGAACAGGGAGACCCATTGGCCTTATACCAGGCACTGGTGGCCCCAGCTCTGGGCCTCCGAGCACTGCAGCAGGACAACTGTGATTGGTACTTCAAGCAGCTTCTGAATGAGAAGCAGCAGAAGAAGCAGGTAAAGAATCTGTTAGCACTGGCGAGTTTGAATCCTTCACTATCCCTTCAACATTTTTAAGGGGCCCAATTTTCAGGCTTTCCCCCTTATCCATATGTGTGGCTACAGGGTGTGTAAAAGTTCTTAGGGCCAGAAGTGACCTTTGAAGCATTTAGGCTAACCTCCTCATCTGTTGAGGTTAGGAAGCCAAGGCTTAGACAGGTGACTGTCACACTGGTAGTATGTGACAAAGGCAGGATTTGAACCCAGGGCTTCTGACTCCAGGCCCAGCATTTTTTCTGTGTATCAGGGAATTGTGCATGTAACTGTGTGTTTGTGAAACATACGGTTACGGATTGAGAAAGTTCCTGTTTAATTCATGTGTTAAATTTTTTGAAGTCCTAGTTTTTGGGTAACTGGATCATTTGGTTGGGAAAAGACCCTAAAAGAAACTTAGGTTGAATTTTATCCTAGGAATTAACCCTCAAAAGCTTTAGATAACTCCATTTTTACTGTTCAGGTCGTCTTATTCAAGAGTAGACTGAAATGTTCAGTTACTGTCATTGTCTTTGACTGTTGTATCTTTGTGGACTCATACTGAGAATACAGGGTCATGGAAGACTTATATGAATGTTAATTTGCTTCCTTCAGAGTGGAGTGATTGGTCCATTGCAGAAGGAGGACCTGCAGGCTGGAGTGGATGCTGCTAACCGTGCTGCCCTGCAATATCAGAGAAGTAGGTGCCTTCATTTAGGTGTTGGTAAAGGGGAGCTGGGGATAGGGAGACAAAGTGTTGCAGCAAAATGCCACAGGACAATTCCAGGTCAGTCTAGCCCCACGAGGTGCTAGAGTCAGGTGGCACATGCCATAAAACCACTGGATGTACTTCAGGGGCCCTAGAAATATTCCTAGAGCTGGAGAGTATGCTGGAATGAGATGAAGGCAATCTCTTCAATATAACAAATGGTTCTTATGCACCTACTATGTGTCGAGCGCATGCCAGGCACCGGGAAAACAAAGACAAGAACAAATTAGTCCCTGCCCTCAGTGATCTTACATTCTTTTGAGTAAAGAAGCAAATGGAAAGTATTTTGAGGAGAGAGAGGTATCATTAAACTTGGTTATTGTGGAGAAGATATGTCTCTAGCTGAGCTAGAAGGAAGATGAGGATTTTGAGAGTTATGCCAGAAGGAGGAGTATATTTACACATGGGGGATAATTTGTGCAAATGAAGAAACAGGAAATGGAATGTTAAGTGGGGTAAATAGCTAGTGGTCCAGTGTGGCTGAATTGTATACCACATGAAGAGAGCTAATGTGACATAAGCCTGAGAAAGGTAACTTTGAGTCAGATGACAGAGGGCCTTAAGTGCCAGACTGAGTGGTTTGTATTTTGTCTTACAGACAATAGGGAGTTTTTTAAGTTAGTAAAGTAAGGGAGTGATTTGGGCTCAAATTCTTATTTAAAGATGCTTTTTAAAAGCACAAAACATTATACAACTATCAAGGGATGTATTATGTTGAATATTTTGAGCAAGAGAATGGAAGTGGTATTTTAGGAATATTAATGTAGTGATGGGGATAGTAGATTAGAGGGTGAAAAGAGTGGTCATAGGGAGACCTATTAGAAAGCCAAGCATTAACAGTTAAAGAGCTGCTCCAGTTTATCAGCTCATTTTATCGATTGACTTTAGACAGTTGGTAAGCATATATTAAGTCCCTACTCAGTACAAAACTGTGGGGATACGTAGAGTGGCAAAATTAGCCGTTTTCCTTGGAGAGTCACATTCTAACGGTGGAGCCAACATGTACATACAAAATAGATACCGAATAAGGGAAGGCCTTTCTAGAAGGCAGTGCCTCAGCTGAGTCTTGAAGGAAGCTCAGGAGTCTGTGAGGCAGAGGTGAGGAGGGCGACAGCTAATGCAGAGGCCCCAGGATTGGAAGCGGGATGTCTGAAGAACAGCATGCAGGCCTGTGTAGTGAGGCTGTAGCCTATGTGAAGGAGAGGAAAGTATATGAAGACTGGCAAGTTAGTGAGGGCCCTGGTTGTGAAGGGTTTTACATGTAATGCAGTCTGTAATACAGAGGACTTTCTACTTGATTCTAGAGGTAATAGGGAGCCATTGGGGGTTTTTTTTGGGGCTGGGAGGGTGGGGATTTGACTTTAGAAAAATCACTTTGGCCACCCAGTGGAAGATAAATTGGAATGGGGAGAACTTTGTGGCCTGAAGACCCAGTAGAAGGCTCACATGATATGCATGTGAGAAGTGATGATGACTTGAACTAGAGTAGTGTTGTGAGTAGGGAGGAAACATAAAGAGGCAATGCTGCAAGGGTGGGAGGAATGCCAAGGTTTGGCAGCAGATTGTATGGAGGGGGTGACTGAGAGGTAGAGGATTAGCATTCGGGGGTCTGAAGATGATGCCCTTGATAGTAATGCAGAAATTCAGAAGAGGAGAAGGTTAAGTGTGAAAGATAACGAATTCTGTTGTGGACTTGTCTGAGTTTGAGATGTCTATGGGGCAGGTTAAAATGTCCAAAAGACAACTGGAATAGCAGGACTCGGGCTCAGGAGAAAAATTAGCACTGGATCTATAGATCTCTTCTAGGACAATTTATTAACTCCTCTCTTTAACTTTTGAAGCCATGCTAACTGCAACCTATCTTTCTTGGCATCATTAGACATTTCTTCCTCTCCTGCACTCTGTGATAAAGCCAAATTGTCCTTTTCTCTTTTCCTTATATGATACTCCATCTCTCATCTCTCTGTCTTTATAGTGACTATGAGTTTGCTCTTTAATTCTGCCTTGTAGTGTCCATCTGTTTATCCCTTCTTTTAAGAGGGAAGGAATGAAAAGAGAGAGAGAGAGAGAGGAGAGAAAGGGGTAAAGAAGAGATAAAGAAAGGTAAAGAGGATGAAGAAGGGAGGATGAGACTTGAGGATAGGTGGTGTTTTTTTTTTCAATGATGGGAGAGGCATGCCCTTGTTCCTAGGCAGCTGGGAATGGGCCACTACCTAGGGAGAGATTGCATAGGAGAGAGGGAGCTGGAGAAGACAGGGTGGGATGAAATCTGGGGTACATGTAGAAGGGTTTAGTCTTGCCAAGACGGGCCACTTCTTCGTTTGAGATTGGAGTGGAGGAGGAGATAGTGGGGAATGTCTGAGTAATTGAGATGAAGAGGGAGAAAGGGGAGCAAATGGCCTGAACGTTCTCTAACCAAAATTGGGTATTTAAGGTTGCAAGTCTTGCTTTTCTCATCTCTTGTTCATTTCCCAGGGTTGGCAGCAGTGACTTCAATTAATGCTGCAATCCGAAGGGGTATTGCTGAGAAGACTGTGTCGGAGTTGATGAATCCGGAGGCCCAGTTACCTCAGGTCTATCCTTTTGCTGCTGAACTTTACCAGAAGGAGCTGGCTACTCTGCAGCAGCAGAGCCCTGATGTAAGTAACTGAATCTGTGCAGTTTGTGAGGAACATAGCATAGAATGGTCTTCAGAATCGTTCGGCTAATTCACTGTTATTCCTCAGCATAGCTAGACAGCATGTTCTTTCCAAGTAACAAACGACTTCCATGTTGGTTCTGCTGAAATACTTCCCTCCCTTGATAATAGATGATATTTCTCACAGCTGTTTTCCCCCTCTCTCTTTCCTTCTGTCTCTTTGTTTTGTTTAGCATAACCTCACCCATCCTGAACTCTCAGTTGCAGTTGAGATGTTGTCATCAGTGGCCTTAATCAATAGGGCTTTGGAATCAGGAGATAGAAATACTGTCTGGAAACAGCTGAGCAGTTCAGTTACGGGCCTTACTAACATTGAAGAAGAAAATTCCCAGAGGTGAGTGACCAAAGAAGGAAGAAATTTAGAAATTTGTTGTAAATATTCTCCCTTGTCTTTCTTTAATGAGTTTTGTATTGACATCTTTTATTTTTAAATCTTCTGAATTTCCCCATATGTCGATTCCCCTTCCTTCTCCCAAAGAGCCATCCCGTGTAACAAAGAATATGTCTCAATGAAAAAAAAGGAAAAAAAATTAGCAAACAGCTCAATACAGAAAAAGAAATCTGAAAGTACATGCCATGTTTCACACCTGTGGACCTCTCAGCTCTGCAAAGGAGTAGTGGGATATGTTTTCTCATATCTCTTCTTTGAGGCCAAAGAACATGTTTTTCTTTTTAATTTGCAGCATTCACTTTTAATTATTTTGTGGTTCTTTCCTTTTACATTATTGTAGTCATTGTTTATATATTGTTTTCTTGACTGCTTCACCTTACATCATTTCATGTAAATCTTTCCATGCTTCTTTGTATTCCTCATATTTGTTATTTCTAACAGCACAGCAATATTTTTATTATATTCATATACCACAGTTTGTTTAGACGGTTCCCAAGTAATTGTTTCTAGTTCTTTGCCCTCACAAAAAGTGCTACTTTAAATATTTTGGTGAATTTGGGCTTTTTAAGTCTGTGATCTCCTTGGGGTATATGCCTTGTAATGTAATCTAGATCAGAGGGTGTGGACATTTAATCACTTTATTTGCATAATTCCAAATTACTTTCCAAAATGATTGGAGCAGATCACAGCTCTGCCAGCACTAGTGTACCTATCTTCCCATGGCCCTTCCAACATTGATTATTGCCTTTTTTGCCACTTTGCTTCTTATTTCGATTTCTCTCATTATTAATGATTTGGAGGAGTCTCTCATGGTTCATAGTTTGCAGTTCTTTTTGAGAGCTGTTTGTTCATAGCTTTTGATCACTTATCAGGAAATGACTTTTGGTCTTCCATAGACATAGACAAATAGACACCTGTACTACACACATATGTACATATATAGCTTGCATACCAAACCCTTTTTAGAGAAATATAATACAAATCTTTTGATAAAAATTTTTTTTTCCTCATTCTACCTCTTCCCTTTGTAGCTTAGATTTGTTTGTGCAGAAGGTTTCCAGTTTTTTGTAATCAGAATCTATTTTCTCTTTTGTAATTGTCTCTGTCCCTCCTTTGGTTAAGGAGACATCTCCTACCTGTTGTTGTGAAGTGTGTGGTCTGGTTCGGAAACAAGATCTAAAATATCAAGGGAGATAATGACAGAAGAAGGAATGAAGGGAGAATAGTACTTCCAGACCTCTAACTACATGTGACCTAGCTGTCATCACTCTGTCTGGTGTTGGCTAAAAAGAGAGAGAAGTGGGTTAGTGGAACAGATGAGGCAAAGGAGAATCAGAAATAATATCCTCAGTATCCCAGTGTTTGATTAACCCAGACACACCAGTTACTTAGAAAGAGCCCCTTCTATCATGAGAACTACTGAGGGAACTGGAGAGCAGACTGGCAGAGATCAAGCTTCCATTGTGATTTTACATAGAATTCCACACTAATGACCTAATTATTAAAGATCATAACAAAAATATTAGAAGAGGAGCAGATTACTTACTATTCATAGTTCTGAATAGATATATTTTTAACCAAACAAAGGATGGGGCAATTACAAAAGAAAAGCCTTCATTTGTTAGCTCCTTTTTATATAACTCCTGTTCAGTATTATTTGGAGACATTGTAAGTTATGGATTGCCTCTTTTCCCCTTCTCAGAGGAGTTAGTTGCTTAATGGGGCTTTTGGTCCTGCTGTTTTGTCTTCTGGGGAACTTGTACTGTTGTATTTTGGCATTTGATCTGCTGTATAGCTTACTTTACATTCTTACACATTTTTCCAGGTCCCAGAGAGCTCTTTAAAAAGAATGTGCTTAGTTTCACATTTGTTGTTTTGAAATGCCAGCCTTAATTAATGAGCTCTTATCCTTCATAGATCTTTGTCCCCATTCTCTTTATTGTCTTTTCCATGTTAGTTCTGAGGTCTTGCTTCTACTTATACTGGGACTTACCTTCTATTTCATTTCGGCAACAGGTATATTGATGAACTGATGAAGCTGAAAGCCCAGGCACATGCAGAGAATAATGAGTTTATTACATGGAATGACATTCAGGCTTCTGTGGACCTTGTGAACATGATGGTGCAAGAGGAAAATGAGCGTAAGTGTGCTAGTGTCCTCCCAAATCAGAAAGTGCTGGTGCTATTACAGAATTATCCTCAAGTCCTGTTTTTGGAAAGGTTTTTGCTGAAAAATGAATAGGAGATAAAACTCAAGAATCAATCTCTCTCTCCCTCTCTCTCTCTCTTCTTCCTGTCTCCTTCCTCTCCTCTCCTCCCCTCCCCTCTCCTCTTTCATTCCCCCTTGCACTCCCTTCATCTCCCCTGAGGTGACTGAAGAGGGGGACATGGAAGTGTCTTAGTGGTACTGTTTGCCTGAGAAAGAGGAAGTAGTTTTGTGCTCCCTTTCAGCTTATTATGATTTTTAAAGGAATTTAATTTTGAAGTGTGTGATACTAAAGAAAGATTCTGAAATAGGATAGAAATTCATCACACATTCAAAAACTTCTTGGAATAAAGAAAAAGAAACACGATGAGGATTCATCTTTTTTATTTGGTGGTGTTATTTGATCTGCAGATTTGTTCAGGCTTTTAAAAAGTTATGTTTTTTGCTGGGCACAGAAATAGTTGAAAGAATACATTGCATCTTCTGTATTCTAAAGTGCCTTTGGAAATAAATGACTGTTGTGTAGTGGCAAGAGCTTTGGATATGGATTTGTCTTCACTTAATCTCTCCAAGTCTCAGTTTATTCATCTGTAAAATGAGGGGATTGGGCTAGAAGGTTCTTCTGTGGCCCTTCCAGCTCTCAGTCTGTGATTCTGGGGAGATAAGTCCAACTGTATTATCTTTGAGTCACATTTTAGTCATTCAGCATAATTCCCAATTGCTTTTCATAACAGTGGGATCAAGTATAATTTAATTTAGATTAAATAAACCAAGAAACATATAAAAGGAATTACAAATGTTGTAATTTAGTAACTTTGATAAAAACTGAAGTTTCAGTTTTGATTGGTTTATTTTTGTGAATGCTGCTTTTATATGGAGGAAATCTTACAGCTTGGCCTGTGGTCCATTCTGAAATGGAACCTAGGTTAGTCAGAATTGGGCCTATTCATAATTTCTTTCCTTTTTCATTGATGTCTCATTACTTCCTTTTTAGGAATTTTAGCAATCGGCTTAATTAATGAAGCACTGGATGAAGGAGATGCCAGAAAGACCCTGAAAGCCTTGCAGCTTCCTTCAGTGAAACTGGAGGGAGTGCACACTCAAGTTGCCCAGCATTACCAAGATACACTGATTAGAGCAAAGCGGGAAAAGGCTCAGGTGAGATAATGGTCTGAGGGCTTTTGTGAGTCACAGAACTTTGGCTGTGTTAGTACACGACTGGAAGTGGGCATGTTTGGCTGTTTATTTAGTGGTTAGCTGAATGCCTTGTCACATGTGAAGTGCTTATTAATAAATGTTTATGTTGAATTCAGTAACAAATACCCACCAACTTCCTAGACTGGCAAGGCTTTGTGGAAATTAAAAAATATATGAAATGTAGCCCTTGTCTTCCCAAGTATAAAACCTTACCCGAGCAACAAGCAGCATAGACCAAATTGAAGTTAATGATTCCATGGGAAAAAAAAACAAAACAAGAAATATTAAAACAAAGTAAAAACACTGAAAAAAAATAGGAGAAAATGTGAGGTTATCTCATATCAAAAACAACTGACAAATAGATTAAGGAGAGAGTATTTAAAAATCGTTGGATTATCTGAAAGTCATGACCGAAAAAAGGGTCTAGACATAGTATTTGAAGAAATTGTAAAAAGAAAACTTGTCATATCTCTTTGAACCAGAAAGAATCTCTCAGTTACCACCTGAAAAAAACCCTCAAATGAAAACTCTCAGGAACGTTATAGCCAAAATCTAGAGCTTTTAGGTCAGAGAAAAAAATACTTCAAGCAGTGAGAAAGAAAGAATTCATGTGCTGAGTTTGCCACAGTCAGGATCACAAAAGATTTAGCAGCCAGCACCATATCTGATCTACACGATGACAACTATAGACCCAAAGGCCTCATGATGAAACAGACTGCCCACTCCTGACAGAGTGAATGGACTTGGGGTCACATTGACACTTTTTGGGGGGTATGGCCAATACTAGAACTTGTTTTGCCTGATGACACGTTAATATAAAGGTTTTGTCTTTCTGAAGGTGGAGGAGGGGGTGGAGACAGAAAAGAGACATTTTTTCATTAATTGAAAAAACAAAATTTAATTAAAAAAATACAGACTCTTCTTTTACTCTTGAAAAGTGGGTAGTCCAAATTAGCATTATCGTGTACTTTCCGTATAGTATACCTTGAGTTAGAAAATGATATCTAAACACTGGAAATTTGCATTCTTAACATTGATTTTCAGAATGTCTTTCTAAAAAACTCTCGGTATATGCAAATATTATTACTAATACTTAGGAATAGGATTGATTTACAGTCTCTGTTTTATAAATTAGCAGTAGAATTATGAGAGCCAAGTCGCCTATTTGAGAGTAAGTGGTGTTGCGAGGAAATAAGAACTAGAAGTTACATGTCCAGTTCAGTTCTGTTTCCCCCATGTTGCTGCTTTCTGGGCAAATGTGTAGTTGTATATTTTGGCTACCAGAAAGCTTCTCTGTGGAACTCTAGGTCTCTGACCAGAAGGAGATTGAATTCTATTCTCAGCATTCTGAAACTCAGGAGATTCAGGGAGTAATTCCCCCCACTCACAGAATCCTAGAATTTCATAGTTGGAAGGGACCTCAGAGATACCCAATCCAGCTCAGATCTGAACAAGCATCCCTCTCCAGCATTAGTTTGTCTAAGTTTAGAAGATATCCTCTTTTATTTGGTCCAAATGAAGTAAAACTTCTAGTGGCAGTATCACTTCCTCTAAATCTGTGAAATAATGAACTTTTTCAAAAGTTCATAAAATAGGATAAAGAAATAGTGGCAAACACCAGACTTAGCTGGATGACTATTATAGATGAGGTTGAATTGCCTTTTTTAGATATGAGCTTAAGCTCTGAACCCCTCTTAGTCATATTGGGAGTAGTTTTAGAAATCAGAGTCAGTTACCAAATTTAGCCACAAAAAGGATCTTAACTGGAACTTACTGAAGTTCTGATCTCTCTGGTAGTTATTAAAGCAAATTGCTGATGGCTATTGGGTGTTAGTCTTAATGTGCAAGCAAGAATACCATTGGTCTACCAAGAAACACATTTTATAGCTGTCATTTATCTTTTTAGTTAACTGAACTCCCTTTGTCCCCACTTCCCGTCAGTCAGAACAAAACTAAACAGACCCAGTAATCACTAGATTAAGGATAGGAATAGCCAAGAAGAGAAACACTTCCAGAAACTTTTCAATAAGAAGAGATTTGTCTGTGGAACCTTTCCAAATCTAGAAAACAAGCAAATAGGCCAATGTAGGCTTAATGGCAGGAAAAATCCTGCGTGAGTCATTCAGTCTAACCTTTATTAAGCTCCTCCTAGGGTACAAAACACTGTGCTAGCTGCAGGGGGAGGTCACAAAGCTTAGCAAAGATATCATCCTTGCTCTTGTGTGATTCACATAGTTCAGTAAGCAAGTAAGTTACATGCACAAATAACGGTAAGATTTAATATATGATTAATGCATGAAAAGAGCAGCGAGGTGGCTTAGTGGATACAATGCCAGGCCTGGAGTCAGGAAGACCTGAGTCAGTTCTGGCCAGAGACACTGACTAGCCATGTGACCCTGGGCAAGTCACTTAACCTGTTTGCCTCAGTTTCTTCATCTGTAAAATGAGCTGGAGAAGGAAATGACAAACCACTCCAGTATCGTTGCAAAGAAAACCCCAAATAGAGTCACAAAAAGAGTCTGATAAAACTGAAATGACTCTGCAACAATGCGTTGTTGTTCAGTGCAAATGTTGTAACAGTGAGTTAGAAAGATGCAAATTAGAATGCTGTGAGTTCTCAGGATGACTTTCTGGAGGAGAGTGTCTTTTGGTGGGCTTTAGAGGGACAGACAGGAAATTCAACATATACATGCACAAATATTTTCTACGCTGTAGTGTAGGAAGAAGGAAATGATTGGGGATAAAGAGTGAAAGAAGGTAGATAGGTTGAATTGTTCCCTTCTCAAGGTTTGAATGTTGTATAAACACATAAGCCCGCATGTGCACACACCCACACATTTTTCTCTCTTATCCTTTGCCCTTTCTTGACCATTTTCTTTCATTCTTCTTGGGCATTCCTTTACACCTGCCCCCTTTCCCCTCCTTTTTATCTTCTTTTACTCTTGTCCTCCAATTCATTCTCATTCTTTGGCCTAATGATGAATTTAATGTATCAGCACATATCTAGCACAGTTTTTATACATATACATTTATGTAGATGCTTAATAAGTATTATTGGATGAAGACTTCCTTATTCAGGGTATCATTCATTGCTCTAGTTCATGTGCTTCTAAGTACTAATCACACTTAATAGTTCTTAGAGTTAATTTGAGATGGTTGAGAATTAGGTTTTTTTTCCTATCATTGAACATACTATTAGAACTGAGAAAATGAATCTGTTTCTGTTACTTCTCTCCAGTGGTTCAAACTCTAACCTCTGGGGTCAAGCAGAACAAGTCTGATTTCTCTTCCATATAACAGCCTTACCATATGTCATCCTCTCTTCTCTTCAAGTGTCTGTCACATAGTAGGGTATTTAATGAGTTTTGGTTAAATTGAACTAAGAAACCTCAGCTTCTTCAAGTCATTTTGGTGGGGCATGCTTTCTAGTCTACCACCATCCTGGTCTTCTTCCTCTGGACATTTTCTAATTTGTCAGTGTCCTTCTGAAAATTTGCTATCTAGAACTTAACACAATACTCAAAATGTGACCTAACCAGGGGTAAAGACAGGGCTAATGGAATCAGACTGGCACCTCTCTGGTGCTGAATACCATTCTTCAGATCACTCCATTCTAAGATTGCATTAGTTTTTTAGCTGCCTGTTTATATTATAGACTTATTAAGCTTTCAATATACTAAAGTCCCAGTTTTTTTCTCTCCACGAGTCATTGCTCAGTCATATCTTCTACATCCCAAATTGTGCATTTGATTATTTAAATTCCAAATATAGGACTTTACATTTATCCTCCTTAAATTTCGTCTTCATATATTTGGCTCCATATTCTGTCTGATGAATGAATGAATGAATGAAAAAACATTTCTTAAGTGTTCACTATGTGTACAGTACTATGCTAAGTGCTGGGATAAAAATAGTTTCTGATGGAGAAGGTTTTTGGATCATGAGTTTTTCATCCACTGTTAGCTATCCCTTTTAGCTTCCTGTTATTTGTAGGTTTGTTAAATATGGCCTTTATGCCTTAACCCTTCACTATACAAAGAGTGATCGAGTCTTGTGGCATCCTACTGGAAACCCACCAAGCTGATGCTATTTGCTTAATTGATACTTTGGATCCAGGGTTTTCACCATTTTTGAATTCACTTTACAGCTATGGCTTAAACAGCCAATGCCTCTCCATCCTATCTCTAAGGGTGTTAGGGGAGCTTTGTCATGTGTGTCACTGAAAACCTAATGCACTGTGTCAGTAATTCTCCTCTGATATATCATTTAACCCGGGAAGTAAGGTTAGGGTTAGTAAGTTTACTCCATCAGAGTCTGTACTGGTTGAAATCATGCTAACTTATGATAATCACTGCTTCCCAAGCGTTCTTTATTTTCAAGTTTTTCTTTGGCAGACTTCAATAGCAAGAGAGATACATGGAAATTATGCTATTGGAGGCTAAATTGAAGTTAATGGAAATCTTTAGCTTAGAGAAGTGTAAGCATGGGAAGGGATATAATAGCTATCAAGTGCTTTGTGGAAGAAGAGTAAATACTTGTTCTCCTTGATCCCAAGGGACAGAAATAGGAACAATGAATGGAAGGTTTCAGAAAGGCAGATTTTGACTGAAGAAAACATCAATTTTTAAACTTACCGAAGTTTAAAAGCCCTGCCAGAGAACAGCTGGGGCAGGCAGCAGTAGGGGAGCCATTCCTGTCAATCAGACACAAGAAGTGGGCATCGCTGAGTCAGGTTTCAGAGAATTAAATGTCTTAGTTTCCTGAGTTTGGGCAAGAAAGACTGTTCTTGTTTTAACTTCTTATTCTTTTTTTTTCTTCCAATTTCCACCCTTCCCATTGGTTGGTTATGCTATGACACTGAAGCTAAGCATGGAGTCATCATTTTGGAGTGGGGAGTGTAGGAGAGAGAATGTCCTATTTGGTGCCAGGCACCTAGTGCCAAGCGCTTTACAAATCTGGCCTCATTTCAGGCGAAAAGGACTTTAGAGATCATTTAGTGTCTTCCCCTCACCCCCTGCAGGTGAGGAGATGGGCACCACAGAGATCGTACCTTGCCCAAAGTCATCCAGGCAGTATTTTAGCAGGGAAAGCTCCTGTTCAAGCCCACATCTTCTGACCGCACACTGCTTCTGTACGCTCTCATTGCGCTGCATCTTTTAAAGTCACGTCCTTTTTGAATGCCTGTTATTCAGGTGACTTCTGTGCGTCAGGCAAACACAGCCTTATCCACGTGGAAGGAACTCTGGCAGGGACTTTAAGGGCATGTGTACATCAGGAAGCTTGAAGAGTACACAGATCACTAGAGATAGGAGAAGAAACACAAACTCAGCACTGTTGGGTAGGGGCAGGCTCTGCGGGGGAGAGGTTCTAAGTTCTTTGGGTGCTTAGAATGTGCTTCTGCAGGAAGATGACTTAGTGATGGTCTCTGAAGGACTGAGAACATTTTGTATTTGGTAATTTAGGAGAAGACATTCCAGGTGGAGGGGGAAATAGAGCAAAAGTGTACAGGTGAGAAAATCTTGCCTTTTGGGAAAATAGTGAGTAATCACTATTTTTTGCAATATATTGTGTTAGAATGTAGCGAAAGACTGGCTATAAATAGAGATTTGAGCCATATATCCACTGTTATTAGTCTCCTTGTGCCCGTATCCTTTCACATTTGGACAGTTAAAATAGCCTCTTAGTTTCCTCCCTTTAGTCTTTTTCCGTCAGTCCACTTTGTAAAATCCGTGTTGTCAGATAAATCTACTAAAATGTTTTTATCATGTCCCTGATGCGCTTTAGGTGTGCTGACACAGTGTAGGGATGCTGGGGCGCCCAGAATGTCCCGGTACAGGGTGGTGTCACCTGGGATGAATTCACACACTCAAACCGTCTTCCAGTCAAGTGGCAAAGTTTATTGTGATGTCAGTAGAAGCCAGTGAAGTTCCTCAGGGAACTTACAACTTAATGAGGATGATGCTAATGTTTATATGGAAAAGGGACAGAGAAAGGCCTGCCAAGTATGCTAGTTAGATGATCTGGGAAGAGATCAGGGAGTGGTCAGTATATGCAAGTAGTCTGGGTGCTGGACTGCTGGAATGTCTGGGAAAATTCAGGGAGTCCACAGAGAAAGCTCTGTTGATACCAGATATTGAGGGAGAAGGGACAAGATAGTTCTGTTCTAGGTGCCAGAGACAGAGTCCTTGGGCAAGCACCCCTGTGTCTTTACTGATATCAGAGGAATAATAGGGTCAGATCTGTGTGTGTCTGCAACAGGGAAATTTTCTCACTGGGGCGGGGGGGATTTGCTGGGATTAGGGGTACTTCCAGAGACATGGCCTTTGCCTTTTGGGTCCAGGTCCTCCCACCCCAATTTATCCCTACTCTTCTCAGAAATATCTTCAGAAGCTCCTTGTCTGTAGAATAAATTCTGAACTCTGTAACCTGGCATTCAAGCCCTTCACAGACTTCCCCTAAACTACCTTAGCAAGGAATCTTTTTTTAAAAAATTTGCTAGAAAGAGGGTTTTTATTAATATTCTTTTAACAGATTAAAAAACAAATGCAACAATGCAATGAGCTTCATTCCAATATTCTTTAAACAGAATTAGGTACTACCATTTGGGGTCAACTTTAGGTACAATTAGAATCAGTTGCTGTCTAATCCTGAGTTCAGGTAATAAAGTGCACACTAAACTAAACTCTTCCTCAATGTCAGGAACAAGCACATGATCACAAGTAGTAAACACAACACTAATTACGAAAGAGAACGTCAGATAAACAACCCATCTGCAGATGAGGGTGATCCAGTTTCCAGAAGTACTTATCATGTGCGCATAACTACATCGTCTTACCAATCTGTACACAGCACGAACTTAGTTATTTCCAATTCTGTTGTATACATGTTTACATGAATTCCATAGGTCTGTGCACAGTATTGACACTTCCAGTGATAATGAAAAATTAGAATCCAGGCAAATGGCAACTAAAACAGGATAATGTGTGGAGCCTTGTGTTAGGAATGCTTAGCCAAGGATTCTTACCTGGGGTCTGTTAATAGTTTTAAAATATATTTGGTAACTTTGTTTTAATATAAATTGGTTCCCATTGTGATGCTTGTATGTTGTTATATGCACTTAAAAATATTCTAAGAAGGGGTCCATCAGCTTCAGCAGACTGCCAGAAGGGGCCATGACACAAAAAAAGTTTCAGAACCCTTGCTGTAGACCTTACTTCCCCCTTTTTCTCAATGGGAACCGCTCAGTTCTGCCAAACTGCTTTTTTGGTCTTCTGGATGTGTATTTTACTTTCTCACGTCTGTGTTTTGGTAATGCTATTTCCCTATTCTTTTTTTTTTTCCAGTTGTTTTTCAGTCGCATCTGACACTTCATGACCCTATTTGTGGTTTTCTTGGCAGAGATACTGGAGTGGTTTGCCATTTCTTTCTCCAGCTCATTTTACAGATGAGAAACTGAGGCAAAAAGGGTTAAGTGACTTGCCCAGGGTCACATAGCCAGTGAGTTTCTGAAGTCAGATTTGAAGTCAGGAAGATGTCTTCCTGACTTCAGGCCCAGCACTCTATCCACTGTGCCACCTAGCTGCCCAAAAATCCTTCGTGGTTTCCTCTTGTCTTGTCCAGTCTGTCCGACTCTTCATGACTCCATGGACTATACTATCCATGGGGTTTTCTTGCAAAGACACTGGAGTGATTTGCCATTTCCTTAACAGAAGTTAAGTGACTTTTCCAGGGTTACACAGCTAGTAAGTGAGGCTGGATTCTGTCATCAATTGATGATATGAGTTGCCACAGTTTATTCTGAAATGACTCCCAAATAAGTAAATAGTTATTTCTTGTCTGGTAACATGCAGTTGGCCTCATTTTAGAGGTAAATATTGGGTGTGTACCATGGCCAAAACCTTACAAATCTCTCTCTCTCCTGAAAAGAACATTCGTGATACACAGGTGTGAGTAGTATATAGACATTGGACTTTCCCCCCTTAATTCTGGGGAATGCTGTATGTCGATGCTTTTGGGTACAATATGAAACCAACTTTCTCATTTGCCTTTTGAGGAGATCTTGTGAGATGTCTTTCCATGAAGCTTTATCTCAGAGCTCCAAAAAATCAGTGTTTGAAAAGTTTTAAAATGCATGATTTTTAGCACCTTTTTCCTTCATTTAACTATTGTCACTGTACTAAGGAGCCACAGAGGGCAGAAAATTGTTTTTTATTTCCCAGTGCCTGAGAGCCAAAGATTGGTCACTTGGCAGTCCAAGCTCACTGGGGTGAGGAACCTCGTGGCAGTCAGCTGGTCTGGACCTCAGCAGCAGCTGCAGTCTGTTCTTGGCAATGTCTTTAGAACTTTTTCACTTGGTAGAACCTACCAGAGCATGTGCTTTGCTGGTAGAGCCTTTGAGAACAAAAGACGGCCTCAGCTGCATGAGGAGTTGGTGATCACAGGAGGGTTTTTTGGAGACTATGTGCCTGTGTATTTTGATCACCTGCTTTCAGTCTTATCTTGAACAACAACTACTGGCCAAGATTATACAATGTTAAATTAATGTTTTTCTTTCACACCAAAGTAATTTCATTCTATTTTGTTTTGGAAAGGGCCTTTAAACACATGGTCATTTAAAACCTGCACTTTTAGTTTGCCACTCATTTGGGTATTTAATGTTGGTCTATTTTTACCAATTCTTAGGAAATTCAGGATGAATCAGCTGTGTTATGGCTGGATGAAATTCAGGGTGGGATCTGGCAGGCGAACAAAGATACAGAAGAGGCACAAAAATGTATGTATCAATTTCTGATTTTGTTCTTGCTTTCGTTTATCTTTAGTACTCTCAAGAGAATGCTGAAATGAGGTTGTGCTGATTTCTAGTGTGAACTGATTGTATGTGGGATATATTATATATCAAAACAATTATGTAGATGAATTTACAAATCTAGATTGTCTTTAATGTGTTTCTTTTTTTACTGATAATTTTTTCACATGGCAACCAAGCCTAAATCAGCACACAAATTATTAGCACATATTCCCTAACAGTTAAGCAAAAAAACATAATGGAGTGATTGTAACTGGGAGAAAGCTTATTATTCAGACTTATTACCCTTTTCTAATTTGTTTACGTGCTTTAATTTTAACGAGTTGGTACCAGCATTGCCATTGACTAGAGTTTGGTTGCTGTGTGATGTCTTACCTTATGTAGTTGTAGTCAGTATACGTATTCTTTTGGGTCTGTTTTTTTTTTTCATTCTGTATCACATTAGATGTGCTTTTATATGTTTTTTTGAATTCTTTGTGTAAACAGTCTCTCCTAATCCCTCCTGCTTGTGTCAGTTGCCTTAGGAGTCTTGGCTATTAATGAAGCAGTGGATGCTGGTGACATGGGCCACACCCTTGTTGCCCTTCGCTCTGCTGATGTTGGCTTGTATGGAGTTACTCCTGAATGTGCTGAATCCTATCAGAGAGACCTTGAAGATTTAAAGAAGAAAAAGCTTGCAGCAGGTGAGAAGGGTAGAAGTAAGAATATGTGTTCTGGTTGCAAGGGAAATTAATGTGTAAGAGAGTTAGTGTGGTAGGAAGAGGGTGGGTGGCTAGTTGTGGGGGGAAGGGACTGGATGATCACAGCATGCCTCATTTGAAAGAATGTAGGAAACTGTCCCTGCTCTGGAGAAGGCATTTCTATTGGGCTTCAGGTATTCGTTTGTTATTGCCAATAAAGACCCTTGGTCGGTGACTGTATTCACTGCTTCAACAAGGTGGGTTCTAAAGGAAGGCCATGTATTTGATTAAAATGAAATTCTATTCATCTTTCCTTGCTTTCAGGTGACAATAATAGCAAGTGGGTGAAGCACTGGGTGAAAGGCGGGTATCATTATTACCACAACGTGGAGACCAGAGAAGGCGGATGGGATGAGCCTCCGGGCTTTGTGCAAAATACAACCCATCTCTCTCGGGAGGAGATCCAGGTAGGTAGCTTTGTAAAATGAGTCCCTTCTCTGAAATAAGGAATATTTGCTAAGCAGTTGCTTAGAGGATGCTTTTGGGATGAGATCTAATGTTAAATGCATGGTGGTAAAAACCTTAAATGAGGATCCAGAATATGTGAGTTGTATATTAAAGCTCCTCGGCTTAGACTAATTAAATTACAAAGAAGGCTGTTGGGAATTCTTAAAAATATGTGAATTATGTAGTTTTTAAAGAAATATAATTGTATAACTTATTTCTTATGGTCCAGTTTAAATGGAATATGGCAAAATGACCAACCCATTGGTGGTCAAAGAAAGAACATTTTCTTGTCCAGAAATGTGGATTTCTAGTGACATCTGGGCAGGAGGACAATGTCCTGATGTAGTGGTTTTAGTCTTGTTTCTGTTCTGATTGATTTCAGGAAACTTACCTAGGCCTCGGTTTCCTTGTTAGTAAAGCAAGGGAGTTTGGTACTGCAAAGTCTTTTTAGACGTTTACTTAGTGTAGTTCTAGGATTAAATAAATACCTAGTAACAGCCTGAGAAAATAAAGTAACTCACTTAATACAAGCAAATTAATTTTTGCTTTTAAAAGACTTTTTAGAGCACTTTGTAAATATTTGTTCAGACAAATCGTTTAATGTACTTATGAATTATTCCTTTCTATTCAAAGTATACCCACTGAAGTGCTTCTTTAAGAATATGCAAGCTAAGCTGAACTGAACTAGAAAGCATTAAAATGAGGATCAGTTGAAGAAATTGAAATGTTTAGCCTTGAGAAGAGAAGATGTAAGAGAAAAGTGATAGCTAGGTTGTCGTAGTGATATAGGGATTAAAGTCATTTTGCTCAGCCCCAGGGAGAAGAACTAGGAGTCAGTGGTAGAAGTGATAGGGAAGCAGATTTAGACTTGAAGTAAGGGGAAAACTGTCCGACAGCACTGTCCACAAGGGGAATGGGCTGCTTGGGAAGGTAGTAGGCTTCCCCATACTGGAGGTCTTCCAGCAAAGGTAGGATGACCAACGGTCAGGCATGATAGAGAGGGGATCCTTGTGGAGTGGATTATGTGTTGAACTGAGTAACTTCTGATGGTCCTTCCAACCCCGTGAATCTCCCAGAGATCGTTCCTTGACCCGGAGAGGAGATGTGTGTATCTGATTTGTAGACTAGAGATGTCAAACTTGCTCCCACAAAAGTCCTGTGTGGTCTGAACCAGATTAAAATGTAATTAAAAAATAGTTAACAAAGTAAATAAATAAAATACAACATAAATAATATTAATTTGTGGTTTTCTAAGCCAAGATACGGCCTGAAAGGATCTGGTTCTATTTGAGCTTGTTGTTAGATGCATGATCCAAAAGCTTCTCCACAGATCAGAACTATTGGCCAAATCTCATAAAATTAAGTTATTAAGATAAGGTCTAAAGGTTTCAAAAAAAGTCACCTGTAATTAGAGCTTTCCAAAAGTGGAATGGATTTCTGGAAAGACAGATTTTTTTTCATGTGCAATCTTCAAATGAGATTCTGTATGTAGAGTAGAAGGAATTCCTCTCAAGATGCAAATTGGGCTAGATAATTCTATGAAGTCCCTTCTGAATTTCTGTGAATCCTATCAGCTGCAGAAAGATGTACCTAGTAAAATGATATAGGTCAAGATTATGTTTATTTTTAAAATAATCTTTGAAAAGGAGGCCCAGGGAAGACTTCAAGAGGTTTTCCAGTTCCCCTCATCACAACCTATCCACATCCCAGCTGAGTAGAATCTTTTTTTTTTTCAACGGAGATCCTGCAAGATCTCTGGGGTTGAGAACTTCCTCATAGTAAATTGGGTTCCATCTTAATAATGTTGAGTCCTACTTTATCCTTTTGGAGGTAGGCAACAGGGAAGACTGTATCTTGGTATTAAGTCGACTGTTAGGTAGTATTAGAATAATCAGTAATAGAAAATGAAGTGAAAGTTTTGAATGGATTTGTCCTCCACAAAGATCTAATGGTAAAAGTACACTTGAGAACCTTCTTAAGTGATTAAACATATTTAGGTACAGTCCATGCCCAGGACAGTTAAAATGATTAAAGGATCAAGTTATGAGTAATGTGAGTTGTTGTATTTGTTTCCTAGCTATCGCTTGAAATGTGTATCTTTGTGGCTTAAGAACTGCACGGGACTAATTAATGACTGTTAAGTGTTAAGTAAATGCTGTAAATTCTGGCCCTTAGAATCATAGGGAAGAACAGATGAATCATGGTATGAAATTAGGGAAGATAAACACTAAATTTGAGGACAAAGATTAATAGGATTCTGATAATGAAATCTTTTAAATAAAGGAGGGAAATTCTCAAGTTAGCCTATAGTTGGCCGTGGAAAATGGACATTGGAAAACATTGCTGTGGTCCTTCAAGGAAGAACTAGAATGGATTTATATTATACATTGTGCAACTGGATTTCTTTGTCATGGATGATGCTTTTACATCATTTGTATCTTTGTGTTCTGTTGTTGGTAATGTCATAACTCATTGTCTTCTGATGGTATTCAACCTTTTTGTTGAAGAGTTCCATCTCTGGGGTGACAGCCGCCTACAACCGGGAACAATTGTGGCTGGCCAATGAGAGCCTAATCACCAAGCTTCAGGCAGCGTGTCGTGGGTACCTCGTTCGTCAGGATTTCAGGTCCCGGATGAATTTCCTCAAGAAACAAGTCCCTGCCATCATTTGCATCCAGGTATCTTAGGTCTCTGTGTATTTAGAGAAATTGGTTTGTAATGCCCGTAGATAGAAAGTTCACCTTTTTAGAATTGATTTTCTCAGTTGATTCTTTTGTGTACCAAACTCTCTGTGGAGCTCATTAGTCTGACATTTTTGATAACATACATGATCATTTCTCTTAACTATAGTTCTAATCCATTATTACGTGCTTGATAGTAGACCTTCACACCTAGTGGCCAGCATCAGAAGACTTTCTGGCCAGTAGGTGTGAAGGTCTCTAATCAAGCAAGAAAAGACCTGGAATTTTTACTGCCTTAAAGAGTACTGGTTATAGACTAAGAGGACCTGGGTTCTAGTCTCACATCTACGGCTTACTACCCTAAGTGACCTTTGTCACAGTACTTAACCTTTCTGAAAACCTGTTTTCTTTTGCATAAAATGGACTTTCTCTTGCATAAAATGGACATAGTAATGTTTATACTGCCTTTCTCACAGGAGTATAAAGATCAAATGAGATAATGTCTAGAAAGTGCTTTGTAAAATTATAAATCCCCACGTACATTGAGATAGTTCCATTATTATTCCTTGCTTTGTGTGGAAGGAGACTAGATCAGAAGGTATCAACCATTTTGTTTTGAACCTTCAATGACTCAAATAGAACTAGTAAGTAGTGGAGCATATTAGAGAGGGCACCGGACATGGAATCATGTACACTTGGCTCCATTATTAATTAGTTGTGTGATCTTGCCCAAGCAGGACACCCTCTCTGATCCACAGTTCCTTCATCTGTGAAAAAAGAAATAAATAATAACTACTTCTGTCTGGTTTTTGTAACTTCCAAATTAAATGAGATAGTGCATATGAAAGGGCTTTTAAAATTCTAAATCTAAATGTAAGGTGGTATGGGCATAGAAAATGGAAATTGTGCATCAGCACCTACATTCAAATACAGAATCAGGAGAGGAATTCTATTCTATTCCAGTGATTAGAGAAAACCAATTACACTTTGATATTTATTTCAGTCTCAGTGGCGGGGGTACAAGCAAAAGAAGGCATATCAAGATCGTTTAGGATACCTGCGCTCACATAAAGATGAAGTTATAAAGGTACGTTGGCTTGAGCTGTGCTTAGAATGAATGATATTCTTAGGAATGGCAAGGGTCAGGGTATAAAGAAATTATCTGATTTTCTTTATTGCTTTTTCACAGATTCAGTCCCTGGCAAGAATGCATCAGGCTAGAAAGCGTTATAAAGACAGGTTGCAGTATTTCAGAGACCATGTAAGAACCTATGTGTGACCTCCCACTGTAGTTATTGTGCTCTTTTTTTGTTGGCTTAATGAGAACAGGAATTTTTTTCTTCTTAATTCTTTAGATAAAAGACATAATAAAAATCCAGGCCTTTATTCGGGCAAACAAAGCTCGGGATGACTACAAAACACTCAGTAAGTTAACTGTGAATTGTGGTGGTGATGGGAACCTGTTGTGTAGTAGTATTAGGTTTGTGTTTTTTGCTTGTGTTATTCTGTTTTTGTTTGTGTTATTCTTCAGTATCTTTATTTTGGTTGGAGATTATGGTGATATCAAAAAGCAAGACTTGTTGAAACTACAGTTCTATTTTCTTTCATTGATTCTTGATCTTATTTTCATTGATTATTTTTTCATTGATTATATAGCCCTCATTCCTGGATATGTACCTCCCTTCTCCTTTACCTAGAGAGCCATCCCTTGTAACAAATACTTAAAAAGACAAAAGAAAAAAAAGCATTTCAGAAAAACCAACCAACATACCAGCTGTGTTTCACAGTAAATATAATAATATTTCATGCCCTTGGTTCCTCTCCTCTGCAAAGAGGGGACAGAGGTGCATTTTCTTATTTTCTCTTTGGGGCCAATATTGGTCATTGTATTACATAATGCTCAGTTTTGTTTTGAGTCAGTTTTCATTCTAGACTTGGGTTATTTGTGTTTTCCTAGTTCCACTTATTTCACTCCTGGTGTGATAGTATTCCATTATATTCAAGCATCATAGTTTATTTACTATTTTCCATTCAGTGGACCCTTTGTTCCGGTTTTTTGCTACCACAAAATGTGTTGCTAAGACTATTTTGATGTACCTCTGTATGTGGGACTTTTCTGTCTTTCACTTCCTTGGCATGTACATACCTCCCAGTGATGTCTATGGGTCAAAAAATATGGGCACTTTTAAAAAAAGCATAATTCCAAATTGCTTACCAGAATGGCTGGGCCAATGCAAAGCTCCACCTACTGTGTACTTGTCTTTATTCAGATCTTCCACTTGTGACTATTTCAATCTTTTGTCATCTTTTCCAATTTCCTCAGTATGAGGTGAAATCTTAGAGTTAGTTTGATTCTCATTTCTCTCATTTTTTAGTGATTTGGACCAATCTACCATATAGTTATTAATGGTTTATAATTCTTCCTTTTAAGAGTTTGTTTGTATTCTTTGACCACTTATCCATTTGGGAAGCTTTTAGTCTTAGATATATGTGAACGTACACACACACACACACACACACACACACACACACACACACACGCACGCACGCATGCACGCACGCTGTATCTTGGATATAAGACTCCTAACAGACATAACTGATGCAAAAAAAAATTTCCCCACTCAAGAAATGACAGGGTTTTATGCCTATTTTTCTAATTCTTGGCACAATGTCTGTTTTTACTGGCCCTTGTTATTGTGTGGCTGGAAATGTTCGGGAGACCACATTTTTCCTTCTCTCTTGGTAAATCTCACGACAAATGCCTCCCTGTCTTGGGTGTAAATAGAGACTTTTCTGTAGAGAGCTTTCTTTATATATGATCGTGTTGATATTTTCTGAGTCTTGGCGTTTTTTGTTATGTTTTCTTTTTGTGTTGATGCACTTCTTTCTGGCAGTCAATGCTGAGGATCCCCCTATGGTGGTTGTCCGAAAGTTCGTCCATCTTTTGGATCAGAATGATCAGGATTTTCAAGAGGAACTTGATCTCATGAAGATGAGGGAAGAGGTTGTGACCCTTATCCGATCCAATCAACAGTTGGAAAATGACCTGAATCTCATGGATATCAAGATTGGACTACTAGTGAAAAATAAAATCACATTACAGGTATGAGCATAATGTGAGCTCTTATAGTGATATTGGGCTTCAATGGAAGAAAGACAGTCCTGTTCAATCACTTCTCCCTTTTGCTTCCTCAGGAGTTTGCTCTCCCCTCTGTTAACTCTGTTAACTGTTTCTAGGCAGTTTTTAAATGCTTTTGGGCATTATCCTGTGAGATTGCTCTGATGTTCTGTTAGGAGAAGGGATTAGAATGGAGTTTAGACTCTGGGGCCTGAGTCTCTATTAAGTTAGAAGGTGATTCATGACATGAAGGGATTTGGTTGAGAATACATTTGTGCAATGGGCAGTGCTCATTTTGGAAAGCATCTGACTTATGTATTGGTTGTTTTCTAGGATGTGGTTTCCCATAGCAAGAAACTTACCAAGAAGAATAAGGAGCAGTTGTCTGACATGATGATGTTGAACAAGCAGAGGGGCGGGCTTAAGGCTCTGAGCAAAGAGAAGAGAGAGAAGTTGGAAGCTTATCAGCACCTGTTTTATCTGTTGCAGGTAAGTGCTGTTAGTTTTTCATTCACATAGGGGATTAATAGTAAGAGTAGGTAGCAGGTATTAGACTGGCTTTGATGATTCCAGGTTAACCTGACCCTGATGAAATACATGTGAAAGCTATAAGGTAGGATTACTATCTTCCACAGTGGAAGCAGTACCGTGAGACTAGAGAGGAGCAAAGGTCCTGGTTTTTTTAAAATGGAAGATAATGGATTTTTTTCAGTTATAGGCTTGTGAGTTAACTTGGATTCCTAGCAGACCTCTGCAGTGTATCACTAAAGGGACATTTGGTGAACGTCTAAAAAGGAAGTGATGGTCGCAAAAAGCTAACATGGATTAATCAGGAACAGGCCATTCTAGACTAGGCTTTTTTTTTTTTGGATAGAGTTAATGAACAGGGGAATACCGTTAATGTAGTTTACTTAGATTTCAGGAGAGCGTTTGGCAAAATTTCTCATGAAACTTTTGTGGACAAGATGGAGAGATGTGAACACAATGATAATATATTTAGGTGAGTTTAAAGTGGTTGGTTGAATGGCCAGATTCAGAGAGTAGTCGTCAATGGGTTGGTCAGCTTGTAAGAGATCTCTAGTGGAAGGCCTCTGATATCTGTGCTTAGCCCTATGCTAGGTCACATTTTTATCAGTGATGACCTACATAAAAGCATAGGTGATATGCTTGTAAAATTTACTGATGACACAAAGCTGGAAGGGACAGCTAACAGTGATAATAGAATCAGTATTCAAAACGCTTTTTGACAGGCTAGAGCATCAGACTGAAATAAAACATTTTTTAATAAGGATAAATCTACAGTCTTAAATTTAGGTTGAAATAAGGAACTTCTTAAGTCTAAAGTGGGAGATAAGGCTAGATGGCAGTTTGTTCTCAAAGGAGAACTCGCCCTCAGTGAACAGCTTGTGATGGCAGTCAAGAAGGTGAATGTACCTCAGGCTGGTTTAAGATCAGCAGGGAAAGTCTTGCTCCATTCTGCCCTGGTCAGATAGTACCTGGAGTGCCACGCTCAACAGTTAAGGATGATAAGCTGAAGACTATGTAGAGGAGGGCAGCCAGCATGGTGAAGGGCCTTGAGTCCATATCATAGGAATAGTCATTGAAGGAGCTAGAGTTATTTGATCTGGAAAAGGGAACTTGCCTGGGGATGAGGGGAGAGGTGGATAAGGGCATGAGAGCTGTAGAAGGATTTGTTCTTCTTGGCCTACAGGGCAGAACTCCGAATGATGGGTGGGGTAAAAGGGCAAAGAGACAGATGTAGGTTTCATCTCAGGAGAAACTCCCAGACCATTTGAGCATCTGAAGTCATCACCAGGTGACCACTGCTTGTGATGAGTCTTCATGAAGCAGAGTCAGTGTTGTGGAGGCTGTGCTCTAAACCTGAGCCTCAGTTCTGCAGGTAGAGCCTACAAGAACCCAGGGTCCTTTTGTGGCAGGAAGAGGCCTCTTTGTGGCCTCTGGTTGGACACATTGATCTGTGCAGACTGTTGTAGTGCAGAGATGGTGCAAAACTGAACCTCATCCTGAGCTCAGCCATAGAGCTTTCTTTTTGGGATTACTGTTGACTTCTCAGATACACTGAGAGAGAGGTAGCTGATAAAATTGTTCATAGAGAGCTGGGAAGGGACCTTAGAGGTCATCGAATTGATCCTCCTCATTTTCAGAATGAGGAAATGGAAACATAGAAAGGTAAATTGACTTGCCCTGTGACACTGAAATAAAAGTGTCATATTCAAGATTTGAATCCAGGCCCTCTGACTGCAGAGCCTGGGCCCTCTCTGCTATGCCGGGCTGCCTGTGGTTTTGCTTTAGTTTCTAAAATTCCTAATACTTTGTTGCCTACCTGACTCCTTTTTATCCCTTGCTTGCTTTAATCGCAGACCAACCCTACCTATCTAGCCAAGCTGATTTTTCAGATGCCCCAGAACAAGTCCACGAAGTTCATGGATTCTGTGATCTTCACATTGTACAACTATGCCTCCAACCAGCGAGAGGAGTACCTGCTGCTGCGTCTCTTTAAGACAGCCCTCCAGGAGGAGATCAAGTATGAGTGTGCCTTCTGGTCAGGTGGGGGTGGGCAGTCAGGGAGTGTCATGCTAGGCCCTAAGGTCTTCCTTCAGTGCTCCAAGGGGAAATCTCATGGATTGATGGGTCTTTTCTGTGAGTGCAGAAGAGCCTCTGCACATTAGGCATGGAGGAGTTGTCTCGCTTTGGTCTCACCAATGTGGCTCTAGCGTTCCCCAGGGCTGAGAAGAATGCTTCCTGAGTCAGCCTGCATTTAGGGAGCAGAGATGCAAATGTTAGTTTGTCAGGTGCTCGCCAAAGTACCCTGTTAAGGCTGACCTCTTTACTATCTGTAGATGCTATGCTAGGTACTGGGGACACAAGAACAAGAATGAAGCTGTACTTCATCTCAAGGAGCTACTAGAGTATGGAGGGAGGCATCCTGCAAGGCTTTGTGCAGTATGAAGATGTTAAGGCCCAAGGATCAGAACATAACAAAGACTTTAGGGACATCCTGTACATAAATATGTACACAATCAGGACAGAGACAATCTGATTTCAGTGGTTTAGGGAACTCCTCTAAAGTGAGGAAATGCCCTCTATTAACACTGATTGTCATGTACAAAATAAATACATAAATACATGATGATCAGGGTGTAGAAGGCCAAGATAGTGAGGAGGATCCAGAAATGCCTCCTATAGAAAGTGGCCTTTGAGCTCAGCTTTGAGGGAAGTGAAGAGGCAAAAGTGAGGGAGGACAGGTGTAAAGGACAGCCTGTCTGAAGGTAAGGAGACAGGAGATGGAATCTCATTTCTTCTTTTTTTTTTTTCCATTTCTTACATTGTAGTAATGTCCCATTGTATTCACATGTCATAATTTTTTCATTCCCCAGTCAGTGAACATTTTATGTATGTTTTTTTGCCATTACAAATAGTCTTTTTTCTTTATAAACATTACTGTTGGTACTCCTCTAGGAATGGGGTATGTATGTGTAGATGGAATATATCTTCAGATTATTTTCACTTCATATCTTCTCTCTTCTAGATCAAAGGTAGACCAGATTCAAGAGATTGTGACTGGAAATCCTACTGTTATTAAAATGGTTGTGAGTTTCAACCGAGGAGCTCGAGGCCAGAATGCCTTGCGGCAGATCCTGGCCCCTGTCGTGAAGGAGATTATGGATGACAAATCTCTTAACATCAAAACTGACCCTGTGGATATTTACAAGTCTTGGGTCAATCAGATGGAGTCTCAAACAGGAGAAGCAAGGTCTGGTCATTTCAGCTGACTTTTCTTATAGATCTCTGCTCTCTTTTGCTGTCCTGTATTTAGCTTTTCTGAAACTTTAGTTCTTTGAATAACATGTTAGTGAGAGCTCGGATTGTTTTGCATAACAGTCTCTTTTTGCAGTGAGGAGGTCATGATATTGGCCTTTTGTGTCCTTTATCCAAGTGAAAGAAAGAAAGGATGAGATGTTTTCTTGTAAGCAGTCAGCTATTGAGCAAAAGAAACTGAAATGGTTGTTCATCTGGTAGTCCTGACTCTTCAAAACTAATCGAGGGCATTTCACATGAAAAAGACCTGAAGACTTGAATGGTCTGTAGAGTCAGTAGTGTGATATTGTAGCCAAAAAGCTCCTGCCCTTTTGATCTGCCTTAATTGCAGTATCATGTTAAGGACTGAGGTTAAAGTCTGTGAGACGCTGCCTTAGGGATAACATGTCTGAAGGGTTCTGTTTGGGCTTCCACATTTAAAAAGGATACTAGTGGTGATTATAATTCACTTGACTATGTTACATGATTCACTGACAGTGTAAATGGCTTCATTTCAAGAGATATTTATTGGGCATTTACTGTGTGTAAGGTACTGTTAGTAGGTAGCACTTTAAGCTTTTTGCACAAATTTTATTGATGCTTTCTATTTTTGCATCCCTTTCATTTCCAAATAGGTTCCCCTAGGATCCCTTCTTTGTAGAAGAAAAGCAGTTAAGCAAAATCAACCAATAGACAGTGACCGCATATAACATTCCTCACCTGGAACCCCACTTTCCCTCCCTTTGGAATGATGGAGATGTACATTATCATCTCTTTCCTGGGGCCAGGATTGCTCATTACATTTTCTTATTAGTTTGGTTCCCTTTTAGTGCTCTTTTCATTTACGTTATTCCAGTTGTATGTATTGTTCTTCTGTTTCTGCTTATTTTACTTTATAGCAGCATATTTAGGCCTTCCCATATTTCTTGGAATTCCCCATATTTGTTTTTTTCTTATAGTCCCAACATATTCTATTCCATTCAGATACCAAAATTTGTTCATTTATTCCCTGATTGCTTGATGCTTAAGTTTCCAATTTTTTTTCCTACTACAAAGAGCACTTTTGCTTTTTCCTTAGAACAACCCTCCCATTTTATAACTGTGCCAGCTCTTTCTCAAAGAAGAGATGGCTTACCAGGGGTCGTAAGAGTATGAGAGCCTTTGGACCCAAGTCTTGGTTTCTTTTTGCTCCCTGGCCACACGGGGTAGGTGGCCAGGAAAGTGAGGAGACTTGGGAATCATGTTCTGTAATGAACAGTTGAAGAAATTGGTGTTAGCCTGGAGAAGAGAAGACTTGGGAAGGATCTGATAAGTTTTTTCATTGGTTTATGGCCCAAATGGACCTTAGGAATCACATAGGCCCCTCATTTTATAAATTTCAGCTCAGCATAAGGAAAAACTTTCCCCAAATTATCATTGGATCATATATGACTTTATGGGCACATAAGTAGGAAACATCAGATCACACCCAGGCCTTTTGATTCCAAATCTAGTAATTTTTCTACATAGCACCACATTGGTTGTTGTTAAAGTGGCCCCAGATGGAATTGGTTGCATCATTAGGTAGTGAGTCTCTCATCACAGGAAGTGTTCAAGCAGAGGATGGTCTTCCCCTTTCTGTTTTGATAGAGTAGACTTAGGTGATGAGTTGCTTCAGATGACCTAGTGTCGCTGCCCACTCTGAGCTTCTTTCATTCTCGGATTGTCCTGCTGAGGAGCCATTTTATATGTTACGATCATCCAGGTGTAGTCAGTTCTGTAAATTTGTTGCATCTCTTGGAGTCAAAGTGTCGTTGAGCATTTTAAGAACTTTTTTCAGTTGAGCAAATATTTATGAAATGTCTTCTGTGCTGGGTGCTAGGAAATCCTGCAATAGTCTTGCTATTGCTACTGCAAGAATACTTGACGTTGTGTTTATATTTGATAAAAGGAATGCTTTTATTTTAGATATTTAAAATATTATTTGACACTATCAAGCTTAAAATTTCAATGGTAGCACATTCATATTTTACAGCTGTTTGAGAAGTCACGATTATCATTTAATAGAAGCCATAGGATTTTGCTGCTCACATATAGATTACCTGATTACTTACTTTCTGTGGACGGTCAGAAGCAGCTGCCACCAACTGCAAATGAAGATGGCCATGCCCCTTGGCCAAGCACGTAGCAGATAATCTAATACCCTCAACTTGCAGATAACTGTCCAAAGACTCACACATCTTCCTGTTTGAGAGTGGATTAAAGTTAGAAATGTGGAATTTTTGTTTACTGGTGTTTGAAATTAGTGTGTCACATGGCTCACAGAGAGGGCTGGCTTCTGTTCCAGGCTGCTTCTGAATGTTGTCTTGACCTAGTTCTCTGTGGTTTCATTTTCAACAGCAAACTGCCATATGATGTGACCCCTGAGCAGGCACTGTCTCATGAAGAGGTAAAGACTCGACTTGACTCCTCCATTAGGAACATGAGGGCAGTGACCGACAAATTCCTCTCTGCTATAGTCGCCTCTGTGGACAAAATCCCGTGAGTGCAGTGAACTCCCTAGCCCTTGAGTATTATCCACCATTGCCTATTTTCTCTGTCAGTTCACTGAATATTGTACCTCCCATAGTTATGGGATGCGCTTCATTGCCAAGGTTCTGAAGGATTCACTGCATGAGAAGTTCCCTGATGCTGGTGAGGATGAGCTCCTAAAGGTAAGGAACAAATGGATGTCTATCTTTGTGGAGAAATGCACAAAACTAGACTGGATTGTAAAACCAGTAGCAAGTGTCTTCATCTAGACACAATAAAACATCTAAATACATTCATATCTAAATGTGAATGTCATTGATAATTTTCTTAGGACAGTGATTTTAGCCAATATGGATATAGGCAAAAACTTTACCTATAAAGGAAACTTCCTGTCTTGCAATCAATTTCTTTGAGCCCTGTCTTTTCTCTGTTGGATCCCTGCCTCTGCTGGTTGCTGATAGAAGAGCTGCAAACATACATGTTTGTTTCTGCTGGGACAGTGGCTGTTCTTTTTGCCTTATACTGCTATGCTCTTACTTTATTTTTTTTAAAACCTGAATGCTGTTTTCTCCTCTCTCCTAGTTCTGTGCTTTCCTTCAATGAGGCATCGATTCTAGACTTTCTCTTCAGGTGAATTAATTTTTTTTTTCTGACTGGAACTTTAGGGGAAAAGCTGAGAGTTTGCTTGAATCCTTCAGTGAAGGGAATGTGTGTTGAGTTAATGCACCATTTCATAAGCATACACAGAATTCTATGGTGTCAGGAGCAGGGTTGAACAGAATGCAGACTGTAATGACATGGCTTACTAATTGGATCATTCAGAAGGATTCATACTAACCATTTATGATAGTAATCCTTTAGGTTTGTATGTTCCTTTGTGATTCTGATAAAGAATGCTTTACACATTTTATTACATTTTGATCCTTATAACAACTCTATGAAGTAGGCAGGGTAAACATTATGAGGAAACTGAGACTCCAGTTCTGATGCCCAGGGTCACAGTGATGACGTTTGACCTCAAGTCAAGACCACCAGCATTTGTTAAGTTCTCCCTGTGGGCCAGGTACTGTGCTGAGGACTGTGAGTCCAAGTTAACCATTCTTTCTACTCACTAGACAAGCTTCTTTATTGACATGAACTAACATATTTCAGTGAACACCTACAAATCTGAATGTAAAAGATACACGTGAGTGAGAATAGCCTTCCTCTTTTCAACTTTAGTGTTGAGAAAGATGCTTTAATAGACTAGGTTTTAAACCTGCCACTTTTTGTATTCGCTGTCTGTTCCTTCAGTAGGTAGCTTTTTTCATTTCTGCTCTCTTCCTTTTTCTGTGTATGCAGTTTGGTTAATCCCAACACTGAAGGCTGCTTGAGAGAGAAACTGGACTTTTTCCGCAGTGTCCCCAATAGTTGACTTTGAAACATTTTCTTGTTTTCAATTATCCCGTCAAGTGGCCTTTGCCTCTCATGGACCTCTCTCCTGAATTTTCCCCAGATTATTGGTAACCTGCTCTACTACCGCTATATGAACCCAGCCATCGTGGCTCCTGATGCTTTTGACATCATTGACCTGTCAGCAGGAGGCCAGCTCACCACAGACCAACGAAGAAACCTGGGCTCTATTGCAAAGATGCTCCAACATGCAGCCTCCAATAAAATGTTCTTGGGAGATAATTCTCACCTAAGCATAATTAATGAATATCTCTCTCATTCCTACCAGAAGTTCAGGTATGGAAGATGTTTCTGAGGGGGTGAGATAATTATGCAGAGATAACATTAATAACCAGGTGTTTTCACTGTTTATGGGTTGGTATCATATAAATTATTTTTCAGATAAGTTCAGTTCTGTCTTTGACTGAACTCAGGAAATTTGGGAGAGGGATGGTGGCCTTTGGGGGAAGGATAATGGATTTAATTTTGGATGTGTTGAATTGGAGATGTCTGGTATATCCATTTTGAAATGTCTAATAGGCAATTGGTGATGCAGGATTGAAGCTCATAGGAGAAATGAGCTGGACACATACATCTGGGAGTCATCATATCATATCATAGAGATGATAATTAAACTCATGAGAGCTGATGAGGTCTCCAAAAGAGATAGTGTAGAAAGAGAAGAGTAGGTGGCCCAGGCTAGACACCTATAGCGAGAGGATATTGTCTGGATGATGAATTAGCAGAAGGGTAGTTAGGTTGGAGAAAAACTAGGAGGGACTTAGTATCAAAATGTAGAGGATCAAGTATCCAGGGGGATAGAATGGTTAGCTATGTCAGATGCAGCTGCTTGGGTTACAAAAGATAAGAACTGAGAAAAAGTAATCTTATATGGCAATAAAGAAATTGTTGGTAACTTTGAAGAGAGCAGTTTTGAGTGATAAAGTCTGAAGCCAGATTGCACAGAGCTGAAGAGTTATTGAGAGGAAAAGAATTAGAGGCAATGTTTATAGACCTTTTTTGAGGAATTTGGCTGATAAGAGAACAGAGATATAGGATGATATTTTGAGAGGATGGTGAGATCTAGTGAATGTTTTTTGAAGATGTGGAGACTTGGACGTGTTGGAAGACAGTAGAGAAGAAACCAGTATATAGGGAAAGGATGAAGATTAGTGAGAGGAGGGATAGTTGAATTTGCAGTGTGCTGAAAAAAAAGGAAAGAGAGTGTTAGCAAAGACATGTAGAGAGGAAGAAGGACCACTTATTATCTGAGGTTGAGGGGAAAGAAGAAGAGTGTAGGGCGTGATGTCAGTCAGTTTGGAGAGGAGAATGGCTTCAGTTTTCTTTGTTTTTGTTTTCAGTAAAATAAGAGCCTTAGTAAATGCAGCTTTTTAGTAAAGTAAGAGTCAATATACTAAGCTACTTCTTCATCCTTTCTTTTTCCCCTACCCCCAAACCTTCCCTTTCATCCCCTAGAGTTGCTAGGGAAGGGTGAGGATGGAGATACTAGCCATATTTAGCAGAACAAAAGACTATTGGGTCAGTCCCTAACTTTAAGCTTAAAGCTCTGGGCTTGTGTACGATGGATCAAATTGTATGTGCCAATATACACATTTTGGGTATATTAGGTAGAATATGGATAGAAGCCTAAACCATGGCCTTGCACTGTGCTTCCAGTGAAGATGCAGGATGGTGGAGAGAGGGTTATTAGGGAGAGTGTATGTATAGAGAGCATATAATAGTGGTGTTACACTGTAGACTTAACAATTACATGTGGATTCCTTCTACACGTTGAGGAGATTTAGTGGTATTGTTTGTAAACTCCTGATTGGGAGAATTATAAAAAAATTCTGTCAACTTTTTTCTTATCTGTTAATCATTTATTTTGTGTGTGTGTGTGTGTGTTGTGTGTGTGTGTGTTGTGTGTGTGTGTGTGCTTTTTCTAGACGCTTTTTTCAAACTGCATGTGATGTGCCAGAGCTGCAGGATAAATTTAATGTGGATGAGTATTCTGACTTAGTGACTGTCACCAAACCAGTTATCTACATTTCTATTGGTGAAATCATCAATACCCACACAGTAAGTATCTCTTTTTTTCCCTAGTCCCTGGATTCCATCATTCTCTCTTTAAATGCTCCCTGGACATTGGGATAAGGCGCAGTGTGGAAGGGGAGAGGTATAAAGTGTTGTCCTTCCCATGTTGGGAAGGCTCCCTCCTCGGTCCTAGACACCGACAAGGGGAGTGGTTGATTTTGCTCATATTTCTGCAGGAGGACTTAGCCATGCCAAAAGGCAGAAGTGAGGCTGATAAAACTAGCTGATGATGACACCAACAACTCACATTTCTGCATTTTTTAAGGTTTTCAAAGCACTTAATGGGCATTATCTTATTTGGTCCTCATAACCGCCCTGTGATGTGGGTAGTGTTATTACTCTATTTTATGGATGGGGAAAAAGAAATTCAGAAATGATCAGTGTCTTGCTGAGAGTAATGTAGTAATTGTCTGAGGCTGGATTTGAATTTTAGTCTCTCTGAGCCCCAGAGCCAGTTCTGTCTGTCCTGTAAGCATAATTAGAGAGATTGTTGCTTGGATCAGAGAGAGCATTTGGTTCTGATCAGGAGACCGAAGATCTCCTGTTCTGTGTGGTCTTGTCTAGATAACCACATGGCAGAGTGCAAAGAGGGCTGTACTTGCAGTCAGGAGCATCTGCAGATCTTACCTCGTGCTGACTGTGTGACTCCCAGCAAGTCACTGCACCTCTCTGAAACTTTATTTATTTTGTCTTCTATAGAATGGGGATGATAATAATAACATCTGTTTCAGAGTAAGGATCAAATGAGATCATGCTTATAATTGCTTTTCCAGCCTTAAAATATTATACATGCTGCTCTCATCATCATTTATCAGTCATCATCATCATCATCTTATTAATCTGCCTGTTTGGAATGTCTCCACTGATCTTGTTTCTGATTGCTGCCCTGGGAACTGGGTATTGTTATGCCAACAACTCTTGCAGGAATTCCTGAGTAGTAACCACAGAGACAACTTTGCCACCCTGGAAATCAAAAGTATATATACATTTGTGTGTGTGTGTGTATACATACATAAAAATACACACACACACACACACAAGTATATATACATCTCCTAGCGCCTTGACAGGGGTATTTTCTGGCTGACTCTTGCCTTTTTTGGAATTGAAACACCTTGTCTTCCCTTGGCTGTTACTGTCATTCTATATCTGTCCTGTTGTTTCCATTTTGTTATTCTTAATCTTATTATTCTTCATTAATATTGGCTTAAAAACCTCCTATTCCTCTTGCTCCCTCTTTTTTGGTCTGGATCCTCTGCATTCTTTCCTCCATTCCCCATGACCAGGAGTGATCTTTGCTACCAACTTACTTTCCTTTATTTATAACCTCTAGATCTTGACTTTCTACCTGGAATAGCACTAACTTAAGGAGGGGAGGCAACAAGCAGAAATTAACTGACATTTTTATCAGTCTTTCTTCTATTTTCCCACCTGGCACAGAGGCATCTTGTATCTTTATCTACTTTTCCTGAAAGCAGTATTTTAGATCTGTTGTATTTTTCCCTAGACATGATGTAACATGAATTTCTTTGGTAAATACTAAGACTCAAGTAAGTATTCATAGATAATTCTGTTTAGTCCAGGTGGAGTTGTCTGGTAAACTGCTGGACGTGTAGTTCTGGAGCACAGGGAGGAGGTGTGGGCCATAGATGCAGATTAGGGAGTTACCCCCCACTCACATGGAGTGGATGAGATCACTGAGGAAGTGAGTATGGGATTTGAAGATAAGGTGGCCAAGGACAGAATCTTGCGAAGTACTTGGAGCACAGGAAGTGGAAAGCAGAGTCAGTAAATCAGACGCAGCATGAGTCAAAGAGTCAGAAGAGCCAAGGACGTGGAGGACCACAGAGAGCAACAGGAAGGATGGAGTGGGCAGCATTTACAGATGATCCTCCCAGGTGGAAGGGCACCATTCTGCAACTAAGTTTTGTTTGACTGCTAATTAGGTACATTGATGACTTTATTCCTTAAAATCTGGAGCAATTTCTGAACATTCGTTTTGTGCTGGCCTTTTCTCTCCCTTATGTCACATGAGAAGATAATACAAACACTTGAAATTCCCCATTGTTGCCAGTGAGGTTATCAGAAAGTTACTGCTTCTCCCACACACGCCTTAATCTGTTACAGTAGACCAGACAGAAGCAGATGGAAAACTGAACCTTTTTTAAAAATATGTTCTTCTTTGGGATGGTCTTTTCTGTTGCATCATAGAGCTCACTGAAGGCAGGAATCATACCCTCTTGCCTTTCTTTATAAAGTACTGTGCTTGGAAGTGTGGGGTGTTACAGAGGGGGTCACCCACAAGCTTTTGACAGTAACGTTTTCTTCAGTTGCTTTTAGATCATCAGGATGCCATTGCTCCTGAACATAATGATCCCATCCATGAGCTACTGGATGATCTTGGGGAAGTGCCTACTATTGAGTCCCTCATCGGTGAGTCTTGTCTCCTGCCCCAGAAAAAATCTCAGGACAAGCTACAGGGAGCAGAGGAAAGTATTGTAATCTTAAAGTGCATTTCAGCTCTTGGGGGTGGTCCAAAATTCCAAGGCAGGTATATTGATTGAATCATTGAGATGGAATAGAAGTCATCCTTGTTATGAATTCCTCGGTGCCTTTCATCTGAATGGCACAAATGTTTCTTTTTGTTACTAGTGGTGATTGTTCTTGGCCTACCAGAGGGCTCTTTTGTATTCTAGAGATAGGAAAAAAAATTTTCTCTTGAATCTTCTCTTATGTTCCTTTTTTTTTGCTAGTGTATTGTATTAATTGTTTCCCTGCAACTCTAGGGGAAGGGTCTGGCAATTTAAATGACCCAAATAAGGAGGTGCTGGCTAAGACAGAAGTCTCTCTCACACTGACAAACAAGTTTGATGTGCCTGGAGATGAAAATTCAGAAATGGATGCTCGGACTATCTTGCTCAAGTGCGTATTGAATTTTGTAATTAGTAGGAGTGATAGAGCTAAATTAATCTCATGGTCTTAGTGAATGAGGAAGTTTGGCTTGTACCTCATACGTGGGCTTGACTTGCCTTGATCCTGCCCATCCTGAGTATTGCATTTAGCAGGACTTTGTTCTCATTAAATGACTGAAATGAAATTAATTTCCTGGAAGTCCTCTGTCCCACACAGTTCCATTTTCTTGAAAGCTGCATAAATAGCTGTGAGGGTCCTTGAAGGCCTGGCATCAGCAGCCTTTGAATTGCTGTCACACAGGTCAATTTAAGAATATCTTTGAAACATTTTTTTTCCCCTTCAGTACAAAGCATTTAATTGTGGATGTCATCCGGTTCCAGCCAGGAGAGACGCTAACTGAGATCCTTGAAACACCTACCACCAATGAACAGGTACAGCTGAGAATGTTGGCTTCATTCTAAGCTTTTTTCATGAAACTCGGCTCACAAAGAGCATAGGTAATGACAGGGAGGATGAGTGCACTGTCTTTATGAGGAGGGCATGAAAACCAGTGAGAGGATGATCAGAGGTGAAGACACTCAGCTGCTCACTGGTGTGACAAAGTATTTAAAATGTGCCCATAGGAAAAGAAGTCCATTTTTGGAAGCCATAGAGAGGTAAACTTTGTTGTGCACCTGGGTAATAAAGTGCTGTGTGAATGTGATGTTGCAGGGTTTTTGTAAAAACCTGGGGTTAGCTGACTTTATTTGATTTGATGCAGCACTGGTCAGTTAGCCATCTGTGGATTCTGGTCACTGTGCACATGTAAAAGAGGGTCAGGCATGGCTTGTGGCCCCAAGTGATTCATGATTCAGATGGATTTAGTTAAATTACAGATCAGAACATCAGAGGTCATGAGAGTTAGATAAAAGAGTTTGAATTTGATGTGCTAGCAAATAGGTTTATGAGAAGATGAATAAAATGATGAAAGCAGTATTTAAGAAAGATTAATCTGCTAGCCATGTGGAGATTGAATTGTAGAGAGAAGAGACCTTAGGAAGAAACTGGGCAAGAAACTGTTTAAATGGTTTAGGCATGAAATAAGAATCAGGGCTAGACTGGCCGTAATATGAATGGTGAGGAACATATTAAAAAAATATGTGTGTGATGTAGTCAAAGGCGCACTGGGCTGGGGAGGCTAGAGACCCAGGAGCCACCTCCACTGCCATTTTCCTTCACTAGCTTTGTGACTTTGGTCAAGGTTCTCAACCCTTGTGGGCCTCATTTTTCTTATTTGCAAGATAGGAAGGTTGGATCAGATGATTTCTTATAGTTTCTTCTAATCCTAGTGAATTAGTGTGGAATTGGTCTTTGAATATGTGCATCAAGGGAGCAGATTGTAATTAAAGATGACTGTCAAGGTTTTTCAGCCCAGGTAACTAGGTAAGTAGAATTTCTATAAGCAGAATGGTAAAGTTGGGAAGATAAGACCGTTCTGTGTTATATGAAATGATGATGGGATGTTAAAAGTAACTGTTCTGTAAGTGGCTCAAATTCTGGGAATGTGGCTTAGCTAAGAGGTCTGGTCCACAGATGTCGATTTGGGAGTCGGTATTTTAGAGGTGATAACTTGAGCTCAAAGAGTGAGTGAGCTCATTATTGGGGGCTGGGGGGATGGATAGAAACATTCTTTCTGTCAAAATAGGTAGGTATAGGTATATATATGGACAGTATAATAGCTAGCATTTACATAGTGCTTCAAAGTTTTCAAAGTGCTTTTACAAATATTGTCTCATTTTATTCTTGCAGGAAGTAGGTGCTGTTATTATTCCTATTTTAGAGATGGGGAAACTGAGACAGAAGTTAAGTGACATGCCTAGGGTCACATAGCTAATAGCTGTCTGAGGCCCTGTTTGAACTTAGATCTTGAACGTAGATCTAGTGCCCTATCAGCTGCACCAGCTAGCTGCCTTGTAAGAGCAGGAAGAGAGATTTTAAAAGTAGGAAAGAAAATCAGGGAAGCCAAGGGAAAAGAATGTTTCAGAGGGAATAATTTGAAGAGGTTAATAATGCTGAGAAATAGAAGTGAAGGAGAGCTGAGTAGAGGCATTGGTTTTAGCTTGAAGTAGGTTATGGTTGCGTATGAGGAAAGAAGTTGGAGTTGAATGGTGGAGGCAGAAAGCATATTACCTTTAAATTTTACAAGGGAATGGTTGGCTGAGAAGTCAGGGGAGCAAGTCTGTGTTTAGCTGTTAAAAATGTTAAAAAATGGAATGAGCATGGACAGTATCTAGGAGGAATTATAGGTATTGGCAATTTCGCACCATGGCATGGAATTAGGGAGATGTGTCACTGACCATTTCTAGTCCCATGATTCTGTTGGTGTGTCAGAGATAGGGCCCAGGAAAGGACTTATATGGGGGGAGGCAGTATGTGAAGGAGAAAGAACCTGACTTCCAGTCTCATTCCTTTCTCTTATTATTGCTTTAAGCAAGGGCCCTTCATCTCCCTTTGCCTGTGATTTGGAGTCGGAAAAGACTTGTTTCCATTCTTTGTTCTGCTATAGTGATGTGATACATAGAAGATGCTGTATGTAATGCACTCTTTTGATTTTTAATATTATCATGGGCCTGTCTGGAATTTTTCACTTGACTTCTTTAGGAAGCAGAACATCAAAGAGCCATGCAGAAGCGAGCCATCCGTGATGCCAAAACCCCTGACAAGATGAAAAAAGCCAAATCTGTCAAAGAGGACAGTAACCTGAGCCTCCAGGAGAAGAAGGAGAAGATCCAGTTGGGTTTAAAGAAGCTGGTAGAGCTTGGGACGGTGAATCCAAACAACAAATACCAGGAGCTGATCAACGATATTGCCAAGGTAGTGCGCCAGGGAAACCACGCTGTTCTGCCCTGCTTTGGCAGCTTGCATTTCAGGCCCCTGCACAGAGGTAGTAGCTCTTGAGTCAGCAACCTGCCTTCAGATTATGAAAGGACTGTGGTGTTCTCTCAAATGGAAAAATTCCCACCCCCAGCCCTTTATGTGGAACAGTGCACTTTTGCCTACTCCCAGGGGCAAGGCTGAAAAATTCTTTATCAGCTTAACGTACTTGCAAGGCATGCATGCAAAGTAAGATCACTGAAATCAGAATTTTTTATTTCTCAATGGAATGATCCTTGTTTGGCCATTTTCAAAGTAAAGAGTAAATGTTCAGTTGCAGAATTTGGTGAGGAAGAATCAAGAAAAGCTTAGGATGTACTGTTTGTTTTTCTGCTGGCCTAGAAGTCTACATCTTCTGTTTTCCCTAGGACATCCGGAATCAGCGGAGGTATCGACAGAGGAGAAAAGCGGAGCTGGTCAAACTGCAGCAGACTTATAATGCTCTGAACTCCAAGGCCTCGTTTTATGGCGAGCAAGTGGACTATTATAAGAGCTACATCAAAACCTGCTTGGATAACTTGGCTAGCAAGGGCAAGTAAGTATTTCTCAAAAATCTGATCTAGGGCTAGAAGAGAGGTAGGAGAAGGAAGGGAAAGGTAAGTGAGGGAGGATTGTGCTCATTGATATCCTTACCTGAAGTACTTGGCTGGCTGGTTCCTTTTTTCCTTTTTGTGTTCCCATCAATCTCAGCTATTCTTGGTTCAGTTGGTTAGAGCATTATGATAAGGTGGTCAAGCAGGGCCTGCATTACAGATTAATATATTAGATAACTTTTTTTTAATATGATTTTGAGGGTTCTGGGAAAGGCTTCCTTAACTCCCAAACATCTTACCTTTTACTGAAAATGAAAAATTTACTGAAAATTGGAGAATTTGAGATGGAAGTGATCTGAGAGAATATCCCTTTGAGCCAGCCCTTCATTTGACACATGAGACAATTGAAAGCCAGAAAGGGTAAATGTTATGGCCAGAGTATACCATTACCGATTAATTTTTTTGGATTGAAGTAATTTGGGTTTTTAAGAGTCCTTGGTTATGATACAGATATTTTTGGGAAAGTCTTTTCTTAGACCTCTTGTCCTTTTTAACCTCTTTATTATAATCAAAACTCTTGACCACACTCACTTCTTGAAACTCTCTTCCAATGACTTCCCATGCCATTTATACACTCTTACCCATTTCTTTAGATAATCTTGCCTCTCTCTGTTTCCTTCCTTGGCTCTTTTCCCCTGGAACTATTGTTGGATACCTCTCTATCTCCCCTTTTGCTCTTTCACACATAGAACTTTGCTTGGCTACTTCTTTTTTTCTCTACTATCTTCATTCACTAAGTCCTGTTGATTTTCCCCTCAGAATTTGTTGGTTTTGTTCAGTTGAGTGTGACTCTTTGTGACCCCATTTGGGATTTTCTTGGCAAATATACCAAAATTGTTGGCCATTTCCTTTTCCAGCTCATTTTACAAATGAGGAAACTGAGGCAAACAGGGATAAGTGATTTGCCCTGGGTCAAACAGTTAGTGTCTGAGGCTGGATTTGACCTCAGGTCTTCCTGACTCTACACCCAGTACTCTGTCCCCTGTACCACCTAGTTTCCCTCTCTTCACAATACAGTTGTTTAAATTTTGCCTTTTTATCGCCTGTTTCCATTGCTGCCACTGTAGTCCAGCCTCTTATCATCTCTTACTTTGTTTCCCTGCCACGTTGTCTGTCCATTCTAGTTACGGAGCCGTGAATGAGAGGACAAATATTCTTACTAGAGGTCCTTCCTGTCCAGAATTCCAGGCTATTCTGTATTCCTCAGCTTGATTCTTCTTGCTAAAATAGCCATCATCGTGTCACATCCTTGTTTAACAACTTAAAATGGTTCTCTTTTCTTTATGGAATGAAGTCCATAGTGCCTTGGACACAAGGTCTTTTTATAGCTGTACTAAATTAGCCAACAAGTATTTTTTTAAACCTATAGCATGTATGTACTCCCATGTTAGATGCAGTGAGGAATACAAGGGAGATGTTAGTTGTGAATGGGAATTTTGTTATCAGTGATTCTGTTTTGAAGAAGAGTCTTAGATAGTGAATGGATTACTCAAAATTAACTTGAAAATGAGTTGCAAAACTGGAAGTAGAACTTGTAACCAAGAGTAAGCAGTTGGTGATACAGACCACTGGGCCATTTTGACCCCATGTGGGTATTGGTTATTACTTTTTAATGTGAACTTCTTTGACCCCTGACCTCCTGTTCCTGGACCGTTTGCTGAGATTAAGCATGGAATATGTAGCTGTTGACATCAAAGGCTCCTGTTCCGTTTCCACAGGGTGTCTAAGAAGCCAAGAGAGATGAAAGGAAAGAAAAGCAAAAAGATTTCCCTAAAATACACAGCTGCACGACTGCATGAGAAGGGAGTCCTTCTGGAAATTGAGGACCTTCAAGTGAATCAGTGAGTATCCGATTGACTGTATTTACAAAGAGCTGATCTGTGTGCAGAAGTTTCTTTATGTCATACTGGCTTTACATCTCACATAGGTGATCGTCTGAATGTCATTTTAAACTGCCTGTCTTATCACAAGATATCAAGAAATCCTGTGCCCACAGCATACCTTCCTAGGGGCACAAATGGGCCTAAGATGCCATCCTTTGATTCAGCATGTGTCCATTATTTGATTCACCATACCTCATTACGCTGCTTGTGCCAGAACTATTTTGAGATTTATAGAGAGTTCCCTTTTTGGCTGCCCCCCAACTCTGAGTGGTAATCTTGTGTTGTTTCTGTGGGAGTCATCAGTTTCTCTTTTCCAGACATGGCACTCCTTCCTGGAGTTCTTGCTGGATCTGGACAGAGAGAATTAAAGAACTAGATGAACCAGAGGTGGGACAGTAGGGACACTCTTTCCCCTACCTTAGACTAAGAACCTGTAGCTTATTTCATATATTTTCTTCTTTGGCAAGAGCTTATCTAGCCTCCATCTTTAGAGATGGGGCTCTTTTGTCTGTGCTGCCTCTCTCTTACCTGGGATTTCTCATCGTCATTTACTGAACACCTCTTGTGTACTAAGGCTCTGTCCTGGTTTCCCCTAGGACTTCTCCTGACCCATTAAAGAAGGAGTAAGTAGCCTATTACAGGGAACCACAGCAAATCAACGACCACCCCAAAGTTTAGCGTTAGCAGAGCACCTCTCCTGCAGTGTCAGACCCTCTACAAATGGGAACTCTCCTGTCCCAGATAAAAACAGGGAGGGTCCTAGGACCTGCAGAAAGGTGTGAATGCTTCTCAGAAGTACAGAGGTCTTAGTCGGTTTTAAGGCCTCGGTTCTGTGCCCTCTTTGGAGCACAGACAGCTCATTTTCTCAGTTGCAGCCCACTAACATCCTGTGAGTGACCTAACGTCATCTCTTTACCATTCTCTTTTTTTGTGTGTGTATTTTTTTTTCCTTTTTAGGCAGTTAGGGTTAAGTGACTTGCCCAGGGTCACACAGCTAGTTAAGTGTCAAGTGTTTGGTCTGAGACCGGATTTGAACTCAGGTTCTCCTGACTTCAGGGCCAGTGCTCTATCCATTATGCCACCTAGCTGCCCCTAAGCAAGAGAGCTCCTTCCCTGAAGGAGCTTACCTTTTTTTTTTTTTAGGCAGTTGGGGTTAAGTAACTTGCCCAGGGTCACACAGCTATTAAGTGTCAAATGTTTGGTCTGAGGCTGGATTTGAACTCAGGTCCTTCTGACTTCAGGGCCAGCGCTCTATCCGCTGCACCACCTAGCTGCCCCTCTTTACCATTCTTAGAGAATCATGGGCAGCTTGGAGGGACTAACTTCCCTGGGACGTATTTCATCAGGAAATTTTGTAAAATTAATAAATAACATCATTATAGTGAGAAAGTGGGAGCTATGGGGTGTGGCCTACATATTCTCCTTAGAGCTATCCTCTGCTGTCATCTCTCTACTTTGTCCTTGCCTCCCCACTCAAAGTGCCATGGCTAGCCACATGGCTGTTTTCAGGGATTATCAATGCAACCAGGAAATAACAATCTTTTGTCCTAAAAATGTAGGATTTAGGTAGCACAGCCTACTGTACTTAAGTTACTCAAGTCCTACCAATGGCCAGTCTACCATCAGACTTTGTTGTTGTTCACTCATTTTTCAGTTGTGTCCAACTCTTCATGATCCCGTTTGGGCTTTTCTTGGCAAAGATACTGCAGTAGTTTGCTATTTCCTTCTCCAATTCATTTTACAGATGAGGAAACTGAGGCACACAGGGTGAAGTGACTTGCCCAGGGTGACACAGCTAGTAAGTGTCTGAGGCTAGATTTGAACTCAGGAAGATGAGTGTTCCTGACTTCAGGCCTGGTGCTCTATCCACTGCATCACCTAGCTGCCCACCCTCAAACTGAGGAATAACAAATTGAGATTTTGGCACTCTCTAGAAAAAATACTTTTTACTGTTTGGCTTTTATTGAATGCTAGGCTTGTCCTGAGCTCCAAGGATGTGATAAAAGTATAAGATGCTCTTTCTACCAATCAATAGGTGACATTCTGATTGGGAAGAGAGCACATATACATGAAGTAATTAGTGAACAAGGAATTTTAGGTTGTATACATATACATATAAATATAGATAGGTTTATAGACACACATACATGTATATGTATGTATATATATGGAGATATGTGTATATGTGTGTGTGTATATATATATACACGTGTATATATATACACATGATATATGCATGCATACGTGTGTGTGTGTGTCTTGAAATGATAGGTGATATAGTACAGATTGGGAGTCTAAGAAAGTGCTCAATGTGCATTACAGATAATAAATGCAAGAAGAATTAAAGAAGGCATATGTACGTTAGTTGTAAGTCAGATAAAGGAGTTGAGACTTGTGGCTGAGAGCAGGAGAACCGTTGTAAATTCTTAAGGGTGATGACCTTCTGAAATGATGTGAAGATGTTCAGGTATCACCCAGAATTGACTGGGAATTGTGTGTCAGATTTATACAATACTCTGATGTCTTGGAATATAGAGTATTGATTTAAGGAAGGAAAAGAGAAATGAAATCTCTAATGTTTGTATCTCTGTAGTCTTCTCCCATGTGTTGGTGGTAATTATTTTGGGGGGAAGGAGGAAAGGGAACAAACATTTATTAGGCACCTACTGTGTGCCAGGCCACTTTACAAATATTGCCTCATTTGTTCCTCATAATAACCCTGGGATGTAGGTGCTGTTATTTTCTCCATTTTACATTGTGGAAACTGAAGGAGATAGAAGTTAAGTGACTTGCCCAAGGTCGCATAGGTACTAACTGTCGGAGGCTGGATTTGAACTCCAGGCCCAGCACTCTATCTACTGGATCACCTGCCTGCCTGTTTGAAGGACATGCAGCTTATGGTCCTGGTTTGTATGTTTTTTGGACAAATCTTTTCCTTAGTCACAAAGGAGGATGTTTAACTTTCAGATCTTCTCGTCCCAGGACTGTGTTAAGCACTTTCCTTTCTTTTCCTTTAGGATTTGGGCTGTGGCCATTTTCCCTCACTTACCCTGGCCTGTGGGCAGTGTTTATTGCATTCATTTAATTTTTACCTGCCTTGAGTTCTTCACTGTGCTTTGTGAAAAGGTTCCTGAAGGGCCACTCCAGCTGGCACATGATGAAAGTTATCTTTTATGATCATGATTCTGGCTAAACTCCCTTCAAGCAGGTGTTTGAAGGGGAGGCAGCCTTAGGCACCTCATGGATTTCTGTGGTTATTTAGAGCCATTTAGAACAAGCTTCAGTTCTGGGCACTTTAAAGATGTGGGCCAACCACACTGAAAAACTGATTTTCTGATTGTCTTTTTTTAAAAATCAAGGGCTTTGATTTCATCAGCATAGGGAACTTTCTGGTGACAAAATTTGTTCCCCATCTTACAGTGTTAGCAGGCTGGCTAGGACTTTAGAGGTGACGTGATCTGCCCAGAGTAGTGCTGGGAGAGTGACTTCTGCCTGGGTCACACACCGTACCACCTGCTTGACCAGTACTGGTTATTCTTCTGTTAGGACCGCCATCCCTTGAGCTGTGATTTTTAAAAACAACTCCATTGGTGAAATAAATAGGGTAGGAATTGTTACTTGGATTTTGGTCCTAGGAGGGAGTACTAACTTGTACTGTCTTACACACACAGACATACAGTCACACAGACTCTCTGTCTCTCTGTCTGTCTCTCTCTCTCATATGATCTTCTCTCACCATAGAGTTTCCTCTTCAAAGTCCAGTGGGGCAGATCACCCATTTAGTGACATTTGATGCATTTTGCTTTCAAAGAAAAGCTATCTGATGACACTTTTTCCTTGAGTATGCAAAGATCATATGTCACACCCCACCCAGCTGGTTCTGTTAGCTAGATTCTGATTTCTATGCTATTTAGGAAGTTGTAGGCTGACCTCTTACAAGACTGGCACTAGAGGGCACCAGGGTATATGGTGGGGCACACACATAAAAGCTTAGCTTTCTGAAAATCAGGCAGGTAAGAAGGAAGACCTGTTTGTGACACCTCATATTTTCAAAGAAAGATAATTACAGGGAAGCAATTCATTTCTTTTAAGGATTTTTTCTCCTACTGATTCTCTTCTCACACACATATTTTATAAGTTCACCTAACTGTGATTAGAGTAAGAATGGATAATAGGAACACCTTCAATACATTCTAGATAATCTGTTTTGGATTGTATAAACTAGTTTTGGATTGGATACACAGTCTCACTGTGGTAGGTGTCCTTGCTTATAAATTTGTAATAACAATAATAACTTCATATTGTGCTTTGAAGTCTGTAAAATGCTTTATATACATTAATGCTTATTTGAGAGCCAGAGATGGAATTTGAACCTCGATCTTCCTGACTCCCAAGTCTAGGACCCTAGAATCTGTTGCAGCCCTCTGGGAATGAGTTATTCTGGATAGATAATTTTTCCAAGTAATCAAGAATTTACTATTTTTGATTATTGGAACTTAATATGTTTGAAGTAGAAATCTTTCCCAAATCTATGACACACTTCGGTGCCTTAATCAAAGGCTACTGAATGTAATTTGACCACTTATTGATGATTCAGGTGTACGAATATATTGACTATTTTGCTGTGCTGTAGTGGGGGTCCTTTCTTTCTCCATCTTTGTCTCCTTCCTCTTCTTCCTTCTCATCTTTTCCATATACACACACACACTCACACACGCGCGCGCGCACACACACACACACACACACACACACACACACACATCCCATAATATAGTTTTATAATAAATAACTGTAAGACTTTTGTGGTGTCTTTAAGTCAGCATTTATTAAGCACCTATTATCTGTAAGACACTAGGGATACCAAGGTAAAATGGTAATAGTCTCAGCACTTGAGGAGTGCTCATGGTAGGAGGGGAGTAGCATGTACACAGATGTACCCAGGGTGAGGGAGAAGAGAGAGAGGGGAGGATGACAGCAAGGGAGAGATCCAGCCAACATACTTTAAGAGATTCCAGGAGAGGGAAAACATTTCTTGCTTGGGGGTATGGGAGGAGTGGTCAAGAAAATCTTAGTAGAAGAAGTAACTCCTAAACCAAGCCTCGAAGGAAGAAAAGAAAGTATTCTGAAAGGTGGAGATGAAAAGGGTGTTGATAGTAGACACGGAGATAGCCTACACAAATGTATAGAGGCAGAAGATGTCGTATTGGATCAGCTCATAATCTTATCTGACTGGAGTTGAGTTCAAAAGAGGAATAATGTGGGAAAAAAGGTAGATTAAAGCCAGATGGTGGTGGGTTTTTGATGCGAGTTTATAATCTATCCTAGAAGCAGTAGGGTGCCACTGAATATTTTTGAGAAGGAGAATGACTCTCAAGAAGGAGTTTGACCACCCATGCTTTTAAGACAACTACTTTGGCAGTTGAATGTAGGATGAATGTGGGGGAGGGATCTCCTGAGGAGAGACTAGAGACAAGGAAATGAAGGCCTAAACCTATATGGTAGCCTTGTAAGTGGAGAGGAGACAGATGCAAAAGATGTGGTAGAGATGGAACCAAGCAGAGTTGGCACTGATTGGATATGGGGGGAGTTGGGCATGGTAAAGAGGAACTGGATTGAGGGTGACCCAAAATTATGAACTGGAGAGACCACAAGGATAGCGGCACTTTCAACAGATAGAGGGAAACTTGACGTGGGCTTAGAGGAGAAAGTGATGACTGCCATCTTGCATATGGTGAGTTTGAAGTAGCAGCCATGGATGTAGTAGGCATCTGGAAATGTGGAGACAGTTCAGAAGAGAGATTTGGACTAACATATATAGATTTACTGCATGTCTATTAAGTATGGTCATCAGAGCCGATGGTGAGATCTATCAAGGGAGAGAGTAGAGGGAGAATAGAGCAGTGTTTGTCTGTCAGTCCCCATACTACATGGTTCTGGAATGTCATCTTTTTTTCAGTAGTTTTAGCACATGGTAAATTCTAGTTGACTCTGTGTATATATGTTTGCATATATGTGTGTGTGTGTGTGTGTGTGTGTGTGTGTGTGTATGTACACATCTGTATTTATGTATACATATGTATGTGTGTGTGTGTGTGCATAAATAATATTTCTGTCTCATCTCTTGTTGCCAGTGTGCCTACCTCAGCAGTCACTCCCTTTTCTTTCTGATTGACTATTTACAGTATGTTGCAGGCTTGGGAACTAGATATCTAGCACTCTTAGAATTGTGTATTAAGGTCCGAGTGAGGACCTAGAGTGCCAGTGACCTATTCAGGACAGTGCACTTACCGTTGGAAGGGAGTTGAGGTGTGAGTCCAGTGCATGCGCTTGAATGCATTGACCGTCATGGCATCTGTTTGGATCCAAGGGCCTTTGGACATTCTGTTTGGTTCTCAGCCATGTCACAAAAAGGAGAGGTTGTTGAGTACTTGGTTTCCACATAGAGTGTCCTGGCACTACACAAACTCTGTTCTATGTAGGACCTGTCTGTGATCATCTCTGTTGTGATGTAATATCAGCCTTCCTCTTTTTCTGCAGTATTTCTTGGTATGGTAGTTGGCTTGTGGTCATGAAACTGAGACATTTTGTCTTTTAAGAATTTACCTAGTATGATGTTCAAATACTATGCTCACTCCTTTGTGCTTCTGACCAGCCAAATCTTTCTCTTGGCTCCCCTTTTTCCCCCCTTAAGTTCCCCCTCCCTTCTGCTAATTCCAACCCAACTTGTTTATTGCTGCCCTTCTTCCTTGTTGGTGCATGGTGGGGAGATACTGCTTTACTCGACAGTCTAAAGACCTCCTTTAATACTGTTGTGGCAGGGTCTTTGCTTGTTCCTGCTTGAGTAAAGCAGGGATGCTATATTGGGGGCAGCATCCCTTCTCTTTAAGTTTCAAAGCACATATTTACAGTTTCATTGGCTGAAAATAAGGTGAGAGCTGAAATAAACAATTCACTATATTTTTGCCCTCCTGCTCATGGACTTTAACCAATTTCCTCATTTCATAGCCTTCTCTCTCCCTCCCTCATCCCCCTCTTTTGCAAGACATGCAAGCTATGGTCTCTTGGTAATTTGTTGGTTTTTTAAACAGGTTCAAAAATGTGATATTTGAAATCAGCCCAACAGAGGAAGTTGGAGACTTTGAAGTGAAAGCCAAATTTATGGGGGTTCAGATGGAGACTTTCATGTTACATTATCAGGTGAGTGGTTTTTTTTTTCCATAGAGAGCCCTGCATAGAGAAGTTCACTTTAATAACAGTAGTTCACATCGATAAGAGTGCATTTTGTGGCTACAAAGCACTTTCAGGTAGAGTATTTCTTTTAGTTGTCAGCACAACTCTGAGAAGTCCTGTAAATACTATTATTTAGTTTTACAGATGAGGAAACTGAGGCACATGATGTAACCAACATCTCACAACTTGTAAGTGGCAAAGCTAGGGCTCAGAATCAGGTCTTAAGAGTGTCTTTGGAGTGGACAGTCTGTGCTCTTTTCATCATCCCACTCTTCCTCTAAAGAAACAGAAGAATAAAATTTTGAAGGCTCCTCATTGGGGAAAAAAAAGCCCTCGGGCTAGTGCTTGTGTCAGCATGGGTCCTGAGATTATACGGGGCTTTGAGAGTAGATTAGAGCCCTAAAAAGAAAGGAACTAAACCAATAATAGCTACTTAGCATTCACCTAGCGCTTTAGTGTTTGCAAGGGGCTTTATTTGGTCTTATTTGAACCCTGCCCTGCGAAGGTAGCTGCTGCTGTTGTCCCCATTTTACAGAGAAGGAAACTGATGCTGAGATGATGTGATTGCTTAGGGCCATTTGGGCATTTGATAGCCGAGATACAATCCGAACAAGGCGGGTTCCTCCGAGCTCCAGTGTAGGGTGCTGCTCACTTAGCTACCTCGGGAATAGGGCTGGCTGTGGGCTGGCCCCATGGGCTTTCCTGGCTGCTGCCTGTGGCCAAGTGTACTTTGATAAGACACAGCCTTCCGAGAAGCAGGAGGGCAGACAGTTTTGGGTTCTCATCCGGGCTCTGACCCTTCGCCTCTCGGGCTGCAGTTTCCTTTTTGTAATGGACCTCAGAGGTCTCTCTCAGTCTTGGAGCTTACATGCTTCTGTCAGTCAGCAAGCATTTGTGAGCACCGGCCTTGTGTCACACACTGGGGTAAGCAAAGGGAGGCAAAATCAGCCCTTGCCTACAAGGAGTTTACATTTTAATGCATGTGACAATATGGAAATAAATAGGCATCTATTTTCCCCTTATATTTCTAAGAGGGAAGTGTAGACTTTGAATCTGTGATTTCTTTATTACAGATAATAGAGTAATAATTGATGTTTTATATAATATTTTAAAGTTTACAAAATGCTTTATGCATGTTTTCTCATTTTGTCCTCAGAACGGTTCTGTGAGAGAGGTATTATTAAGTTTCAGTGTCCTCGTTTTACAGATGAAGAAATTAAGGCTAAGCGGTTAAGTGATTTGTCCAAGGTCACAGCTAATATATGTGGGAGGATATTACCATGTCTGAATTCTTGTCAGGTTCTTCCTGACTCTCCCAGACCAGCTCCTCCTGGTCAGGTATACAGTGCTGCCTTTTCCCTAATGTGGCTCCATCAGGAACTCTTGCTGCATTCTTTCCCTTCGCAGTTCTTATGCATTTTCTACACATTCTCCATGGCTTAGCCACTAGTGGTCCTTAAGTCTTCCTCTTGTCCGTCTGCTGTCTCTTGTTATCTTACCTGACTGGGCTGACTGTTCTAGCACTTGTCCATGTCCTCAGCAATGTCTTTTACCCTACTTCTCACACACAAATTATTTTGGGTAACATATTTTACCATGTAGCTTTCTATTGTCTTACATTATTGGTAATTTTTGTTCTTCCTAGTTGGACATGACGGGCAAGGACATCATCTGCAAGGATTGGTAGAAAGGGGGAGTGTTTAGGTCACTGATATGAGTGTCTCTCCTTACCAGTTAAGTAGTTTCCCTTAAAGTGTCTTCTGGGAAGGAGTATAAACTGATGTAGAAATATAGGAATATCTTGATAGTCATGGGAAGGAAATTGATGGGGTATGTTTCTAGATTTTAAAGCATATTTTTTTATATAGAGATATATCTGTATATATGAAAAATACAAAAATACACTTGGCATATTTATCCTGTGTGTGGGAAGAAGGTTTGATATAAATGATTGGTCTTTTAGTTGTGGTCCTGAACAGCAGTTTGTACATCTACTCTAAATGCATCAGTAGAGATCTCTGTATAAAAACCCTTCGGTGTCTAATGGGAGTAGCTCATTATCCCTAACATCTTTTTTTTTTAAATAGATTTTCACATAAGGGAGAATGAGTGACTAAAGTTTTCTCTTTTTTTCCCTAGACATTTACTTTTGATGCAAATCCTCACTATTTTCTCTGAATTGATTATACTCATAACTTATGTGGTAGAAACTTGTCACTGTCTTTGTTCGTGTTTCTGAAATATATTTGCCAGTTACCAAGCCGCCCTTTTACAACTATTTAAAACACACTGGATGCAATTTTGTAAGAGGTTCTCATGTAAAATGTGAACCTCTGAAGGAGAATCAAAGGATTTTCCTAAGATTTAGAGCGTTAAGATGGCTCAAAAATGAATGCTTTCATCTGAAAAATGAGGAAAATGAAATGCTTTGCTCAAGATCGTGCAGGAAAGGAGCTTTTTTAGAGTAGGAATTTGAACCTAGGTGCCACTTTTGCTGCACATTCATTGTTCTTACGTGCCTCATCTAATTTTATTGGGCAAGAGAGTTGGGGTAGTGCATCTCCACATCCTGTTTTGTCAAATACACACAGACAAATCTGTCCCTCTGCCATTGCCAGGAGCAGTTAAAATGTGGACCTTGCAGCAGGAGGCCTTTTTCTTCTAGCTCTGGGAATCCTGCCTTTTTGTGTTTGTTTTTTATCCTCTCAGTTCTAAGATTGGTAGCCCAGATCTTACAAATTCATTCTCACCATAAACCACACAATATGCAATATCAGACAGTCGGGATTGGGAGCCTGGCGGAGCTTGTCGAGGCCCCATTGTTGGTTCTGTTCTTTCTGCTCCCTGTTGAACATTGTGTTTTCTGTCTCAGATTGTAATCTTAATTTTATCCAGATGTTTTACAGTAGGCACCATGGGTCAGTGGAAAGAACATTTGACTTTGAATTCTAGTCCCACCATTTTACTAACTAGCTTCAGTGGGCCTCAGTTTCCTCATCTTTAAAATGAGCAGATTGATCAGTCTTTTACAGGTCATTTGTCTTGTATTGTTATAATGTTCTATTATTGAGATACTGCAGAACTACAAGTCTCTAGCCTGTCACATAAACTCCTTCAGCCTCTTTCTATGATAGAATTTCACTAAAGTGGGAGAAATATGGTACTCTCTACTAGGGGAAAAGATAGATAAATGTAACAATTAAATGTGTCTTTTGAAGAAAACATTCAAATCTGACCTCACACCAGGGGTGGGGAATCTTCAGCCTCGAGGCCACATATGGCCCTCTAGGTCCTCAAGGTGCGGCCCTTTGACAGAATCCAAACTTCACAGAGCAAATTCCCTTAAAAGGATTTGTTCTGTAAAACTTGGACTCAGTCAAAACACGTCACCCAAGGACCTAGAAGGCCACAGCTGGCATGGAGGCCGCAGGTTCCCCACCACTGCCTCAGACACTGGACACTTACTGGCTATGTAACCCTGGGCAAGTCGCTTAACCCTAGTTGTGTCAAAAAAAAAAAAAAGAAAGAAAACTTATTTGACATATGATGATATGAAAAATATAAGATATAAATTGACCAGAAAAATGCATTCACCAAAATACTCTATTTGTAAGTAGTCTTGTTATCAGTGTTTTTTTTTTTTTTGCTAGGCAGTGGGGTTAAGTGACTTGCCCAGGGTCACACAGCTAGAAAGTGTTATGTGTCTGAGGCCGGATTTGAACTCAGGTCCTCCTGAGTCCAGGGCCGGTGCTCTATCCACTGCACCACCTAGCTGCCCCTATCAGTGTTGTATTATACAATCTGATACGGAATTTATTTATGTTTGAGATGTATGCTGACCAGATGTCATATTTCCTGTTCACCTTCAACATAGTAGCTTTTACCTGAGCAGGCTGCAGCATAAACTAACAAGTGACTTCTATGTCAGAATTTATATAAGGGTTATTATTATCTTCCAAGAATTATATGAGTCAGTTGCCTTGTGAAAAATAGCAGATAACACTGCATGATTGCTATACTGTTAGGCATAAAATGTTTAAAAAAACCCAAAAAACCCAGAGGTCACCACCTCCAGAGGGTTGTATGGCTCCCCTGTGGACAAGAATTATCCAGAGTGAGATGGAATCACAGATCCACTGTGCACATGCCTTCTTTAAGATCTGTGTTTGTACCAAAAAACCAGACCAAAACAACAGCAACAAAACTAAGAGGCAGCTAGGTAGTGCAGTGGATAGAGCACCGGCCCTTCAGTCAGGAGGACCTGAGTTCAAATCTGGTTTCAGACCAGACATTTGACACTAGCTGTGTGATCCTAGGCAAGTCACTTAACCCCAATTGCCTAAAAAAACAAAAAAACCAAGAAGATTTGTGTTTGTGCTGAGTCCATATACTGCCCTCCTTTCCAATTCCAAAGATTTTCTCAACAGTCTTTATTTTCTTCTTTGAGCAGGATCTGTTACAGCTGCAATACGAAGGGGTTGCTGTCATGAAACTATTTGATAGAGCGAAAGTCAATGTCAACCTCCTGATTTTCCTGCTCAACAAGAAATTCTATGGGAAATAATTGTAGGTCAGCCACATCTGCTGAGGGCAAGAAGACCACGGGGGAAGGAGCACCATGTGATGGCCTTCTAATGTGCTTCACCCATTGAAGCCAGAGATACTCCCAATGCCAAACTGCATCTCCTCCCGTTTTGGGACCTTCTCTTGCTCCCTTCTCACAGTGAATTAATAACTCAGGCTTCTGCTCACCTTTTTGGGTTACTTCATTTTCTTCTCTGTCATTTGACACCCAAGGAAAAAGTGGAAACTCAGTCCACTAAAAACCTTTTCCCATAGGCTGTTACAGGCTCAGTGGTTACTTGGATATATTTTGAGCTTTGGGATCTTCCTTTAATTAGAAATGTGAATGGTAGGGTTCTTGTTACTTATGTAGATAGACGATATTGGCACCAATTAGAAAAAAACATAACCTTTATGGACATGAATACATGTAGCCTTGTCCATGTCAGATTACATAAGCAGAGACCAATTAATGGTTCAGATTGTAATCGTTAAGAGACTGGTTTGAAGCTAAATTGGGTCTTTTGTTCTCCAAGTAAGACATAATGCTATGGGAAATGTGTTCGCATTTGATCTTTGCCATCTTGGTTCCCTCTGTGCAGTAGCCTTTGTTCTGCCCAGGGAGAAGAGCTTCTGAGTGGAGCATACATGTAGGTCCATTTTTATGGAAGGATTCAGTTGATGAAAAATTTGTGCATTCAGGAATGGACCAAGCTCCCTGTTAGGTTACCTGCCGCCTTCTTCTGTGATGGTGCCCACCCAGGGACACAGGATTAGGCCAATTTAGGAAGGCATCCCACCCAATCCCTTAATGAATGGTTTTAGATCTAACATTAAGCATCCTAACTAGATTCATTATTTTGGTTTGTTGCTTTAAGGTGCCTTATTAACATAGATTAATCTGTCTCAGTTCTTAAGGGATTTCTTTATGGTTGCTTGCCTGCAGATGAAAATATATTTTGTGGTTTTTTTATTAATAAAATAGGGGGAATAGGGTATTTTAAAGATTTATATAATGCTTCAGAAGCCTTTAGAGTGCTATAAGAAGAGGAATTTTTAATAATAAAATAAAACTAGCTTATCTGTATATCTGAACTCTTAGAAATGTCTTATAGCCACAACACTATAAGGACTCATCTGCAGAGTTGCAGAGGGACAGCCCTGCCTTACTGTAAATTGAACCAAAACAAAAATATATTTGATCAGCACATACTGTATTCTAAGCCCTGATTCTTGTACCAGTTTCTCCTTTGTCTGTTTTTGCTGACTCCATTAGTATCTTTAACTATGAACCCTGCTTTTAAGAGGCTTTAGTCCTAAAAATTAAGCCTTGACAAAGCATGGATGGATGAGACATCTATCTGGGAATAATACATGTCATATACTTTAAAAAAAAAAAACAAGCAGCAAACATCCAGTCTTTAGGAATACTTACTAAAATCATGCCATTTTCTCCTATTGTTTTGGTTCAGCGTTCCTTAAGTATAAAACTATCTCTCGCCCAATTTAAACAACATTTTAAAGCACACATAAACCCTCCACTGAAACCATTTATATCAGCATTTTGAAATTGGTTGATGCATTTTTCCAGCGAAGCACGTTAAGAAATAGCCATTGGTAACTAGCTGTGTACCATATTCTTGTTGCAGTTGTAAATACCGGAGAATTATTTTTTAGTATGGACTCTCCTCAGTCAGTTACACAGGATTGATGACATGTATGTTACTCAATGCTTTGTACATTCTAGGACATCTAAGAGGTGGAGGATTTAGGCAAGGAAAAATTTCACCATAGAACTAGAGAAGGAATAAAGTGTAATAACTCATGGGAATTCTCCACTGCCATGACTTAGGGACTCTCTTGAATTAATTTTTTTTTTCTGTAAATGCATTTTTTTTGGAAAACAAAGTAAATTAAAGATTGCAGTAATAGCTTCAAAAACTGGGACCAAAGATCCAGTCTTTTTAAGAAAAGGATACTACTTTCCTTTGGGCCCCACCCTGAACCAGGCATTGCAGTGATGACCGAAGTCTTCAAGGGGCTATCATAGGGACACTTAGGTTTTTTGTAAAAATTACCTATTCGCTGAATATAATCTCTGATGCAAGGCATTAAGTATGAAATCTTTAGAGTTAAAGAATTTTTATGGGGATAAATTTGAAGCAATTTTTTTAATACATTAGAGAAAACGGATATATTTTCATTCTGAACATTGGAACTTTGTAGCTTTTATTACTGGTTTATTTATTAGTAATAGGATTCTTCCAGCTTCTTTCTCCCTCTTAGGCCACCTCTCCTTGCCAGCCATCATGACATTTGTTGCCAGTTTATTTACTCCCAGGAATTTGGGCTGCTTGTTCCATTTATTGGCACAAAAAAATTGTCTTTTGTATCTCTCAACGAAATAAAAGGTCATTTGTTCATGTTATTTCTCTCTGTTGCAGTTTAATCCGTTCCTGATCACTGCTACTCTGCTTACTTTGTTAAGAGTGGATTACACAATCTTTGTTGAATATGAGAATGAGTAACTGAAAAAATGCAACAACTCCATTTCCTGTAGTATTGAGAAGCAGATTGAAGCAAAAAAAGAGCTCCTAGAAATCTGCCTCAGAACTACTTCAAAATATATTTATAATTTTATATACAAAATATTTGTTGAATTGGCCTCAGTTTTTTCCCTTATAACAGAGTCTGATTCATCTTAACTGCTGAATGCTGAAAGGTTTAAATTGCACAAGCAGCTATTATGGGAGGGACAGTGGCACAGTACTGTGGATATTGTGCCAAACGTGGGAGTAAGTCTGGTGTCTGCTCTCACTAGTGGCAGAGAAATGACTACTGGCCTTTTCTTAGGGGAAAGGTAGGTAGATGACAGCAGAGGATAATGAAAAGTGGTCTGCTTCAGTGACACCCTATTGAAGAGCCTGGGCCACTCATTCTGCAGTGATCTATTTGTGTACACCTGGGATGAGAGCATAATAAAACTAGCAAAAGATAGTAAAGACCATCTGAGTAAAAGTCAGTTTGTGCTGTTGTGGGAGGGACATCTTGCACCCTTCAAAAAGGTTGGAAAGCACGACTTTGTCTAAACATTTTGGACACAACATTTTTTTAGTAAACAGTTTAGGAGTGCCTCGACCTTTGTTTTTACGAGGAAGATACTGTCCCTTTCTGAACTTTGTCCACATTTGTCAGTTATATTAGAATTTTGGACCAAAAATTTGAAATTGAGAAACTGATAATAACTCCTTTTGGTAACTGCTAACCTGTGCTCTCTGGTGAGGATTCCAGCAATCTATAAGCCTCAAACGGAGGTCTGAAATGTTAACATGGGGGCAGGTAGGTGGCAGGGTGGATAGAGCACCGGCCTTGGAGTTGTGAGACCTGATTTCAATGCAGCCTCCGACACTTGACACCTACTAGCTGTGTGACTCTGGGCAAGTCTCTTAACCCCATTGCCTAGCTCTCCCTCCCTTTCATGTTGACATGGAAAACTGAATTATTAGGGAAAGGACAGGGTAGAGAGTAATGGTGGAGAGAGTGGATACCAAAACAGCCAACTCCAAGACCGAGAAGTCTGTAAGCAACAATGTGATGCAGTCACTAAAAACTTGATTATTTAAAATAATATTCATGTAGCATTTGAACTGGCCCAGACTAGTGTTGTGTATATCCGTTGTGTATATGCTCCTGGGCTGAAATGGAAAGGAAAAACAGTTGAAGACTGGGAAGCTGAGATATCAAAGAACAGGGATAATGTAGGACTGACCCAAGGGGGAGAGAAAGCCACCTGTGCAGGGTGAAGTGGCCCTCAGTGGGGTAAGAAGGAAGGAGGGCCAGAGAAAAGGGGATAATGACTTGGGCAGCTTTTCCGGTTTGTTCACAACAGGATACAGTAGTTGGTGAGGTTTGTTTAGACTAAGATCACATCTCATGAGATAATTATAAAGTGCTTAGCGGCAGTGCCTGGCTCATAGAAAGCACTACAAAAATGTGGGCTGTTCTTAAAATTATTACGTCTGGTCACCACATGAAGAACAGTCAGGACATTGGGCACATTGGACATTGGGATCTTGGCTCTGTGTGGCTGCCTTTCAGGTTAGGACTGCTGGAGCCTCAGAAGCTAGACTCCCATTCTTAACCAGAAAGGACCTCGGGGATATGACACTTGCATTCATCAAGTTCTTCAAAGTTTGCAAAATGGTTTGCATACATTATTTCGTTATCTGATGTGATCCCACCCCCTCACTTAAGAGGGAACAGGTCCAGGGAGGTTTTGACTTGCCCCGGTTTCCTGTACAGGTCTTCATACATTCATACATACGTACATACACACGGAAACCGAGGCGGTTGGGAGATGTAATCTTTTCTGGGTTATTCTCTAATGCAAATTACATGCTTGCATATGTATGAGTGAATATATATGATTTGGGCAGGACCTGTGATTTCATTGGCTTAGGGTTCTCGCTGGGAGGAAACTCTTCCAAAGCAGATCACCTGCCGCCCAGGGGCACGGAGAAGTTGTGACTTCGTTCACGGCCACGAGTGACTAGGACTGGGCTAGGACGAGATCTTTGCAATGTGGGCTCTCTGCAGCAGGTGTGTGGGTGGTGGTGGTTCACTCTGCCCGATACTTCGTGACTCCATTTGGGGTTTTCTTGGCAGAGATACTGGAGTGGTTGGCCATTCCCTTCTCCAGCCCATTTTACAGAGGAGAAAACTGAGGCAAGCTGGGTTAAGTGACCTGTCCAGGGTCACCCAGCTAGGAAGTGTCTGAGACTGGATTTGAACTCTTGAAGTCTTCCTGGCTCCAAGCCGGGCACTCCATTACCCCGCTGCCCACGTGTGTGGGCACAGGCTTTCCGTCAGTGCGGGCTGTGCGCCCAGCCCTGCGGCTATAGTCAAAAGGCAGCCCCTGCCCTCAAGGAGCTCCCAGTCTGAGAGGGAGACCACACGCCGACAAGTATGGACGAACGAGCTGAAGCCCGAAGAAACGAAGGCCAGCTCTAGATGACGAAGCTCCCAGCTCGCGGCCCCGGGTGCCCCGCGGCGAGGCGGGGCGCGGCGGGCAGGGCCCGCCCGGAAGCGCGGCTACAACGCTGCCTCCCCGGTGGGGGCCCCAACCGGGCGGGACTGGCGGCTTCAGAGAGGCCGCACGCCGGGGGCGGGGCCTCAGGGGCGGGGCCCCGGGCTCCCTCGCTCCCTGGAGGCTGGCCCGGCCGGGGTGCCTCTGAGGCCGCGCGCCGGGGGCGGAGCCGGGGGCTGCAGGGCCGCGGGTTGCGGGGCGGGGTCCTCGGCTCTCTCCCTCGGTCGCTCCCCGGCCGGCCTGGCGCGGCTGCTTCAGAGAGGCGGCGCTCCGGGGGCGGAGCCTGGGGGCGCGGGGCGGGCCCCCGGGCGGGGTGAGGCGGGGCCCTGGGCTCCCCGGCTCGCTCCCTCCCTCCCGCGGTCGTTCCCTCCTCCTCCCTCCCTCCGTAGCTGGCTGGCCCGGCGGGCGGCTGTGGGGTCGGTCTGGGAGCGCGCCTCGGCCGCTCCTCCTGCGCCGCCGGAGTCGGGCGCACGGACCGAACGGAGCGAGGCCGGGGACCAGGCCAGCGGGGCCGAGGCCGTGCCGGGCGGCCTCGGATAGGCCCGCGCCTTCCGCCGCGGGCCGCCATGGCCGCGTCTCCCGGCTCGGGCGGCGCGAACCCGCGCAAGTTCAGCGAGAAGATCGCGCTGCACACGCAGCGTCAGGCCGAGGAGACGCGGGCCTTCGAGCAGCTCATGACGGACCTCACGCTGTCCCGGGTGAGGCGCCGCCGGGGCCGGGCGGGGGCTGGGACTGGGGCCGGGCGGGGCGGGGCCGGGCCGAGCTGGCTGCGGGGCCTCGGGTCAGGGCTGCGGCCGCGGCCGGGCGGGGCCGGCCCGGTGACAGGTCGCGGGGCCGGGCTGGGCCGCCTCCTCCCCCTCCCCCTGGCATCCCGGGCCCGGCCCGGGAGAGGCCCCCGCCCGGCGTCGTGGCCCCGGGCCAGAGGGCTGAGGCCCAGCGCCCGGGGCGGGAAGCCTGCGCGTGGCCGCCGCTGCGGGCCCGGGCTCCCTGCCACCTGTGCGTGGGACCCTCCCCTGGGCCTCAGTTTCCCCTTCTGTCAGGAGGCAGGGGGCTGGACCCGAGGACCTCCGGGGCTCCTTCCAGCCCGCGGTCCGTGGCTAGGAAACCCCTGCTTGGGCTGCCAGGCGTGTGTTAAGCGCCTGCCGAGCGTCCGGGACCCCGGGAGACAGTCCCTGCCCTGAAGGAGCGCCCAGTCCAGTGGGCGCGAGGGCGAGAGGGAGTGGGAAAGGCTTCCTGTAGAGGTGGGGTTTTAGCGGGGCCGGGAGGAGGCCCGGAGCTGGGACGACAGGGGAGCGCCCCAAGCGTGGGGGCCGCGGGCAGGGGACGGCCATGGAGTGGCTCCTGCACCGCAGGCCCGGGAGGCCTCCCGGCTCGTCCAGCTGGGGGGGGGGGGGGCGGCGGGAGGCGGGCGTACGAGGCATTGCATAACTACGGGAACAAGGCGGACTTCGGTGGTCCGATGAAACCTGGGGTTTCTTTGGTTTCCTTTTAGGGAGGATAGACAGTGACTAGTCCACGGTTACACAGCCAGGCTGTGTCAGAGGCAGGACCAGCCCTCAAGGTCATGCTGCCCCTAGGGGAGTAATAGATGGTCAGTGCCCAGAATGGCCAAGAACATGGGCCAGGAAGGTCAGGGAGGACCTCTTATAGCCGTTGAAAGTGTTTGTGGCAAGAGGTGATGAGATTTTAAAAAAACAACAATAACATAAGATAAGTTTTAGGAAAATGAGAATAGATCATTTCTGTAGCACTCTGTGGTAAAACATAACCCCGTGAGATAGTTATTGTTCAGTCACGTCCAACTCTTTGTGACCTCAGCTTGGGTTTTCTTTGCAAAGATACTGGAATGGTTTGGCATTTCCTTTGCCATTCACTTTACAGATAAGGAAACCGAGGCAGACAGGATTAAGTGGCTTGCCCAGGTTAACACAGCTGGTAAGTGTCCAAGGGCAGATTTGAACTCAGGTCTTCCTGACTCTAGGCCCAGGGCTCTGCATGGTACCACCTAGTTTCTCTAACCCTGTAAAGAGAGTAGTGCAGATATTTATCTCCATGACACTCAGGGAGCTACCATGTAGTAGAAGTAGGACTTGAATTCAGGTCTTCTGACTAAAAGTTCAGTGCTTAGTCCACTATACCACACTGCCTTCTCACAGCATATCAGTCTAGTTAAGAAATAAAGATCTCTTTGGAGCATGAAGAGCTTGAAGGGGGTGAAGTCTGTTAGGAAGCTGTTTAACAAATATTAACTGATTGTTCTGTGTAGGACACTGTTATTAGACCCTCTTGTGGGTGATGTAAAGATGAATTGGACACGGTGCCTGCTTTTTAGGAACTTGCACTGCTATAGGTGAGACAAGACGGGTACAGAACTGTAGTAAGAAGTTGTCAGGTCCCATGTTGTTAAGTTGTTTTCAGTCATGTCCAATTCTTTGTGCCCCCATTTGGGTTTTTCTTGGCAGAGATACTGGAGTGGTTTGCCATTTCCTTCTCCAATTCATTTTACAGATGAGGAAACTGAAGTAAATAGGGTCAGGTGACTTGCTGAGGGTCACACAGCTAGGAAGTGTTTAAGGTTCACTCAAGAACCCCTCAAGAAGAGAAGTCTGCAGGCCCAGCACTCTATCCATTGTGCCACCTAGCTATGTGTGTCAGGTCTCATAAGATTGTACAAAACTCTTGGGCGTTCAGAGGATGGAAGGAGCACTTTTAGTTTGGGTTCTCAGAGAAAGCTTGCTAGAGGACTGATTTTTCATTTTTTTCTTTGCACCTCTAGAACATCTTTTGCTTTTGCATTGTCTAGAACAAAGGCTGACACAATATAGTAGGTACTTAATAAATGTTTTTTGGAAAGAGCAGCAGCTAAACAGTGTGTCATAGTAGAAATAGCACTAATTGGGAGTCAGGAAACGTGTGTTCCAGCTCAATTTTATTTTATTTTATTTTTTGCTTTTTGGTGAGGCCATGGGATTAAGTGACTTGCCCAGTGTCACACAGCTATTAAGTGTCAAGTGTCTGAGGCCAGATTTGAACTCAAGTCCTCCTGACTCCAAGGCCAGAGCTCTGTCCACTGAGCCACATAGCTGCCCCTCAATTTTATTTTCATCTAATGTGAAATATGCTTATATAGCAACTTGAAATAAGTTTTGAACAAAAGCATACTTTGGAACATTTTATTGATATTACCCTGCAAATGACAGGCATATCTTCATTTAGTCAAGACTTGCAAGGTACATCCATGGTCTCTTTGCTGATAAATCTTCAGGAACAGCTCTGTCTTCTCTGTGTCTTCTAACAGTGCCAGTTAATCATCTGAAGGTTATAGCCACTTGATTGCAAAAGACTCTTTTCCAAGGTGTCAGGGTTACAGAAGGAATCAGCCGCATGCTTGATCTATGCTAGGCCAGAAACATGGTCCTGCCTCTTCTGACCTGTTCCCGAAGGGATCATTGTTTCATAGATCTAGAACTGGTGGCGCCTCAGGGATCTTTTAGTTCAACTCCATTGTTTTCCAGATGGGAAAAGGGAGACTCAGAGAGATTACATTACTTGCCCAAAGTCTTACTTACTCTCTTAGTAGCTGAGAGAAGATTCTGATTCTAACTCATACCTTTGATTTCAAGGTCAGTGCTCTTCCTATAGCATTACGTTGGCATGAGAAATTGTTTTAATGTAGTTATACCCAGGTCATAAAATAGCTAATCAATTTGGGAAGGGATGAGAAAACATTTATATTTGCAGATTTTAGCTGTGGTTTGCCCTAACCTTAGAGCTGCGGGGAACCTAAAAGAACATCTAACAAAACCTTGTGTTAAGGCAGGGAACCTAGAACCAGAAAGATTAGGTGAACAGCCCAGCATCACGGAATCACTAAGGGACAAAGCCAGAATTCTAGTTCTGATTTTACCACTAATGAGTTATGTGACTCAGCTACTTCACCTGTCAAATGACAGAAGTGTAATTAGATTGTTTTCAAGACCCTTCCGGGTCAAAAATTCTATAGTAATCCTATTCAGCAAATTAATAAACAGTTATTAAGCACTGTGCCAGGCACAAGAAACAAAAGACAGTCTCTGTCCTCTAGTAGCTGACGGTCTAGTGGATATTTTGCTAAAGAGGAGGGCATAATGGTAGATTAGATTGGAAAAATAAGTTGGGACTGGTTTGTGGAGAACCAAGCTAATGAGCTTTTGCTTTTTTAAAAGTTCATTTCTGAGATGGTGATGGCCTAGGTTAGTGTGATGACAGTGCAGATAGAGAGGAACAGATGAATGGGACAGATTTCAAGGAAGAAGCAATAGGACTTGGTGACTGACGCATATAAGGCATGAGGAGGAGAAAGACACAAAGACAACTTGGAGGTTTGGAATATCTGGGGGAAATAGATGAAGTAGGTCAAGTGGAGAGGGTGGTGCAGTAGGAGACAATGAGTTCAGTCTTGGATATATTGATTTGAGGTGACAGGGAGATAGACAAGTTGCAATGTTTGGTAGGCAATTGGAGATAACTAGGCAAGACTTGAAAGTCAACAACATAGATATGATAGCTTCTAGCTAAACAGTTATCTAAAGGAATAATTTTCTTTTTAGGAAAGAATGTAGGGAAGAACAAGGGACCAAAGATTTGCATCTTGGGCAGTTCCCATCCTTAGGGAAAACAGGAAAAAGAGGAGCCAGAGGATCCAGAAAAAGCAGTTAGGGAGGTAGGAAAAGACACATTCAGTGATCAAACATTAAGCAGTTTCCCAGGCCCCAGCTCTGTGCTAGGTCTGGGCACAAACACAAGAGTGAGACAATGCCTGACTTTGAGGAGCTTACAGTTCGGAGTTTGGGGAAGAGAAGGACATTTGCATACATATGCAAAATAGAGACGAGGGAATTTTGGTGGTGCAGGAAGCACTAGCAGTTGAAGGGATCAGGAAAGGCTTCTTATAGAACAGGGATTTTTAACCTGAGGTCAGTGAACTTTTTTTTTAGTGTTTTCAGAACTGTATTTCATTATAATTGATTTCCTTTGTAATCCTCTATATTTTCTTTTATACATTTAAAAACATTATTCTGAGAGGAGTCTGTAGGCTTCACCAGACCACCAGAGGGTTCCATGATAAAAACCATTTACAGACCCTTGATGTAGAAGGTGGTACTGGAACTGAGTCTTAAAGGAAATTAGAAATTCTAAGTAGTAAGGAGGGAGTCCACTTCAGGCATTAGAGACAGCCAGTGCCAAAGCACAGTATTGGAGATTTCAGCGGAATGCCTAAGGAGCAGTGAGAAGGCCAGTTTGTGCATGAAAGGTCCAGATATTTAGGAAGAAGGGCTTTAAATGCTAAACACAGGAGTTTCTCTTTGATTTTAGGGCTACTAGAGAGCCATTGGAGTTTGAGTAGGAAGGCAATGTGTAATTACACTGGCTTTGCTTTGGCCGTGGAGTAGGGAGAGACTTGAGGCGGGAGACCAAAGAGGAGGCTATTGAGATAGTCCAGGAGAGAGATTACAAGGGCCTGATGTAGCATGGATAGCATGTACATTGACAGAAAGGGACAAATGCAAGGGATTTTGTGGAGGTAAAAGTGACAAGATTTAGTAAAAGTAACTGATTGGATATGTGGGATGAATAAGAGTGAGGTATTGAGGACTGACACCAAAGCTATGAACCTCTCTTTTGTCCTTACACTCTCTTGGTGAACCCATCAACTTCCATGGAATTAACTATCATTTCTATGCAAATAATTTCCAAGTTGACCTACCCTGCTCTTATCTCTGTCCCAAGCTTCCGTCTTACATCTCCTGCTGCCTGCTGGACATTTCTACCTGGTTATTCCCTGTCAACATGTCTATATAGAATTTGTCTTTCCCCTCTTCCTGACTTCCCTTTTGAGAGAACCACCTTTTTCTGGTCACCTAGGCTTGCAGCCTAAGAGTTGTCCTCAGCCTTCACCCCTTACTCATTGCCTCTATCCAGTCAGTTTCCAAGTCTTCTTCATTCCATTTTCTCATTGACTTCTCTGTCCACCTCCTTTTCTGTACTCTTACAGCTACCTTCCTGAATGTGAAGCTTCATAAAGCTTGTGGACTTGACTCATCACCTTTCACCTAGACTATTATAGTAATCTTGCATCCAGTTTCTCTCCTCTTCAGTCCATCTTCCAGTTGGATGGTTTACCTTTTCCTTAGCTTCCACAACTCAGTAGCCAGATTGCTATAAAGCACAGGGTGATGCCATTCCCTTAGTCGATAATGCTTCACTGTGTCTTGGATAAGATATAAACTTCTCCATCTTTTGAAGCCCTTCACAGTCTAGTTTCAGCTTGTCTTTCCAGGCTTCTTACACACAACTTCTTGGGGGCAGCTAGGTGGTGCAGTGGATAGAGCTCTGGTTCTGGAGCCAGGAAGACCTGAGTTCAAAGGCAGCCTCACACACTTACTAGCTGTGTGGCCCTGGGCAGGTCACTTAACTATGTCTCAGTTTCCTCATCTATAAAATGAGCTAGAGAAGGAAATGGTGAACCGCTTTAGTATTTCTGCCAAGAAAACTCCAAAAGGGATCACAAAGAGTCGGAGACGACTGAAATGACTGAACGACAACAAAATGTATAACCTCTCCCTCGGATGCCACAGCCAAATGTGCCTGCTTGCTGTTTCCTACATGAAACAGTGAATCTCCTGTCTGTTTTGACCCAGGCCATCCCCTAGGCTTGGCACGCGTTCTCCCTCCCCCTCTCCTGCACCTCATGGTTCATAGCTCCCTACAGGGCTCAGCCATATTCTTCAAGAGACCTTTCTTGACTCTCGCACTGACTTGTGTTCTCCTTTCTCTCTCCAAGTCACTTTACTTTGTATATGTCTTGTGCTTTTTTGTCTGTGAACATGTTGTATCCTCCAAGTAGAATGTAAGCACTTTGAGGGTAGAGACTGTCTCACATTTGTATCCTTAAAGCTTAGCCGTGGCTAAGAAGGCACTTTGTAAATGCTGTTGATTGTTAGCTGATCGAGCCATTGCTGCTCACCCTTTGCTAATGCCACCCAACAGCTTTTTTTTTTTTAAAGACTTAATAGTATAGACACTGAGAGGAAGACGAATGTAAATAGATGTGGGGGAGAAGTAAACAAGATTGAAAATCTGGTTTGGGTTAGGGTTAGACCAAATCTCTCTGTCCCCTGTCCTCACAAAGAAAACCTTGGATCTGTTGAATTATGAAAACTAAGGTGAGGGGTGAACAATGTTTATCAGCTGTCAGAACACAAATTCATTCTTTTAGAGACCAGATGGGACAGGTCAGGACTGCTTTAGAGTTTGCAGAAGTGAGTGTGTCATCTGCTAAAAAATGGAATCAAGAAGTGCTTGCCTACAGGAGTGCCTAACCACAGAAACGCTGAGAATACAGGCAGGCGTTTTCCAAAAGTAGAGTCACTGATCGAAAAGCAGAGAAGAGGCTCGCCGGAAACCTGAAGGTTGTAATCATTGTAGTAGATCTAAAGTGAAGACGAGGGCTTTGAATTTTGAGACATTTTCCACAGTGAAAATCCACACCTTCAAATATACATAGGCCACAGATCCCTGTCGCTCTCCTCCCCTTTCCATATTAGTTGAACTAATCAACAAGATGATCAAGAGTCTTCTGTTCTAGAAAATTACCAGAGGTGTCTCACTGGGGACAGGGAAAAGTGTGGTCAGTGTACTGGCTCTGCCATTTTTCTCCTTGTCCTGACTTTTATGAGTGTTGCCGAGGGTCTCTTATCTCTCCTCACTCTGCCCTTCTGTGATAGGCACGGCCAGTTGTTCCTACCAGGAGGGCGACTGAGGGAGAAACCCTGGTTCCCATGTTGTCTTGAGTGCCTCAGGCCTTAAAGTGGAGACTCTTGTCAAAGGGGTGGTCTAAGAACATTTGGAAAGGAAGGCAGCAGCCACTAAGAGCTAGTATTGGTTCATCAAGAGCAGCTCATGCCAGACTAACCCATTTCCTTTTCTTTCTGATTTATTAGACTAGTGGATTGGAGGAATGCTATGGACATGATTTACTCCTAGGTTTCAGCAAAGCTTTTGAGAAAGTCTCATTTTATCTTTGTGGACAAAAATGGAGAGATGTAGGCTAGGTAATAGTATAGCTGGGTGGATTTGGAACAGATCAAATGACCAGATCCAAAGCAGAGCTGTTCTGCGTGAAAGTAGTCCTTGAATAGTGTGCTTCAGAGCTTGGTTGTCGGCCCTGTGCTGTTTTTAATCAGTTTTCAGTGAAATGATAACATTTTTATCAGTGATCTGGGTGAAAGCATGAATGACAAACATCAAACTGGAGATGACAGAAGACTGGGAGGAATAATCCTAAATGGTAAATACCAGTTAGGGTCTAAAAAGATCTCATTGGGTTGTATTTATGAAATGAGATTTGTTGGAGACAGATATAAAGTGCTGCCCTTGGGTTCAGATAAACAGCTGTACGAGTATAAGGTAGGGGAGGGGTGAACACCAGTTCAGAGTGCTAGAACTACATTTGAAGGACCTTGCTTTGCTACTTGGTCAAGTCATATAACTTCTCTAGGCATCACTTTATTTGTCAGTAAAATTAGGCATTTGAATTAGATGACCTCCAAGGACCTCTCTTATTCTAGAATCTGGTTTCCCAGGTGAAAAAAGATCTAGAGGCAACTAGATGCTAGAGTGGATAGAGCATTGGACTTGAAATCAGGAAGTCCTGAGTTGACATCCTGCTCCAGATATTTGGAGCAGATACACTGTATGGCCTTGAGTGAGTTACTGTAACATCCTTTGTAATCCTCAGGTTCCTTATCTTTAAAATGGGAATAATAATATCACCTAACCTCTCCCCCAGGGTTATTTTGAAAATCAAGAGAAGTAGCATCGATAATGTACTTCCCAAACATGAAAGCGCTCTATAAATGCTGGCTATCATTATTAGCCTCAGTATGAGTAAAGAGGTGACGAGGCAGCCAGTCTAGCCAGCACAACCTCAGGCAGGGCTAAGGGAGCCATAGTGTCCAAACTGAGGGAAGTGGTAGCTCTGCTGTTCTCTGCCCTGAGCAGAACACTTCAGAAGCACAGGGTTCGGTTTAAAAGACCTCACTTTGAGTAGGTGGGCCATATTCAAAGGAGAACAACCAAGATGGGGAAGGAGCTCGAAACCATGCCACATGAGGATTGACCAAAGAGGGTATTTACCCTGGAGAAGACTTGAATCCAGATAACTGTCTTCAGGTATTGGAAGGATTGTCATGTGAAAGAGGGATTAGACTGATTCTGCTTGGACCCGGAGGGCAGAAGCTACCAGGAAGCAGGTTTAGCTTTTACTTGAAAGACAAACTTCTGAGCTCTTGAAAAATAAAATCAGGTGCCTCAGGAGGTAGGGAGAGTTTCCCAGCTCTGGCGGTGTTCCAGTGGAAACTAGGTAAGTCCTTGGGAGGGATGTTGGAAGGGAGGGAGGGAGTACTATTCAGCTAGGGATTGAACTAGATCTGAAGTCCTCTTCAACTTGGATTTTGAGATTTTTCTGTGAGCCAGGCTTTTATCATCCTAACCTTAGGGTCCTCTTATAGCCCTGGAGGCCCCTAGAGGCGTGCTTCATGAGCCCAAGGAATGATGATCAGGCACTGCCTTTTTGTTTCTGTCAAAACTATGGAGCCCTCTCTAAATATCTCTGAAATTTTTGTTCCTAGGTTCAGTTTCAGAAGCTTCAGCAACTACGTCTCACACAGTCTCGGAACCAGTACCATGGAGGGTCATTACCCAATGTGAACCAGCTGCGCAGCAGTGCAGCAGAATTTCAGGTAACTTCATGTATTTGTTATCTTGAAGTGGAATGGACAATAACGATATGGCTCGTTTTCTTTTGGCATTTTACAGATGAGATGGGAGTGGGTTTGAGGGTTGGAGAACTAGTCCTGTAGAATTTCCCTATTCTGCAGAGAAAAATTGGTTGGCAGCTTTCTCTGTTACGGTTTCTGCTGGGTCTTTGTGAAAAGAACTTTAGATAACATTATTTCACAAATGCAGTAACTGAGGCACTGGTAAGTGCTTTTTCTGTGTGCATGGAGCATTTAATATTTGATGATGCCAATGAAGTGAAGTATAAAGTAGAACTGATGTTTCCGCCAGTTCTGAATCTTGTTGCTGTGATTTATGTTAGGGCCATTTAAAGTTTTAGTTTAAAGCTAAGGTTAGCTGGTGATCTTAGTTTCCTGAAAGGTCAGCTAATCACTACTGATACTACATTAGTGCTGTATGTGTGAGGCAAATAACTTGATTCGCTCTAATCCTTGCCCTCATTTGTGTTGTGAAAGCTGTATTTACTTGCTTACTGGTGTCAAGGAAAGGTTATCATTTTAGCACAACTTCGTTTAGTGTATTTTTGATGGGGCTTAATAGGGACTCTTAAGTGAACATTTATTGGGCACATAGTAGTTTGGTTGAATACTTGGGTATAAAGACAGAAACATAAAACAAGCCCTCTTTCCAAGGACCTTCCTTTCTCCTGGGAGGATACCACATGTACACAGACAAGTAAACATAACATACTTTAAGGAGGGTGAGCACTCACAGTTGGGGGCATCAGGAAAGGAGTTGAGGAGGAGGGGTGATAGCCAAGGTGACCCTCAAAGGAAGCTGAGCATTTTCACAGAATGAGGTGATCGGGCAGTAGCCTCCACGCATGGAGGGCTGTCTTTTGGGAGGGTCTGGAGAGGAGAGATGAAAAGCCAGGGTCAAGAGGAGCTGGTTGCTCAGTGTAAGGGGCACCTAGAGTTCATGAAGGGAGGAGTAACTCCGTAGAGGCAATGTGGAGCAAGACTGGAGGTTGTCGGGGTTTGCATTTTCTCCTAGAGGAGAAGCACTGAAGGGCTTTGAACAGGGAAGTGACAGGGTCACCCCCAGACTTCAGGGAAGGTTATTTGGGCAGCTGTGCAGTGGGTAGACTGGAGAGGGAGTCCACTTAGGAGGCCATTGCAATGGTCCAGATGAGAGAGAAGGTTCTGAAAGGAATAGTCAGAGCAGTAGACGAGAGTGGGGGTGGAAGGGGGGAGGACTGGACCGTGAGGATCCAGAGGGCGATGAGTCAGCAGTGTCCAAAGTGTCAGCATTCAAGACGGTCGAGGGCCGAGAAAAGGCCGTTGAAGAAGTTAAGAGATTGTTGGGATTCTTGGAGGAAGCAGTTTCATGCCTGTAGGATAAAATAGAAATGCCTTTGTTTAGGGTTTAAAACCCTTCATAACCTGGCCCCAACCTGGCATTCAGGTCTCATTGTGCACTTCTCCCTTTCCCATGCTCTTCAGTGCAGTCCAGCTGACCTTCTCTCTGCTTCTCACAACATGACTCTCCATCTTTCATCTGGTGCCTTCTCACTGCCCTACAAAGGCAGCTAGGTGGCTAGGGACAGCTAGGTGGCCCAGTGGTTCGAATGCCAGACTTGGAGTCGGGAAGACTTTGAGTTCAAATCTGGCCTCAGACACTTAGTAGCTGTGTGACCATTAGCAAGTCACTTAACCCTGTTTGCCTCAGTTTCCTCATCTGTAAGATGAGCTGGAGAAGAAAATGGCAAACCCCTCCAGCATCTCTGCCAAGGAAACCCCAAATGGGGTCACAAAGAGTTGGACACAACTGAAAGGGCCGAAGAGCAACCGATGTCTGGAATGTAATCTCTCCTCCCCTCTCCCTTATGAGAATCTTTCTCTTCTTTCGAGGCACGGTTTACGCACTACCTTCTGCATACAGCCTTTCCGGAATCCCCCAACTGCTAATGCCCTCCCTCCCGAGCTCCATTACGTTTATTCTCTTTATATTAACTCTGTAGTGCTTGTTTCCTCTGTTAGAATGCGTGTTCTTTGAAAGCAGAGATTGTTTTCTTCTTTGTTTTAATATGTCAGTGCCTAGCACAGTGTTTGGAAAAGAGTAGGTGCTAAATAAATGTTTGTTGATTGACTTGTTGGTAGAAGTGGTGAGAGAGGAAGCCACATTTCAAGCATTTGAGCAGTGAGCAGGAGGTGAGGAAAAAGTGAGCATAGACAGTTTTTTCTGGGAATTTGGCTGTGCAAAGGGAAAAGCACAATCAGACAGTAGCTTGAAGGGATGTTAAGGTCAAAAGAAGCTTTGTTTTTTTTTAAGATTGGGGAGGCCTGGGCAGCAGGGAAGTAGCCAGTAGATGAAGAGAAATTGAAGGGACAAGCTTCTGGAAGAAACGGAAAGGGATTGGGATAATTTATTTGCTTAGCTGTGTAAAGGTTGTATCTCCCAGTAGAATATACGGTCCTTGAGGGAAGGAATGATTTTTCATTTTGTCTCTGTATCCATAGCAGGTAGCACAAAGTTTTAGGGGTGTTGGATGTTTTTGATTGAATTAACTTAAGGACTCTGGAACGGGTTGGAAGGTTTACCTCTTCTGAGACTGTAGCTAAGTAATCCCGAATGGGGGAGAGGATGACATTGAAAGGATTGGAGGTGTAGAATAGGGCTAATGAAACATGGCTCATGACAGATGATTTCACATAGTTTCTCTTGAGATTTTCTTGCTTTGCGATTTGTGCAATTCACTGAACATTGGAGCGTTAAGTTTCTTCAGCTGTAAAGTGGGGATAACAATACCTGTAACACTCGTCTCACCGGATTGTTGTGAGGTACAGATGGGGTCGTTATGCAAAATACTTTTCAAACTTTAAGACATATGTGGGTATCAGTTATTAAATCAAGTATTAATTCCTTCTCTGTAGCTAATCTGAGTTGTGCCCATAAAAACAGAAAAGAAAGTAACTTGCTTTTTATATTGCTTTCCATTTTACAAATCCTTTTTCTTTTTAATGCCCCGTGAGAGTTATTGAAACTGTCTTGTTATCCCCTTTTTACAGATGATAAATTTGAATCTCAGAGAGATTCACGGACTTGTTCTTGAACCCAGGTCTGATGACTTTGAGTCCAGGGCTCTTGACAGCTCTACCACTGTCATTGAGTCAGTCTAGAAGCCTTTTTACAGCACGTACTCTGTACTACACATCCCCTGGGTTCCGTTTAATTCAATCAGCATTTGTTAAGTGCTGACTCTATGCAAGGCACTATGCAAAGTAATCCTTGACAAAGCTGATAGACTGGAGTTAGGCCATCTGTGCTTGTGGATTTTTTTGAATAGCTGTGTATTTCATTAAGGAGGCCCTGTGTTGCACTGGGGCTTGATGCAGTTGATAAAAAATAATTTGCAAGCAAAAGCGTTTTTGTACCCTTTAAATGCTACCTTCTAAGTGGTAGTCCACCCTAGCAAATGGAAGGGAGAGGAAAGTTTGTGTGGCTTTCCAGGCCCCTTTGCTTATTGAAGGAGAGAGGTAGCTGAGGCCCAGGCTGACTTGGTCCATTCTGTGTTCCTCAGATAAGAGAAACCACCACAAGTCAGTCCTAGCCGTCATTAAGCATTTATTCAGCACTTTCTGTGTGCCGGGAACCATGTTAAGCACAGGGGATGCAATATAAGCAAAAAGAAAGACAGTCATGGCAAAGACTGAAAAGGGAGCTGAAAAAAGGGGCTTGGGAGGGAGAAGGAGGTACCTGGACAGGGCTGTGGTGGCCAAAAGGGATGGCTGGGCCCCAGGATGGAGGCTCTGGGAAGAATGGAGAAAAGGCCACAGGAGCAAGAGTTAGGTGCCATTCGTGCCCTGTTGGCCGACTCAGACTGCAGGCAGGGAAGTTAAGCCAGTTTTGGCCTCAGATCCCAGAAGCCCTGGGCTCTACTGGTTACAGCTAGAGGGAAAGGGAGAAGTGTGGTACCGTCATCGTCATCATCACCTCACATTTATTTTGTACTTTCAAGTCTGTAAAAGTGCTTCCTCACAATAGCACTATGAGGTAGATAATGCAGTGTATTATCCCCATTCTACAGGTGAGCAGACATTGTGAGAGGTTGAGTGAGGTGGGTATTGGACTAAGGTCTCCTGACTCAAGTCTGACTGCCTTTGGTGTCCTGGCAAGAGTGTGGTGAATGAAATAAAAAAACCTGGCTTATTATCATCTGTGGGATCTTGGGCCGATTGCTTAGTCTCTGCAAGCCTCAGTGTCTGCATCTGTAAAATGATAAGAGTACTTGTACTACCCATTTCACAGGGCAGTTGTAAGGAAAGTACCTTGTGACTCTTAAATTGGTAAATTAATCGTTATAATAACCTTGAAGTAGCTTCTTGCCTTACTTTTTTTTTTATCTCCCCAAGCGAATCTCAAAATATTCTCAGGATCTCAGCTCTTGGACCTTCTTATTCTCCTATTTTTCAAGGGCCTGTCCCATCCTCTTCCTTCCCTCCTGCCTTCTTTCTACCTATAAATATATATGAGTGCCTGTTTTATATAAAGTAATAGAGAAATTTGAAGAAGAAAAAGACATGACCATTGCCCTCGGGGTTGGGCATTTGCTTAGGGTTCTTGGCCTAAAGGTGATTTCCTAAAGATCCAGCATAGGCACAACTATCTGGTGGGCCCTACCACATCCCAGCAGTTTGGGCTCGTACGATCTAGGTTAAGATCAGATTCTTCCCTAGTCTACTAGGAGAACTTTGGTCATGGCTCAGTCTTAATAGTTTTTCTTATGAAGTACAGCTGTCTACTCACAGCTAAAAAAAAGAAGCAACACTGCTCCCAAGGTCCAAAGGAGCCGACTGTGCGTTGTGCTCCCTCTGCTGGCCCGACAGTGGCAGCCTTTTGTCCAGATAAAATTTCCTTACTTTGTGGAAAGTAGATATCAAACTAAGATTCATTTGAATTCATTTACATTCATTAATCATCTCCAGTGCGCAAGTCATTGTAC